CTTCTAACTCGTCCGAGCCAGGCTCGGGCTCTACGTTTGCCATGAACAAGTCGTCGACGTGTGGCCCCTCAAGCGGCAGCGCCTCAACGCTCCCAATGAGGATCTTCGGCGGGTTGATGGAGAACGAGATGGAATGCTGGTACAGGAACGGAGTCCCGAGGACAACGTCGTAAGTCGCGAGGTTCAAGACGTCAAAGACGCGCTGCTCGTGTATAGCTGACCATTCAAAATCTACAGACGTATGAAAATTACATTTCGAGCGCGACCCGCTCACTGCCATCGTCATGGACACCTGGCCATTGTGCTCAATGAGCGGAAGGCGCAGTTGAGTAGCGAGAGCCGAGCTCACGAGATCTACTGACGAACCAGAGTCTACTAACGCCTTGCAGGGATGCCCGCTTACACGAACGACGAGGACGATGGGCCTCGGGATGCGGCGGCCGCTCCCCCGCGGGAAGACGGCTGTTCGTTGCGCAACGCGTGCGGACGAGGACGCCAACGGCGCGGAGCGCCCCTTCGATACTGCGAAGACCGTCAGCTGACGCCATGGAAGACGCGAAGCTGGGAAACGTACCGGCACGTTGGACGCCATGCGCACCATCGTTGCCCACGCCTGTGCGAACACGCCGGACTCAATCAGGTCCTCCGCGGGCTCGCGAAACCAACGCGCGGGGAACGCGCCGTCGGGCTGCGTGAAGACGTCGAAGCTTCGACGCGCTGCGGCCTCAGCAGGCGACTCGAACCAGCGCGACATATAGCGCTTCGGGTGAGCCGTGTTCTGATGCCCACCCACGAAGTAGCGCATGCGCTGATACATGTACCAGTACCAGACGTTGATACCGGCGTCAATGTCCTTGAGACGAAGACCCCACGACACGCCCAGGAGCGTGTCGCACACGAGGATGACCGGCGACCCAGAGTACGGCCGGAAGGCGTAGAAGCGGGAGAGGTCAGCGCGACGCTGCTCCTCGCCGACTACGCGTCTGACTGCCCAGTTGAGGGCGTAAGCGACGCTCTCAGGCACGAGATCCCCGAGGGTAGTGCCCGTGGAGTAGAGGTACGCCATACGACGAGCCTGTGAGGTGTCCATCCCGAAGTCGACGCATATCTGACGCGCAACGTAGTCCTCCATCGAGAAGCCTTCGCGGATGAAGAACGCATTCGGGATGCGAAGCGGAGCCAGTTCGCGACGCCCAGCTTCGGCCTCAACAGTCTCGAAGAGGGAGACACAACCGTCCTGGGTCTGGACTGGCAGGAAACGGACGGGCGCGCCATCGCGAAGATACGAGAGCGGCGCGAGGTCGTGGAACATCGCATCGCGCAGCTTCTCGCCGTCGCCAGGCCAAGCGCGCACGGCGTTCAGCGCGAAAGCACCACGCACACGCCACTGCCCCAAGTCGCCAACGTACGAAGGGTCGCAGGCGCGACCAATAAAGTCGGCATACTCGGGTGTCTCGCAGAGGGCGAGCAAGTCGTCGCCCGAGCAAAACTTGGGAGGCTCGCGCCTCGCGCGCAGCGCAATTCGCGTGTAGTAGTCGAAGAGCGGCTGCACGTAGAGGTGGGGGCGTCCGGGAACGTCACCACAGACAAGCGGACAGTCCGCGAGGACGTGTGTTGCCCACGGCGGTGAGCACGTCGTGCAGCGTGTACTGTCCGGGTTGGACCCAGGTGAGTCGTGCGAGGGTTCGAACTGAACCATATTGACTGACAATGTAGTCGTGTTAGTGACGCCAGCACGTCTCTGGTCGAGCAGACGTGCCTGTTCGATTGCCACCGAGTGAATCGCGAGACCAGGAGGTCCAGAAGACGTCGAAGGTACGTGGTTCGCTTCGGGACAGTTTCGGCTTATATGGTCCTTAGACTCACAGCGGAAGCAGCGCCCCTCTTCACGGAGGCGCTTCAGGAGCTCAGGAGATTTTCCTGGCTTGCGGTTAGGAGGGGCGCGAGCGTTCGCGCTCCTTCCATTCGGCGCGGAGGTACGTTGTGACCCCCTTGCCTGTCCACTGAATTTACCTCCAATGGTCCTCGAGCGGTCATTAGAGTTCGAGGTGCGCGTTCCAGCGGCAGCAGACGCGTTCGCTGGCGGCCTAGAGGAGGGAGCAGAAGAGCTCCCGCCTCCAGAACGTCGGGACGATGCAGATGCGCCACCTGTACCGCTTCCGCGGTTGGGGGGCGATCCACCATGGTCGTCAGGGCGCCTGCCCTTCGCTTGGGCTCGGGCAGCGTAGCTAGCCTGCCAGAGCTGCAGAGCACGTCGGTACGTAGGCTCTAACTCATCAACTTCTTTGCTGAAGCCGTCCTCCATCAGGCGCTTCACGAGCCAGGAGTCAAGACCTTCCCAAAACTTCAAGACCCGGTTTCGGCTGGTCTCCTCAGTCAGCACCACCCAGAAGCGCTCTAGATCGTGCATGTAGTCGCGGAGATCGCGATTGTCTTGGGTACAGGACTTGTACTGGGTACGACATTTGTCCTTGTAGTTTAGACTGAAACAGTGATCAAATAAATCTCTGAAAAAGTCGTCTAGATTCGCGCTTCGAGAAGCACTAAGCATGTAGTTCTGCTTGTAGAACCTTCTGGCCTTGCCAGTGAGCCAACGAGAGACAACGTCGGCCTGCCGAGTGGCTGCCACTCGACCATCAGTAACATACTGAAGAGAATCAATGACGAAGGTCCAGAAGGCCTCATCGTCCTCCCGGCCATCGTAGGACTCAGGAGGCTGCGGCTTAAGGCGGCTGGCCTTACCCGCGCTGTCAAACTGTCCGTCGTCATCCGAGTCTGAGCTCGGAAGGCCGACTACACGGCTTCTGATCATAGCCATGTACTTGTCCCAGTAGGACTCGCCCCCAGCTACATAGCTCGGACGAAGCTTGTCTTCGGGACTAGAAGCCTTCGAAGGACGTTCACGAGGCACCGCGGGGGGCACAGAGGCCTCCGCGGTCTCGCGCTTGATTGCGCTCAGGTCACGTGCCGGTTGAACTTCGTTCGGCACCGACCGCTCACGTGCGACGCTCGCAGCGCGCGAGCGTGCGGCGCCAGACCCATCCGTGAGGAGTTCGACGAGATTGTCGTATCTCTCACTGAGCTGGCTGACCTGTCTCGCCAGTTTGGCATTGAGGGCGGCATAGTCCGCGGCCTCAACAGTCTTGAGGTGGAGCGCATCGAATAGGTCAGCGATCTGCTTATTTTCAGTGGCGCGGGGTTCCAGATTTGCCAAGGACACCCTCGGCCCCTGATTGGGCACTTGAGCCCGCGATCCCCGAGCTCGATTTGCGGCATCCAGGATGTCCCGCTGAATCTCGGGATCGTGTTCGACCTCGTCGAAGTCGAGATTACCGAAATTGCGTAGATCCGGGCCTTTACCCTTATCCATCCGGTCCCTACTGTTTCCGGGGATAGAGCTCTCAGGTACGTTCACGCTTTCGGACTCGCGAGCCTCGTGCTCGCGGTTCTCATCATACTGAGGGTAAATTTTATTCGTAGTATTATCTACTTCCGTGGACTCTGGCGCGATAGCGCGACTGCCCACAGCACCCGGTGCACGCGACTGAGCACCAGCTTCAGGCACGAGGCCGTCGGCGGCATGCGCGTGGGTCGGGGACTGAGCAGCGGCATCGGCCGACCACTCGCCCTCTCCAGGGTCTGCTCCGTCGAGAGCAGACACCTGGCGGGATACCCCCACCGTCGTGGCGGAAGCACCCGACGACGGCACAACGTCGTGTTGCACCGTCGCATGCTCGATGACCTGGTCATCGGCGGTGGCAGGCGGCGCATCTTGAGCGCCCGCCGTGCCCGAGTCGGACTCGTTGTCCGAGAGTGCACTAGTGAAGGAGTCGTCAGTACCACGCCACGCGGTCTGAGACTCACCGGTGTCAACCGACGCTGCGCGAGGGCGGAAACGTCCGCTGGAATCGCGCAGAGGTTGAGCTTTTGGCGCCATTGAGATTGTCGACAAGGAAGAAAGGGTAATTAAGCCGCGAAGGGTGCCGGGTTGATCAAGTCCGTTGCCTTAGCGGGGGGAATAGGGGTAGGTAGTGAAAACTTTGCTGGTTGCTGGTTGTCGAAGTCGAAGTCGATGTTTCTATCGAGGACGTCGAGCGAGAGAGTAAAAATATGAGGCGAGTACGGTGACGCGGAGAGCGGGCCGGGCTCGGCTCACGGAGATGATGAAGAAGATTCCCACGAGGTTACTCTGTAACGAAGTCTCGATTGAAAACCTTGCCCTCCTCCCTTGGAGGAGGGCCCTTTTATACCTACAGCTGTAAGTAGTCATAACTAGTCACGGAGTATATATACGAGTCATTAGAAACCAGGAGAACCTCAAGGAACTCCAAAGGAAAATACCCCCGCGAGAGGTGAAGGTAGAGCACGTGGCGTCGGCTAAGGCCGAGGCGTCACACCATGTTCCACGCGAGACATCCGCTTGCGCTATTTCAACTTCGGAAAGCCCATGCACCACAGGATACGGTTCAGCGAGTCCCGCGCAAGAAAGGGCTGCAGAACCTACGTAGCCTTCGCTACATACAGATGCAACCCGTCATAATTGGTGAAGGTGCACGTGCCCTCAAGCAGCGCTTCCTCCGCCCTGCATGAAGCTTTGATCTGCAAAATCAGAGATTTCCCGAGTAGGGGAGGGGGAAGGAGGAGGAGACGGTGAACTCAGGATTGCCACGGAACCAAACTGAGTTCCGTGGTAATCCTGTGAATTCCAACACTCGATTGCTTTTGATCGGCATGCACGTGGCATTCGGGTGACCTCGGGATTTGCCGCTGCAGCGCTGACAATTTCTTCCTGGCACTGCTAGAGCAACTCAAGTCCGTGAGTAAAGCTCATTATCTGATGCCATTGAAGATCACACATAGGTAGAAAGAATGGGCACCGACGCAGAGCTCACCGGGGATGGCGGATTCGAACTGTGAGCCCCGCAGAAGGCGGACCGGAAATTTGAAATGAAAAGGGCGCTTAGCTCAGAGATTGCTGCTTTGCGCGTCTGCACGTCTACGTCCACCTCATGTCTCGCGATGCAGAGGTATCTGTCAAGCAGGAGAATCACAACGACGATAATGTGGCCTCGGACGATCGGGAAGATGCAGTAGAGGATCTCGACTTCGAAGATGACGGCCACAATTGCAGCATCTGCCTGCAGGAGCTGGTGGACCGCACCGTCATCCCTACATGTTCACATGAGTTTTGCTTTGAGTGCCTTCTAATATGGACAGGTGCGTCCCCCTACAACTGCTAGGTGGATATTGTCTCAGGCCTGCCATCATCACAGAGCAATCCCGCAAATGCCCCCTCTGCAACCAAAACACGGGGGACCACCTCATTCACAACATTCGCTCCAATTATGACTACCAGAGACACTATCTTAATCCTCTGCGTACGTCTCCCAAGCCTGCTTTGGCAGTACGATCGACCGCTGCCGCGCCTATCAGACGCAGACGCGCAGAGCGCGAATGGGGTCGCAGAGCCGCCCGGCAAGCAGAGTCGGACAGACTCGACGAGTCTATACGGAAGCGGCGCTGGGTGTACCAGCATGGCTTGTATGCAAAAGTGAGTCTGGACTTCTACTTACGCTCGCAAAGCTGACCGTCCCCCACCAAGCATGTAGCATCTAATTCCTTCACCCGATACCGCCCATACCCTACCCCCGCCCAATTCGCCGGCTCTCACGACTTAATCGCCCGCACCACTGCATTTCTCCGCCGCGAGCTACAGGTCTGGGTGAACCTTGATGTCGAGGTCAGTAGAAGCAACTGCATTCATTCGCTCGGGGATTTACGCTGCTCTCAGTTTTTGACTACCTTCATTATCTCCATTATGAAGTCTATTGACATCCGCGCCGAGTCAGCGATTAAATTGCTCGCCGAGTTTCTGGACATGGATTCGCCGTATGTCGAAGGCAATAGGCATCCGAATGCCGAGCACTTCGCCCATGGTATACATTTTTACGACAATTACCGGCAGCATCTCGGTGTCTAACTCGCGTCCAGAAGTGTACTCCTTTGTCCGCTCGCCATACAAGGACCTCTTCGTTTATGACCGCGTTGTTCAGGTGGAACGATACCTCACTTCTCTTCCACGTTCTCTACTAACTCAATATGCGCATCTAGTACGACGCCGACATCGCATACACTCCCGAAGTGCGTCGCCGCCCTTCACATTACTCTCCTCGTTCGGTCTCTCCTATTGGGGAAGGCTCGCGGAGATCACCCAGATCACGTTCTCGCTCGCCACGCCCCCCGAAGCGACGCACGCGATCCCACTCACGGTCCCGGTACCGACCGACCGCTCGTCAACGAAGACGGACGTCCCAAAGGCGATATTACTCCCCCGAACTTTCTTGGTCCCCTTCTGGAAGATGCCGCGAAGTCTCGCCGGACGAAGAACATGACCGGCGATCTCGCGCAGCGTTCTCCCCTTCGCCCATGCGCGGTGTATCACCGTCTGGGGACGATGGGGACGCGTCTGAAGACAAATCGACAGCTCGGCGCAGCACGAGGGAGCACGACGTCGGCGCAAATACACACGAGCGTGGGAGGGAGGGGATTCTCAGCGAGAAGGCGCGTGGGAAGTTGCCTCTGCGGGGAGAGCGCCATCATCACACCCGAGGCCATGATGTCGGCATCAGCCCGAATCTTGGGAGCGCCCAAACGCCGGCAGTAGGCCGAAATACAGTCAGCGAGGAGAGGGAGGTCCCTGCGGTCGAGGAGAATGTTCTTGAGGCAGCGCCTCCTCGTGAAGGCGTGGCGGAAGGCACAAAGGCGAGCTCCACTCCCTTTGAGAGCATTTCTGAAGAGAAAGGCGAGCGGCGCAAGAAACCGCCGCGTCCATTCAGTCTCCGAGACTCAGTACACGCGCACATCCTGGGCTCGAGGCCCGCACGCACGGAGTTACAACGGACCCACCAGCCTTCCGTGTCGAGCAAACAGGGTGCGTTTATTGACTGCGCTCACCGCATTTCCATGCTTTATCTCTCCGCTCTACTCACCGTGCGCTTCTAGTGTTTACGCAGGGAGGCGCAGCTCCTTCAGAGCGGCCCCCTGCGCTCTTGGCCCGGCTTTCCGATCCTATTTCGACGAGCTTCGGGCCCGAGAAAATGGTGGCACGCTCCCACCGTCCCGCCCTTCTTGAGCGCTTGTCCGACCGCCTGACCGAAGGTTCAACGTCCTCGAACAAGAGTCCGGGTAAGCCAGATAGCGCAGAATCTCATACGCCCGAGGGCGAACACACCGCGCCGCCGTCGACCCCTTCTGAACAATTGCGCGCCCGGAGGTCGCCGGGTCATTTGCGTAAGCAGGACGGGCACGCTGCGAGGGCAGCCCCGCTTGTATCGCCTGCCCCCCTCGATGCTGAGCAAGAAGGTTCGCGCGTGTTGAACCTTGTATCTGGGGCAGCGGGTGACTGACATTCATCTTAGTCGATAAAGGTGCCACCGGCTCCCAAGCGAGCTCGGCGGCAGACGAGGGCCGCGCGCGTCTCCTGCGCCGCCTCATGAAGGAGAGAAATGCGGTCCATCGGGAGCCAGAGCCCGCAGCGGTGGATAACGCGCAATCTCTAGCCATGGAGGCAGAGCTGCGCTCCCGCGCGAAGGTACGAATGAGGTTGGCGGCGCTGAAGGGTGACGTATAGTAGGCCTCCGTAGTACCACAAATGCATACCGTGCCTTTGCTTCTTTTTCCCGCTTCCCCCTCGTCAACGGACATGCAGAAATGGGGCACGCTTTCCGGCGAAGCACAACGCGCGTAAAAGATCAATGCATTAGAGATTGGAGTTGTACGAGTACTAGTGGGATAAATTAGAGAAGATCAGGAGCGGTAGGTATATAAGATCTCGAGATTGGAGAGACGGGGTTCGCACCGCCGTGATGGGAGGGAGCAGCGCTCGAACTCCGCTCACTGCGGGATGCGAGATTAGAGAGAGGTAGCGGGATCTTTAGGTGATCGTAGGCTAGTGCGCGCGCGGGAGATTATCGTACTAGGTACTTAGAGAAGAGGGGGTAATCAAAACAACAACAGAAAGAGATACATGTGGGTCGCGCGGACGGTAGGGACAGCGACGAGAACAGATCTACACGAGGTAGTACACATTATAGGCCCTGGGCAGTGAATAGTCTGGTGTGGCGACGGGAATTACGGGTAGGAAATTAAAAGGACAGGATAGGTTGGCCAATGACAGGCTGTAATGGTAGGTGAGTAGAACGAAGAGAAAGAGAGAGAGATAATAGGAAAGGAAAAGAGACAGTGAGGGTTCGTCGTAGCCGGCGTACGGGAAATGACGGTGTGCATAGAACGATCGTGAGATGCGTAAGAGAAATTATTGTTCGTGAGTGTTCAGAGAGGGCCATGGCCATCATCAGGGGTGGACGACCGATACGGCAGGAAGAGTCCACGCACGGGGTCGTAGCGACCAGGGTTCGTCGGAGGCGAGCGCGGGCGGGGCGTCGCGGTGCTCGAGCCTACCGTAGACCGTCGCGACGTAAGTGCACCGCCTGGCGGAGGACGCGCGGGGGTAGGCATGAGGAAGTCAGCGCGCGTGGGCGAGCGGAACGCGCTGTTGTCCCACTGCGGCTGTGGCTGCAGCGCGAACGGCGGAGGCAGCTCGATGGGGGAGCCGCCTGAGCCCGGAGGGGCGTGGTACGTGAAGACAGGTTCCGACGGAGGCGGAGCGTATGGGCTGAGCGGCGCGAGGATAGGGCCGGTAGGCGAGCTACTAGACGGCGCGCCGGGGCGTGAAGACGGCATGGTCAATGGGGGCAGCGGGGGGAGCGTGCGTGCAGCATAGTCGCTGGGAGGCGACGGAAGGCGTGTGCGCTGGGAGAGGCGCGACATCTCGGGGCTGGGGGTGCGGTGAAAGCCCGTGTCGGGGTATGGCGCATGGCGGCGCGAGCGACGGGACCCGACAGACCAGGCAGACGTCGTAGGAGACACAGGGGACCACTGCTCGGCGCCGCGCACGGGCGAGGGATAGCCGCGAGCGTCGATCGTGGGTATACGGCCAGGCATCCCTGGTCCGGAAAGACGCTGCACGGGGGACTCGAGTGGCGACGAAGAGCTAGGGCCCGCCTGAGCTTCACCGGGGTAAGGCGCGTAGCGCGGCCTCTCGCGTAGTGGGTCAAAGCCTTGCACGCCGCCGGATGCATAAGGTTCGCGCTGGTACTGGTGCGCGTACGGTTCGTGCAATTGGCTGAAAGGCTCGAAGCCGGGAGGCTGGTCGCGCGACCCAGAGCCCGATGCGCCCGCCGCTGCCTGCTGCTCTTGCTGTTGTTGCTGCTTTTTTGGACGCCGTGCCTTCTGTCGCTGGTTCTGGAGAACAAAGGGCAATGTGAGCAATGGGTATGGGATGTGAGAGCATGAGCACTTACTTGGAACCAAATCTTGGAGGAGGGGTCGAGATCAGCAAACGCGCTCGCATACGCGATCAGGACATGCTCACCTGTACCTTGCGGGCGCTCAACCCGATCGACCTTCCCACCTCTTCGCGCATTGCCGTCGTCGGGAACCGCGACTGCGAGCGGATCATTAGCGCTCGGTGCCGCAGCAGCAATGGCACGGGGGACGTACCTGCGCGAGCAATGCGTGCAGCACCGCAGACTGATGTGGCGTGGTGAGCGTCCTGGTGCGCTTCTTCTTGGGCTGCACAGGGACATCGGGGGAGGACTGGGATGCGCCGGACGGCTGGCTGCGCTCTGGGTCGAGCTCCGTGTCTGCCATCTCGGCTTGCGAGTCGGACGAGTCCTGTCCCCCTTCGGACGCATTCCCCCGGGGCTGGCGTGACATAGCGCCACCGGACGAGCCGCTGGGCGAGGAGGGGCGGTGGGACGTGGTAGGGGCGTTCGTTGGGGCAGCGGGGCTGCTGGAGTGCGCGGCTGGTGCGGCGGAGGGGGAGGGGGATGCGTGTTCTGTGGGTGCACTACGTTGTGCAGCGGACGGCGTTTGTTCTCGGGCTGTATTCTGTCGTGAAGGAGGGCGCGCGGTAGGCGAAAGATTGGTGGGCGTGGGCCTTTGGGAACGAGACTTAGACATCCAGATATTAAGTATTAAACCAGGAAAGCAGAGTAGGATCGTCGCCACATCGGATGGCGGGCAGGTGACGGGGAGGGAAGAAGGGAACGGAGGAGATGAGTGAAGAGCCGGAACACTTAAAGTAATCAAATGCGGACGCGACGCCAACGATTTGTCGTTATGACGCTACGGACCAACAAGTGAATGAGGGGTCGCGAGTGATCTGGTTGCCAAAGGGAATCGTCGACGGTGTCCGCACGACGACGGTTAGGGACATCACACGCCCAGCATTCCGGCACTGCTCTTCCACGCCTCTCGTCGAATTCCTCACGTTCTGCTGGGACACCGCTGGAATTCTGAGGGCCGATGCACGACCCATTGATAGCGAATTGCCGAGATTTCGTCCAGCGAGAGGAGAAAGTTCACGGTTTAACGGTAACCATTCAATTGCCCCGTTTGGTGTGATGATGTGATCGCCATTGCATCTGAAATATCAACCTGAAGGCACATGTGACGCCCTTCGGTATTCTCCGACTTCAACATGTGAGCGCGGCGGGGGAACGCCACCGACGGTGCCCCCGACTTGGTGGGAGCGCCCGACATGACGTCCACGGCACGGCTGTGTACCTCCACCTGCTCTCGCTCCCCCAGGGACTAGGAAGGCGCATCGCCCACTCCGATGTTCCTCTCGTTGCAGTCAACGCACCTCCTTCGCGCGCAACGCAGCGCCGCCCGTGCACTTCGGTGAATTCATTTGTTTGACACGACGGCGACGGGGTACGACCGGGAGCCCAGACTGCAGGGATGATTACGAGCAATGCAGCGCGAGCGCCGACGAGGGAATCCAGTACAATGGCTTCATTGAGCGGGCGCTTCTGGTCGTTGCATGCGCTATGGGCACTAGGCAACAAGCGAAGGGGGGAGCACAAGGTCAATGAAGAATAATAGAGAGCAGATGGACGCAATAGAGGCTCATCAAGAGCCGCATACCGACGTACCTCGATCGACAATGCGGTTCCAATGCAAGCAATGATGATCCTGGGATCGGTCGAAGTGGAATCGATTGCGGAAGGGCGCGATGGTATATCAGGACAAGCGTTGCCAGAGACGGCTGCGCAGGCGGTGCTCCCCGATATAGCGGACTGCAAAGAAAGGTCCAAGAGAAGATCCTCATCCAGTGGACGCGTAAGGAGTATGTAAATGGAGGCTATGCACCGTCGGGGCGGCGGCCGGAAGGGGGAGAGGGTGCGTGAGCAACAATGCAGCTCGGCAGCAACCCAGAAAAGATGGTTGGTATGGTAAAGTCCGTTTACACACGCGCTAGAGAAAAATTGCCAGGCAACGAGGAAGGACGTGATAATTATCTTTCTCGAGCGGAGAATTGACCGAGACACGGGTCCTCGCGATGGCGTGCGCCGACGGGGGTCGAGGACAGCGGGCAAAGGCGTGACTGGTTGGATGTGACGGCGGCTTGTTGGAAAAGAACAAAGGGCGGTCTCGGCCACGTGGTCGAGGGCTCGCGTGCCTTACCGCCGAGGGACCGCATCAAGCCGCAATCACACTCTTTCTCACCGCCCATCACGTCCAGGCAGGGTCCAGCGCTGTAAACGAACTTGGTGGCGCGTACGCGAGTCGTACGTGTACGTCTCGAAAAATATGGTGAAAAATCCAGATAGCTAAAGGCCTGCAGCAGATAGCCAGACTTGGCTACTTCTCCGCGATCAAGACGTCCATGACCTAGGACAGCAACAGACTTGTTTTCCGCCCTACACAACACGCTCATTCTATCATCTTCACGCTCCTTGACTCCGATTTTCCGAATTACGCTATCTTCACGAACAATACACGCTCTGTTACAATGGATACCACTCGCCCTGCGCAGCCACGATCTCCTCGTCCGGAAGGAAGCTCGCCGACTCCTGTCTCTCGTCACAACATCAACTACCGTCAAGTCGACCCTCTGCTCGGCGGCGCTCAAACGACCAGCACCTACGACTACTGGTGGCCTTATCCTCCTGGCGGCGTCTACGCTACGACCACCACGCCTCCCGTCGCTCCTCTAATCCCGACCACTACGAACCTCCTTGCCGCCCCTCAGACGAACATAATCTCCGACGCCAACTCTGTCTTCGACCTCACCCTCGATGGCGACTCAACTACTACCTCAGATTCCTCGCTCTCCACAAGCTCGCCCTCCGACGCTACGACTCCCACCTCAATCGGCCCCTCCGTCATCTCGCTCACTGCACTCCCGCCCGACACCACCACCTCCGCACCCAACTCTTCTCCCAAAAAGCTCGACCGCACGCCCTCAACCACCGTCGTCAAATACGTCGTCCCCGCCTGCGTCGTCGCGGGCGTCATCCTCGGCTCGCTCTTCGCCTGGTTCGTCTATGGCTGCCTCCGCGCGCGGCGCATGCGGCTCAGTGGTGGGCATGGCGAGAAACGGCGCCGCCCGCGGGAGCGGCTGGAGGCCGGGACGGAGTACCGGTATATGCCAACGGAAGAAGGAGACGAGGAGAAGGCGCTACCGGACGCGCCGGGGGACGATAGCGTGTGGGACGATAAGGACTATACGCTGGATCTGGAGGATGAGCATGATCTGCCTGGGGAGTCTGGTGATCGCGCTCAGCGGTCTGATTCTCGCTACTCCTCTCGCTCTCGCGGCGCTCAGGGATCTGGCGGTCAAGGCTACGCTCTCAGCGATTCTCCTCCCTCTGGCTCCTTCCGCTGGCCCTCGGCTCCCTTCGCAAATGCGTTCACCAAGACGAACAAAAAGTCCATCTCGCGCGCGAACTCTGTAGCTGATACCGACGTCATGTCTCTGCTGTCGCACGGCGAGGACTTCGATACTCCCAGCAAGAACGATCGTCTAGCTGCGAACGTCCTACACAGCGAGCCCAAACGCCGCGCCGGTCACGCGCGCGAGCAGTCCGACCTTCGGCTGGAAGATCTAGGTATCGACTTGGGACGCCCGGCGAAGTATCGCGCGAAGAGGCCGATGAACAACCGCTTGGACACCGTTGCCAGTTCGTACACGGTGGCTCTGAAGACGGACGACGGGCCCGACGACGGCCTCAACCGCGCCAATACCAGACTGACCCGCGCCGATACCCGCCTCAGTCGTGCTACGACCGTGAAGAGCGCCTACTCGGACGTCTCGCGCGCGAACACCGTCAAGTCCACAGGCGGCTTTCGCATCGTGGTCGAGTCACCCCCTTCGGTGGCGGGCTTCTTTGAGCAGGCGACGCCGGCGACGATGTTCACGGCCACGCCTGCGTCGATCTACAGCGCTCTCCCGACGCCCACGAAGATTATGAGCAGTCTGTTCGGTTCGCAGGAGGGAGAGGAGGGCGACCGGTATACGCCTGTCCCGCAAAGGTCGCGGAGCCGGAGTGCGAGTCCGGTGAAGCCGGGGAGGGCGGAGAGTCCCACTAAGCCGCGGGGTGCGAGGAGCGTGCGGGGAAGTGCTAGTGGCAGTGGCAGTGGGAGCGGGAGTGGGAATGGGAATCGAGATGGAGGGAAGGCCGTCCGACCCTCGGCCATCGCTCGTCCATCCCAGTCAGCCATCGCTCGCCCGTCTCACTCCGCGATGGACGTCCTTCCGCAGAGTCCGCCGCTGGTGGGCAGTCCGTTCCTCTGCTTTGATGCGCCGCCGAGGCCTGCTGGGTTTGACGCGTCCGAGCGGCCAGCCCCTGGTGGAGGCTTTGGATGGCCAGGTGCGCCACAGACCGGTGGGATGAGGAGCTCCGAAGTAGGTGTGCTGTCGCCGAAGCCTGCGAGAGGAAGAGGAGGGAAGCTGGTGCCGAAGGGTGGAAGGGGCCGCTAAGGAGGTCCGTAATGCCAGTGACTTTGTGGCCCGGACGTATGCGCTACTTCTCCGTGGCTATTTCTTTCTGGGGTTTATGCGAGGAAATGACCCTCGGGCTCTGTATCTGAGAATATACGTGGGCCAGACCTTTCACTTATACATACCACGTAAGGGAGTGGAACGCTGATGGACGCTGAAGACTGAAGTTCAACATTGACCGGCATATGCCGAGGATAATTGCCCAAGTAGGCTTGTGGTTACTCGCTGTTAGTCTTGGTCACAATCAACATGCCTTTCCTCATCAAAATCGCCAGCTTGGCAATGGCAAGTCGAACGAAGGGTCTGTTGTTCACTCGCATTTCTGGATAGCTATGTGCGGCTGTAGGTCCACCGACGTCATCGTCACGGGACGGGGACGCGAACTTGGGCCCGCTGCTCGCCGGCTGACGTCCGCCGAGATCGCCAACGGGATGGTTCAGGCGCGTTCTCGGCGCGCGCGTTTGAATTCGGGTGTCGGCCTGGCGTGCGGTACAAAAGCCCCTTGCCTCTTACCACCACCATCCCCTCCATGTCGAGCCCGGGATCCCCCAGGGCGCTGCCCGGATGGCTTGTCGCGCGCGTGCACACCGGCCTCGCGCTGACCGCGTTCGCGAGCGCGCTCTTGTTCGGGTGTATGCTGCACTACAAGAAGATCGTCAAGAATGGCGTCGCGGGGTGGCCCAAGGAGTGGTTCCCCTCGGTGTCAGCGACGTGAGTGGGATCTCGACGCGTTCATCATGATGAGCAAGCGGACTGGCTAATGCGGGGCACAGGATCGGAGATTGGTACCCCGAGCGGAATATATTCCAGATCATGATTGCGCTGACATCCGGTGAGAGGCGCGTAAAGCGCGGCTCGTAATGGTCCTGATTCCCCTCCCTTCAGGTCCCCGGTTCGCGCTGGTGTACTTGCTGTACTGCCTGAACCGGTCGAACACCCTCTTCGTCATAGGCATTCTGAGGACACTGAGCTGCGGCGGATGGGTCTACATAACATCGACGGACGACCATGACATTCACGACGTGTGCATGATCACTTACGTTGTCTTGACTTTGCCGTGGATGATTGGCGGGACCCTGCGTTCGTCTGGAAAGGCTAGAAGATGGAGGTAAGTATAGCGCTGAGCTTGCGGCTGTCGATCTGATTCTGACGCTTGCAGACGAACGGTCGCGTCGACGTTCTTCGCATCACTTTTGCCACTAGGCTACTTCTTCTACCAGCATAAGGTCAAGCGTATACCGGGAGGTGAGTAGCTTACTCGCACCTCGTCCGCGCATGCGCTCATTTGCACGAAGCCTATACGCGATACAGCTTTTTCGAATGGGGCCTTGTCATCCTTGACGTACTCTTCGACGCCGCCGCAGAAGAGGACTTCAGAGCGAACAATATTCAGGCAAGCTGATTTTCTCATGGTTGACCTAGAGAAAATTGTAATAAAATTCTACAGCTCGTCCTTTCAGTCGGGAGTCCGTCCAATGTACCTCTTGAAGAAACGTATGCCCAGATTCACCGCCTCGCATGATACCAGCGGGCGTACAGAGAAATTCAAGCCGATTAACCCCGCATATAGTCACACTCTGGACGTAAAGTCTGCAGCAAACGATCATGGAGGAGCCCTTCAGAGTGCGGTTCAGCCAGCCGTGACAACTGGCCATAATGAACACGGTCGCTCAGCATCGCTTCGCTCCCTTGTAACCTTCGCGTCGGATTTGTACCTTGGTAAGTCTTCGAATCAGGCCCAGAACTAACCCACTCACGACACCAGCCCACACTTTCTGGGCCGTCTTCACCGCCGTCCAGCCCACCCTCTTCTACTTCTCTGTCTGGGAGCTCGCCATTGCGGGCCCTGAACTCGCCATCTTGAGCGTCCTCTCACCCGCCTTACTCGGCTCGCGCATCATTGCCTCCTGGGCGTCCAGCAAGAAAGGGCAAGCTGCGCTGCACGTGCTATCCCTCGCCGCGCTTCTCTCGTACTTGTCATACAGCCCGGTTCACCGGTTGTTTTTGGTGACGCCAAGCACGTCGTTCGTCACCTTGAGGCAGGCGGCGCTGTTGGTGCAGCCAAGGAGGCAAGGGAGGGCGTATCATAGTGTTGGTGAGAGCGAGTGTTTTGTTATGTGACTTTGGGCTGATATATCTGCAGTTTGGTTATTGGGTCTCATATTGTTCTCGCTCGGGAAGTATGCGAATCATTCGAATAGCCCTGGTGAGCTCGACTGTGGACTTCTGGTCTGAGGTCGATCACTGATCTTCGATTAAGTTTGGCCTTTCGTCAACGAAGCGACAGGCGGATACAACAAGACCGGTCTCCTGTTCGCCGTTCTTTGCTGCCTCGAGCTCATTTTGCGCCCTCGAGCAACTTCGGATGTACCTCTCGGGCCTCGCGCCCTGAAATCTTCCGCATCTCGCACATCGAATCAATCCCAGGTGCACTGGCTCTTCGGCGCTCTCCCGCTTGGTGCTCTCACGTTTATCTTGCACGCCTACCTCACCGAGCCCGGTACACTGGCGGCGTGGGCTTGGACGGGCTGGAACGATTACAAGCCTGGCGGACCGCTTCCGCACCATGCTGTGTTGACCTTGCTTGCTATGGCTGTCGGGGCTGCGCTCGCTGTGGCCTCCCTGCGTGGCGAAGTCTCAGATACCCCTGGCGACGTTGCCGGCACCGCGTCCTCCAAGACTACCACTCAACCTCCCGTCCACACCTTCATCGCGTCGCTCCTCACGCATCCTGTCTGGCACGTCCTCGGCAGTGCGGCATCCCTCGTGATGTATCGCTACCGCGGCTGGACTGGCTACGCTGGCAGCCTCGCAGCGGCCGTCTACTGGACTTCGCTGGTACCAAGCGTCGTCTCAAGGGCCGCGTCTACCGGGAAACACGGTCGTACACTGGGGCTGGCGATGTTTGTGTACATCCTGTTCATATTGGCCAGCGTGTGGACGGTGGCGTATGCTTTTGTCCCGGGCGGTATCTACTTGCGTGAGCGGACGGATCTGTGAGTCTTATGCTTCCTGATCCCCTTCTACATAGGCGGTTGATTGACGATGAGCCCAGGGTCATGATTGCCCAGACCGCACTCCTGGCCTCCACGCTCGCGTTTTCCCTTCACAAAGACCAGTCCAACCTCCTAGCCCTCGAGCTACCCAAGCCCGCCCGCCTGCGTGCATACGGCACGCTCGCCCTCCTTTGCATCCTAGGTCTGGCGACGTCGCTGTACCGCCAGCCCATGGCCGCGCCGCGGCCGTACAACGCGGGCCCAAGGATCGTGACCGCGGGGATATGGACGGTGCACTTCGGGTTCGATAATGAGGGGCGGGATAGCCAGAGGTTGATTGCGCAGCTTGCGGAGTGAGTGGTGATTTCTGTGGTCTTTGTGTCATGGGTCGAGGATGGATGCTAAAGTGGATGACTAGCGATATGCGGCTGGACGTTCTGGGCTTGTTGGAGACGGATCTGCATGTAAGGCGCTGGGTTTTGCGTATGACAATAGTGCTGATGGTTTTGAACAGCGTACCGTCTTCGGAAATCGGGACTTGTGAGCATCTGGACTTGCACGGCGGCAGGAATGCTGAATAGATCGCATTATAGGTCGAGATATATGGCGGAGGAGAAAGGCTACGTGAGCAAACCGCTGGCATCTCATGATGCCTTGCGTTGACCCGATGACTAGTTTGTCGACATTGGGCCGGGACCGAACAAGCACACCTGGGGTGCCGTCCTTCTGTCCAAGGTATGCCGCCTTCGTCCGTTCTCTGCACCCAGGACTGATTTCTTCTGTCACAGTTTCCCATCAAGAACTCGACACATCATCTCCTACCATCGCCTCACGGCGAATTGGCGCCTGCGATTACTGCCATTTTAGACGTCTGGGGTACGGACGTCATGGTCGTGGTCTCGCACAACGGACAAAGTAAGCATCTTTTCGTTGCCCACCTGCCTTATTCATCCTCGACACTGACACGTACACGCAGAGGAAGACAGACTCGACCGCCAGCTGCAAAGCACAGAGCTCGGGCGACTGATGGCAGAGGCGTATCCCATGCCGACCATATTCCTCGGCTATGTCGTGACGCGGCCTCACGCGCAGAAGCCCAACCCGTACCGCTACCTCGTCGAAGACGGCCGGATGTACGACATCGACGAGGAGGACAAGGACCGATGGTGAGTACCTTTCCCTTCTTGCTAACGTGCTTGCTTCGGGTTGCGCTTTCCGATGCGAGGTCTCATCTCACCAATAGGTGCGAGTATATCATGTACCGCGGCCTCTATCGCACTGCGTACGCCCGCGTGTCCCGGGGTGTTGTCACGGACACGGAGATGCAGATCGGGCAATTCGTGGTGCCCAAGCATGGCGAGACGACGAGCGATCTGTCGTTCGAGGAGCGGTACCTTCGCTCCTATAGGGAGGATCTGCCGGTGGAACACGTACGTCTGCGCTGCCGTTACTACTCTTCACTGCTCATCGCTAGCCTTGCAGTGGTTCCCCGACGAGTACTACGGCAACAAGCACGAAGGCGGGAAGAACAAGCACTTCTATCATGTCTTCGACACGGTAAGTACCCTCGGGCATTGACGTGACTGTATAGAAGCTGACAACTTTCAGCCCTTGTACTATCGCCTCCCGGAAGGCGCACGCGTGTAGATGCACCAAAAATCTCTTCAGTCCACGATCTAAGTATCCATCTGCATCATCTTGTCGTGCTACGCTACTGAACGGACTATGCTCTGCACTGTATTTCTTGCTGGTCTATATGCACGGACAATATATTTATGTCATTCTGACTGTCGCAGTGGATTTTGCGTCAGCCCATTGGCACAGATTGATGACTCTATCGCCGCCGGAGCAAAGCAAGCCTAAGGGGGAACGAGCTATGATCTTAGGCCGGGACTACGATAACTTATAAGTGGTGTACGTGTGAGTGTCCGCGTTCATCATCTAGAGGTCGTCTTCAATACAGCGCTTGTCAGTTCCTACGGTCGGCTGGGCACTGACTTGGGTGCCATCGGACTTCGGGAAGATGACCACATCATCATCGATCTCGCACTGTGTGTCATCGCCGGTAGGCAGCTGAGAACGGAAGTCAGTCGACGTCGAAGATATAACCTTGCTCGACTGGACGTACCGAGCCGTCAGCAAAATACTGCTTGATAGCGTTGATCGTGCAGGTCGACTTCTCCGCCAACGACGTATGGCCGAAGCCGTTCTGCGTGACGAGGACGGCTTTGTCACCAAGTATGCTGGCCACGCGCTGCGAGTTGCTGTAAGGGGTGATCGGGTCGACCTGCAAGGTAAACCTCGTTAGTGGGAAGGGCTAATACTTTATCACTAGACTACCAACTCACCTTATTCCCGATAATCAGCACCGTATTCTTCGGCTTGCTATCCCAAGGGCCCGTAAAACGCTCCACGGCCCTCGCAGGCCACGCATAGCAGAGCTTTGCAGGAATAACGTGCCACCGGGGGCCGAATATGGGAGACACGTCTCGCGAGGCGTTCGCGATGCCCTCGAAGCTGTCGCGCATGGTCTGGTTCCCTGCGTCGATGGCATCACCGCAGTATATCGACTCCGTCCCGAAGACGGGCGGCGCGGTGATGTTGTACTTGAGGGGCACGAGCTTGGCGGCGACGTCTGAGGGGACCGTGGAGTTAGATGAGAGGGAGTCGAGGGACTGCGCCCAAGCGGAGAGCGTATCGGCGACGGAGGACCATTGCGGTGGCAAATAGAGGGTGCTCCAGAGCCATTCGCGGGCCTCGGAGGAGGTGAGGGTCTGGGACATGTCGGCGCCGGACTCAAGCAGGTTGTGAGCGCGCTGTGGAAGGTGGTGAGTCGGGGAAATAATATTACGACGAGGGAGTACTCACATCGAAAAGGTCCCGGACGTATTGCACGACGTCCGCGCCGGTACTGGTATCGTTTTGAGCGAGGGGGCAGCTGCCCTTGCCGGCTTGCGCGCAGGCGTCGGCGAAGCCAGTGAAGGTCTCGTCGGTGTTGAGCATGTTGTTCGGGTAGTACTGGAAGCAATCTAGGTTAGCGACTGACAAGCCGAATCTGAAGCAAGCCTACATGAATAGATGGCTCGGTCCAGTAGATTTCGGGATCTACACGAGTGAGAGCCAAACCTCAATGGAATGCATAGTACTCACTCATACAACCGTCGAGGACAACATGCCCGACGCGCTCGGGGAACACTGAAACCGTTGCTCAGTTCAAAGGCGGGCGAAGGCAAGGGGAGACTTGCGATTAATGAAGACGAAGCCAATCGTCGTCCCATACGAGATACCCCAGTAATTGACCTCTTGCACCCCCGGGTCGAGATAATCCGCAAGCGTCGCAATATCGCGCGCCGTAGCGACAGTCCCCACATATCGCAGTATCTTGCCATCCGCATCGGCTTTGACACAGCGCTCCGCAAGCTCCCGGTACTTCGCGTCCATCTCATCGATGTGAGAGTAGAACTGCTCGACCTGATCGTCGTCGGTCAAGTTCCCGTGGATCTCGATCCCCGTGGCCTCGAGCGTGCCGTTGAAGAACTCGTTGTACTCGTCCGCGCTGGAGAAGCAGGAGATCGCGCCTGGGACGGTGTTGCCTTGCGAGCCGCGCGGGTCCCAGGCGACGATGTCGTAGTGGTTGCCTACGGCGGCGCGGAGTTGGGTGCCGTTCATGAGGAGGAAGCCGACGCCGGAGATGCCTGGTCCGCCTGAGTAGCTGTTAGAAGGTTGCAGATGCTTGATTGAAGGAGAATTTACCTGGATTGACGAACATCGTTCCCCAGCGCTCTTCCGGGGCGGGATCCTTCGCGAGTGCGAGCTTCGCAGTGCCCGCCGATTCGTCTGCATAGTCGAGAGGCACCTCGTAGAACCCGCAAGTGATGTTGGTCGCGTCGGCAAAGCTGTATAGAGGGTTGAGGTCGCTGCACGAAGACCATTCAACCTCAGATCCGCGCTGCAATTCAAGGTCAACTATGATGTCGTGACAAGCATGTGAAGACTGATTGTGACCTTCGTAGCAGTAGCATCAGCAGCACCGACGGCTAAAGCGCACGCGCCCAAAAGCACCGCGGAAGCCGCAGCAAACATGCTGTAGGAGTCAAGTTGGGCAAGCCTGAGACTGTACGATGTTGCCCTCTTATACAGGACGGCTCTTGGTGACCTAACATCTGCGGCTGCTTCCCGTCTTATGACTAGAATGGTTAGCTGGGTATTACACTCCGAAGGTAACACGCTGTTAAGCTACGTCGGCAATCGTCGTGTCAGCACGCTGACGATGGAACACGAGCGACGTTTTCGACGGCGGGACGGCGGGGTAGCTGCGAGTCACTGTTTCACCAGGCGATATAATATTGAGAGACTGGAAGTCAACTTGCAGGAGACTTAAACATGCTATAGCTCTCTGAAAAGAATTCCAGGAGGACAGGGACATCGAGTGCGCTGACAGGTTGCAAGTGTAATCAGTGAGGTTGAATTTCGACATGAGCGCACGAAGCAAGCGATCCCGTGCCTTCGATGGTCGAGGTCCACTGATCATCACGAGTGTAAACTAGGACCCATCGCCTTCAACACCATGATGAAGAATCCTATTGATATGCCCGTCACCGTGATGAGATCAGTAATGTCCGACGTTCAGCCCAAGGTCCACGAAGAGACAGAGTTCATCTAGTACTCTACACGTCCCTCTAGCCAGCCTTGTAGGTAGCGTCCAGGATACTCCGCCTCACGCTGGCTTGCGTCACGTTCGGGTTGGGGAATAGGACGACGCTATCGTCTATCTCGCACACTGTGGCATCGTTCTCAGGTAACTTAGGAAGTCTGTGTCAGGTGCGCTCGCCGACGAGTTGCGGATTACTCACCGAGCCTTCAGTGAAGTATTTGTTGATGATGCCGATTGTACAGCTCGACTGCTCCGCCAACGACGTATGACCAAGCCCGTCCTGTCTCACAAGAACGGCACTGTCTCCAAGTAAGTCGGCCATGAGCTGTGCGTTCTTGAATGGCGTGATCGGATCGGCCTGGAGGACGTCAGATATCAGTCGAGAGCATACCACGTAGGTGAACAACAACTGCTCACCGTATTCCCTATGATAAGAACCGGATTCTTAGGCTTGTTGTCCCACGGGCCCGTGTAGCGCTCGACAGCGCGCACCGGCCAGGCGAAGCACGCATTCCCAGAATTACCCCACTGCGGCCCGAACAAAGGTGACACGTTCTCCGACGCTGACACGATTGCATCGAACCCATCCCGCATCGTCATGTTGCCCGCGTCGACGACGTCGCTGCAGAGTATCGCCTCGTTCGCATGCGACGGTACCACACTGAAGTTGGTCTTCATCGACGAGAGCTCCGCCGCGATCTCTGCTGGTACGCTCTCGTTGGCAGCGAGCGCCTCAAGCGCGAGACCCCAGTCGTGGAGGAGGCCGGCGGCGGAGGACCAAGTTTGCGTCAATTGCAACGTGTTGTAGAGGTTGACGCGCGCCTCGGCAGACGTGGGCACCTGGCTCATGTCGGCGCCTCCGATTGTGAGGTTGTGAGCGAGCTATGGGGGTGTATCAGCAGGGCTGATCCGAGAGAGTGAAAAAGGGAAGGACATACATCAAGCATGTCTTGGAAATGTTGCTCGATATCCGCGGCCGTGTCATTGTCGTTCTTAACGAGCGGACAGCCTGCCTTTCCGGCCATAGCGCAAGCGGCGGTAAACCCAGCGAAGGTCTCGTCACTGGATTCGAGGCTATTGAGGAAGTACTACGAACAGTCCATGCGCGGTCCTCGCAGTGATAAACTGAACTCACTTGAGTACTGGGTTCGGTCATGTAGAGGATAGGATCTAGAGAGGTTAGTACAGTACCGGCTTACGCAACGAAGGAGCATACCCATGCAGCCATCGAGGACGACACGCCCAACGCGCTCAGGAAACACTGAATCAAGGTAAGTAACGTGCTCAAGTACGAAGGTCTGGGTACCTCACTGTTCACGAAGGTAATCCCAAGCATCGTCCCGTACGAGACACCCCAGTAGTTGATCCCTTGCACACCAGGTTCCAAGTAGTCCGCAAGAGACACGAGATCGCGTGCCGTAGCCGCCGTCCCGATATAATGCAGCGTATCCCCATTCTTGCCCGCTGCGCACCGCTGTCCTTCGCCCTTGAGCTTCGCCTCCATCTCGCCTACATGCGAGTAAAGCTCGGCTACCTGGTCGCCGTCGCTGAGGTTGCCCTTGATGTCTATACCGGTTACCTGGAGGGTACCATTGTAGTACTCGTAGTACTCAGCAGCGCTGTTGAAGCACGTAGGAGGTCCTGGATCGGTGAAGCCATCGGACCCGCGAGGGTCCCAGGAGACGAGGTCGTAGTTGCCGCCCGTTATGGCACTGAGGTTCGCGCCGTACTCGACGACAAACGCCACGCCTGAGTTACCTGGGCCGCCTGGACGGCATCAGAGGAGATGAACCTGAAACCGAAAAGATAAGGTCAGACCAGGGTTGACGAACAGGGTGCCGACGCGCTCCCCCGTGGCGGGATACTTGACCACGGCAAGCTTCGCAGTGCCCACGGTCTCGTCAGCGTAGTCGAGGGGCACTTCGTAATATCCGCATGTGATGTTCTGGGCATCCCCAGCGCTGTATTGAGGGTCGAAGTCGCCGCACGAGAACCATGCTACCCCCGCGTTGCGCTGGGGGGCTTGGTGAGCCAGGGAGCGCGTATATTGGAGCTGAGATACGTACAGCTGTCGCGGACGATCCAAGTGCCTGACCGGCAACAATTATCACACCAGCTGGAAACAAGCTCGTAGTCCGCGCCATGGTTCTTGTGGTGACAGAGGGCGTCGACTGATCAACCACGAGTCGTCTGCCCCTTATACCTCCTCGCCTTGACTACAGTGATCCCCAATCGCTTGCCAGGATGGTTTGATCGTGCCGTGCCAGTGAGAACGTCGTACCGCCTTGATGTCGACGACAAATTAGAATTGTATTAACGCACCCTCGAGTAAGGTTAGGCAGTGCAGCCCTTGAAGATTCAGAGTGGCAAGGTTAGCGACCGGCAACCCTTGCCCGATGACTTACTTTCCATAGATCTTGATTATCACCAGCTGTGAGGTTTGATGGTGCCATGACACGAAGGCATACGAGCAGTGAGCGCAGTGGTATGAAAAAGGGCCCGGGTTGTCGTGTCTCATCATTAAAGCGTCCAAATCACAGCAAGAGTTCACATTGACTTGCTGGATCTCAGCCATCTAACGAGCCTTCTCCGCGTCAGCCAACATGCTGAGCCTCACGCTGGCTTGCGTCACACTAGAATTGGGGAACAGCACGACGCTGTCGTCGATCTCGCATTCTGTATCGTCGCCTTCCGGTAGCTGTAGGTATTTGGGTGAGATGCGCTCGCCTACGACTTGTATACCACATACCGAGCCTTGAGTGAAGTACTTGTTGATGATGCCGACAGTGCAGCTGAACTTCTCCGCCAGCGACGTATGACCGAGCCCGTCCTGCTTCACCAGAACGGCGCTGTCCCCGAGCAAGTTGGCCATGAGTTGCGCATTTTTGAACGGAGTGACTGGATCGGCCTGGGGTTACAGACATCAATCGATATCTTGCAGCACCAAGGATCAAGCTCACCGTGTTCCCGATGATCAGCACCGGATTCTTGAGCTTGTTATCCCATGGTCCCGTGTAGCGTTCAACAGCGCGCGCCGGCCACGCGAAGCAGGCATTGCCAGCATCACCCCAGACGGGTCCGAACAGAGGCGACACGGTTTCCGACGCAAATACGATAGTATCGAAGCCGTCGCGCATTGTCATATTGCCCGCGTCGACGGCGTCGCCGCAGGATATCGCCTCATACGCATACGAAGGTATCAAGCTCAGGTTAGGCTTGAGGAAAGAGAGCTCCGCAGCGATGCCTGGTGGCACGCTCTGGTTGGCAGCAAGACCCTCGAGCGCCAACCCCCAGTCGCGGATGACGCTGGCGACCGTGGCCCATGCGCTTGGGAAGTACATGATGGAGTAGAGATTGGCGCGAGCTTCAGCGGATGTGGGGATTTCGCTCATGTCGGCACCTGCCACCGTCAAGTCGTGGGCGAGCTGTAGACATGTATTGATGAGATGAGATTGCATTGGTAGAGCAGAGTCGGACTCACGTCAAGGAGGTCTTGGACTCTCTTCTCAATGTCTGCAGCCGTGTCGTTGTCGCCCTTCACGAGCGCGCAGCCTGCCTTTCCGGCCAGAGCGCAACCTGCGGCAAAGCCGGCGAACGTCTCATCGCTCGATTCGAGCGCGTTAGGGTAATACTGTGCACTGTTCATGTGTTTCAAGATCGACAACACGTCCAACTCACCTGAGGGCTTGGTCTGTCTGTATATAGGATGGGGTCTGAAGAGGTCAGCTGTCTCTCTTGACATGAAAGTAAACGGTCGTACCCATGCAACCGTCTAGAATAACACGTCCAACGCGATCAGGAAACACTGGCATTCAGGTTAGGCGGTTGTAACGACATGGAGATGGAGAGGCCGTACTGTTGACAAACGTGAGCCCCAGCATTGTGCCATATGAGATACCCCAGTAGTTGATCTCTTGCACGCCGGGTTCGAAGTAGTCCGCCAGAGCCACGATATCGCGCGCTGTAGCGGCCGTGCCAAGGTACTCAAGAGTCTGTCCGTTCTTGTGATCTGCGCAGCGCTGGCCTTCACCTATGTATTTGGCCTCCATCTCGTCGACATGCGAGTAGAAGCTAGCGATTTGGTCGTCGTCTCGGAGCTGGCCTCTAATCTCAATCCCTGTGAGCTGAAGCGTGCCGTTGAAGTACTCGTAATAGTCGGCGGCGGTGTTGAAACAAGCAGGGGGCCCTGGCTCGGTGTGTCCCTCCGATCCACGCGGATCCCAGGAGACGATGTCGTAGTTGCCGCCTGTCACGACGCTGATGTTCGGGCCAAAGCCAACGACGTACTCGACACCTGAGCCTCCCGGGCCACCTGAAGGGTATCAGAAGACAATTTCAACCCCAAGATATTCAGAACACACCAGGATTGACGAAGAGGGTACCCCAGCGCTCCTCAGCGGCGGGATATCTAGCCACGGCCAGCTTTGCAGTGCCCGCGGTTTCGTCGGCCCAGTCGAGGGGCACTTCATAGTAGCCGCAGGTGATGTTTTGGGCGTCGCCAACGCTGTACTGAGGGTCGAATCTGCTGCAGGGAAACCAGTCTATGCCCGCGTCGCGCTGGAATGTACGGTTAGCCAAAGGACATGCATTCAGGCGTGGTCATACATACAGTACTCGCGGGAGCAGCGAGCACACGAAATGCTCTCCCGACAACGACGGCAATCACAAATGAAGTAGGTTTCGGAGCCATGGTCATCAAGCGGCGAGAGGCAGGTTGACTTTGCGCAACGATCCGCCTCCTCCGCCTTTATACTGTTCATCACGCTGTTGTAGTCAATGACCGTCAGCTGGCCTGGCGGTAAAAGGTACTGCGAGCATAGTGCTGCCTCTATAGCCTGTGATCAGATGGACGCAGTAATCATCTCGAGGCAGGGTAACCCGTGCAGTAAGGCCGCAGAATGGCAGATTAGCGCCCGTCAGACGCTACCCGTGCACTCACTTATGCTGTTGCGACGGAAGACCGCAGCAGAGGCGCGCACTTTGGCTGTCGTCTTCGGCCATACAGCGTTAAGAGGCCGGACAGTACGTCTCGACAATCAACAGCCGACGTCGAATGCGGGCTCTTGGGCCAGATGCAGAGATATCCTACCAGGAGCCAGTACCTGATGCAGGCTGCGTCGAGGTTAGGTTGAAGTGAAGTGCCCGCGTACCTTGTATGTAGTAACAACAATATTCTGAGCACGCGCTGTTGGACGTTGAAGGATGAACCCCCGCGGAAGTCCCATGTATCGAGAACGAGAGACTAGTCAGTTTGTCATTAAAAGCATTGGAGGTAGCCTGAACATTTCAGAGAGAAAGGATATATGTTCAAGATGAGAGCGAGAAAAGAAAGTAAAAATCCGGTGATCTCCGCGAACAAGCATGGCCATCACAAGAGTAAACAAGGACCCACCACCCCTTCCCTCGTCAGGCAAATACCAACGAACTCCTCATCTCACCAGCCCTACGTTGCAAGCACAGCAAGTTACATGTATACAGCGAATACAGTGCTAATGAATACAACAGGCAATTCTACTCTAGGAGGATACTAAAAACTGTACAGCGCGGCGACACCCCGGCGCCACTTCGTGTCTTAACGACTTTCCGCTCTATCACGTCTCAATAGCTACCCCTCATATCTGCGGCAGCACCGACCCGGATTCCCTTATGTTGCCTTCACAAACGCCCCAAGCACATTCAGCACCTCCTCGGGGTCGAGCTTCCAGCGCGCTTCCGTGCCCTTCCCGCTCGTCGAGCACGTCTCCGCCTGATCGAAGTCGTTCATACGGCGCAGCAGCTTCTCGTCGCCGCTGATGACGAGGGCAAAATCGAGGTCTGAAACGAAGATTCAGCTTATCTCCTGCTGTAGGAGACGCTCGAGCTCTCACCTCCCGGATCCAGCGCACCATCCACATCCCTCATCCACGCGGCACGTCCCGCAAGGGGCGAGTGCGCGGGTCCGCCAGGGTGCATGATCGCCCCGACCGCGGTCGAGCGCGAGATGTTGTTCGGCAGGACAAGGAAGGAGTTCGCGCCCGGGATGATGCGCAGGCCAAAGCGCTCGCCAAGGCTGGAGGAATTTGTTAGTGCATGCTCTTCTCCTGTGGTGCAGGCAAGTAAGCTCACCTATCGAAGATATGGTTCTGCGCCTCCGCCGCCTGCCAGCGCGCCCACTGGCGGTCGGGCGAGTCGGTCGGCTTCGAGGGGTCGGTCCAGAAGCGCCAGACGAGCGAGGCCTCGCGTTCCTCAACGACCGCGCCGGGCGTGCGCTCGGTGAACTGGAAATTGGGTCAGAGGATGCACTGGTGTGTGCAAGAAGGCATTGACTTACGTAGTTCAAGATCTCCAGCGCCGACGCCTTCCACGTCAAGTTGAAGTTAGCAACCATGTTGATCCACTCGCCCGTGTTGTTGGGGCCGGAGCCGAGCGTCTTGATGAAGCACCCGTTCTCAGCGCTGAGGATCGGTCAGCGTTTGCTTTGTCCATTCACTCCTTTCCCGCTCACATAATCCCCAACCTCGGAATCCTGTCTGCAATCCTCTGCAGCACGCTCCGCGGCAGACCGCTCATGAGCCAGACCTTGAAGGAGAACGATGAGCAGACTGCTTGTGAACAACAGGTGGTCAAGCGCACCTCATTGCGCTTGTCCGCGACCAACTTCTCCAAGATTTCGAGCGCGGCCTCCGGAGGGTCAAACCGATTGTCCAACAGCGCATCCCTCGACACATCCCTTCCAACATTAATCAGCTCATTGACCCCTTACCACGCAACCCATCCACTCACCTCTTATATAACGTTCCCTCCAAATCAATAAACAGCATCCTTTTCGACGAATGCTTATACCTCGGCACTACGCGATGCGCATCCAGCACGGTCACGTCCTCAACATCCGGCTGGATGTGCTCCAGATGCGCACGCACGCAGCGCGAGAGGAACGAGGTAACGAAGGCCTGCGCGGTCTGCGTGATGACGTGGTTGTGCAGGTCCTCCCAGCGGGAGAGGGCCTCATCGTCGGACATGGTGAGCGCCTGGGCCAGTGCGGAGGAGGTGCCGCGGGCGTCCCAGGGGTTGATGGCGATGCAGGAGCGGAAGCCGCTGTAGCTGTAGCTGCCGGTAAACTGGGGGAGGAGTTAGAGAAAGGATGTTGCGATGGGGTAGTTTGACGAACCTCGCTGAGGACGAGAGGGCGATGGCGACCCTCTTGACATTCGACGAACTCGTGGGCACGGAGGGCCATGCCCTCGCGAAGACCTTGAGGAAACGGATGAGCCATCGCTCGAAACGGTCAGCGGACCGAGGCTTACTGGTCACGAGGAAGACATCAGCGACTGTCAAAAGGGCGAGGTACTGCGAGAAGGTAAGATCCTGGGTGTGGAGGAAGACTATAGGCTGATAAGTGAGCGTCGAGAATCTGTAGCATCGTTAGCAAACAAAGACTACCTTTCAAAAGCAGCGCACTCACTTCGAGTTCACATGCGCTACCAGATCGCTGACGCCCCCGCCGACCTCGTTCGCTTCCGTCGTCTGCAATGCAACCTGAATGAGGACCACCTTCCCCTGCCACTCCGGATTGCGCTCCAAGAACATGTCGAACGCCTGGATCTTCTGTCTGACACCCTGAATCCCATCCAACTTATCGCGCCCCACAATCATCTTCATCCCCGCGTACCGCTGCTGCAGCACGTTCACCCACTCCGCGACCTCCGGGTCCTTCTTCCGCTTCTCGAGTTGGTTCACGTCGATGCCCATCGGGTACACGCCGACGTCGACGAAGCGACCCTTCGTCGAGCCGTTGGGCTGCGGGCCGGGCACCGGGCCGTCGGGGACCTGAATGCCTTTGGGCAGTGCCTCGTAGGAGAGGATGCGGGAGACGGTCTGGCGGAAATGACGCGCGAAGTTGGCGGTTTGGAAGCCGACGAGGTCCGCGCCAAGGACACCCTTGAGCAATTCGTGGCGCATGGGGAGCACCTTGAAGATCTCGCTGGAGGGGAAGGCGACGTGCATGAAGAAGCCGATGGGGACGTTGTGCGGGAGCTTGGGGTGCTGTCGGAGCAGAAGGGGTAGCATCATGAGGTGGTAGTCGTTCACGAAGACTAGGGTCGGTTAGCGAGGAGGACGGGATGGGCGAAGGATCTACTTACTGACATCGCCCTCTTTCCAGTTGTCGGCGATGACGTCGGCGAAGCGCTTGTTTACGGCGACGTACTGCTTGAAGGCGGACGACTGGAAGAATTGGGTGGTCTTTGGGGCATCGGGGATGACATAGTGCAGGCACGGCCATAAGACCTGGTGGCAGAACTCGTCGTAGCACTTCTCAAACTCGTCGTCCGGAATCCAGACGGGCAAGCTTTGGTGGTCCTTAGCCATCCGCCGGTCGATATCGCGACGAAGTTTCGGGGAGCAAGAGTCTGTCTGCATACCGAGCGTGCCGACCCAGACCTTGCGCTTGAGGCGCGTCCCGACGGACTCGATCGCGTTGCGGAGTCCTCCATTACAGTGCGGGTTGGACTCGACGTGCCAGGGCTCGACGTTCGTGGTGCCGTTCTGCTCGCCTGATCGGCGCGCCTGCGATTGCGACCGCGAGTGGCGGCGCTGCATGCGCGTCGGGGACGTCGCGGCGGACAGCTGGCGCCTCAGTGTCGCGTTCATGTGCGCTGATTGCGCGCCCGGGCCTGTCGGGCCGCGCGACAGCGGCGGTCGCTGCGCCTCTGGCAGCTCCCCGACGGCCTTCGACACTGCGCGCAGGGTGTTAGTCGTCGCAGTGCGGTTGAAGCCCGCGAAGGGGTTCCCTGGTTCTTCTCGCGGCGAGAGGGACGGCGTGCCATGGCGCGTCTGGGGATCGTCCGATCAGCTTGCGCACTCCGTCATATCGCGATCGGTGCGCACCTTGTCCTTCAGATCCTCTACGATACTCTTCAGGGGACCGCCTCGCAGGGGCTGCGGCGTGAGGGCCGCGGCGGCCTCTTCAGTGATCGGGGCCTTCTCTGGCGTCTCTGGGATGTCCTCTCCGAGCACGGCGGTCTCGGGGAGGAAGAGGGAGGCGATGATGACGCTGTGGTTGCGGAAGAGACTCATTGCTGGCGAGCGACGCTTGCTCAGCACTTGCTTATGAGGGAGATGGCGGTCGGGAGGAAGAAGCAAACTAGGCGAACTGGAGATCCGCTTGTAGCCTGGAGCGCGTTCGCTTGCCGCTTGCGAGAATCAGACGTCAAGAATGCGCTCATGACCGCGGAGAAACGAAACGGCGAGAATATGCCAGACCCGGCTTGGCGGCATCGTCCGCTCACTGACTGGCCCAGGACTCGGAGGAGAAGTGCCTACACCTACAGAACATTACGGTATACTGTTGTGCAGTGCGGCTGTACAGTATTTTACGACGTTTATGCTGCACGCTTGAGAGGCACAGGAGATTCCCACTTTTGCGCTTGCATGCCTGCAACGCCACACGGAGCCATATACAGCAAAATGACGTCCCGAGAAAGGCACGCGTTGGCCATAAAATGCATGTTGATCTCCGACCATCGTTCCCTTCGTCCTCGACGTACTTCCGAGAGCCTTGATCTGAACGATGCCAGCGCGACCAGACAGGCTGTTACATGACGAACAAGTAAACTTTTCCCTGGCCCGTAATAGGGCAAGCTCCCGCAGCGGCCCTCGAACCGCGGCAGCCCGGAGCCCCGGACTGACCCGCCAGGCATGTGCTCCCCGCAAGGCCCATATAGCTCATCCCAAACCTGGACAAACGGTCAGTTTCCCAGCCCGATCGCAGCGATCCAGTCCACAGCTCAAGCGGCGCGATGCGAGCCCATCGACGTGGTTCGCCCGACGCATAGCTTGCGGCGTTCTACCTTCTCGACGCAGTTTCATATTCATTGAAGGCGGTACGCCGATTCGATGCGGCGACACACTCATCGAGGACGACACACTGATCAATGAACTCTACATCCTGATCACGACAGATCGCCGCAGGAATCGTAGGGAAGCTCGCCAGAAAGACACCGATATCGAAAGAACGCCATCGATGCAAACGAACGTTCTTCATCTGCTGCGCAGGTTTGTGGGCGGTGCTGTTGGCAATCGACGTCGTGATGTAAGAGAGCGAGCTGAGGGCTTTACGCTCACGGTGGCGCACGATGGCAAGCAACTTACGTCCTGATTAGACCCATCGATGGGTTGTGCGTCGATGAACTCGGCCTCATCGGGTGGCTTGGTGAGTGTTATTTGGACTCGACAGATAGGCTGTAGCGACTCTGAAGAGCCGTCTACGGCCGACGGAAGATTCCTGCAAACGCCACAAAGGTGCTGCCACTAAATCAAGAAACCTTCACCACAGAATGGTCACAACGCGCGACGGGAATATGCTTATAACATCACGAGGATGCCACCCATCCAGTGTGGCCCTGCCTCCCCTCGCTGACGACTCTTCCGCTATCTTGCATATCAGCGACTTCGGTATCACACCTTCGACCACACAACGACACTCTCAAACCTCTCCTCGTACTCCCTGCGCTATATGCCTCTCAAGCAACAACTATGCTCGCGAATACCAGTCAAACTGACCCTGCTCGCCGTGTTTCGAACATCAACATCGGCTACAATTTCGCCATGTTGTACAAGCCACGGTGCGATTCTCAAGCGCCTCCCCCGTCTACTTTCTGGCAGCCTTCTGCGATTGCACCCCTCAATAGACCGCGCGGACCGTTCTCCTTGGCCTACCGCCCGAAAAGCAGCGACTTCCTTCCGATTTCGCAAGCGAGGAGCTTCGCCAACGACGACGATCTTCGCTCAACAAATACGAATGGCATTCGCTCGACCACCGCTAATGGTCCTCACTCGAACAAGACAAGTGGTGTCCGCTGGAAGATTCACGCTTTACCCGGCGCCGAGTCCATCGATGCCCCCCTCACCGATGCTCCCGTTTCGTGGCAGAACGCCTCGAGCTCATGCGCGGAGGGTTGCGAGAGGTTTATCATCGCGTCAGGGTGCGGGAAGCCAACTACGGTGGCGCAAAGCACAGGCGAAAGATTGTCGCGCGGGCTGAAGAGGAGCAGCGGGAGGGACAATCGATCGAAGCGCCGCGAAATCCGGAGAACGACTGAAGGATGTACGGGACAGAGAGCACATGGAGATGTTCATAAACTAGAGAAGCGTCGGCCCTGCCTCCCGACGACCTTGCTTGCATGTGACACGCACGCTGCGGTGGCCATAGTTCCTCCTCAAGAAATATTTGCCGACGTTCAGAGATTGATCCTGTCTTATGAAGAGGCTTCATGATACTCTGCCTTTTTTTTTTAATCCATTGGGCTCGCTCAAACTTGCTCTTCGCTTCGAGTCTTGTTACCTCAGCTTCGACCGAACTATTCGAATATTCATTCTGACCCACTGCTTATCCGTTTTCTGTTTTCGTTGCTACTGTCGGTGTGTGGAGAGTCTATACGGAGGACTCCTCCGGGCCCTTAGCTATTGAACGTAAAGATGTGGATAGTTGTATATGGGTTTCATCTACTCTTTGTAAATTCTTCCCAAAAAGGCAACCATTGTGTATGTACAAACACGGCCGGATGCTTCGCACCACCCTTATTTACCTGTTACTACATGTCCACGACAGCGAGTGTCCTACATGGCGCCGCGTGCCGAGAAATGCAACTGTTCTTCACCTCTTACCCTCATCTGCCTCCTCTTTTTCGCGACACGAGGGACGAGCATGGTTCTGGGTTGAATCGCCGTCTCGCACGTTACTGACGAGACTAGGTGGTGCGGCAACGGTAATGGGCCCAACACGACTCTACTCTTCTGAGAACCACTTAGATCTGCGTCCCGCTCGCAGGACCCCGGCGGCATCACGTGGGGCACGTGGGGCGCGCCCACAGCCGCCCACATGCGCGCGGACCGGCCAACAGAGCACTGTAGCAGGCAGCAGGTCCTGTCCCAGGACTCAGGAGAAGGGCCTGATTGAAATGCGTGCAGGTCAGAGCGTTATCGAGTGAGAGAGAGAGGAAGAGGAGGGCGGGCAAACGAAATATGGCTGCAGGAGTCTCGAGCCGATGGAAGCAGAGCGCAGAGGTCGACGCGCTCGTCACCTGCGTGACCGTCGCCGCGATTCCTTCGGACGCGGCGACGTCACTCGGCTACTGCCAGTCCACAGCGCCTGCTTCGCTTGATTTGTTGATCGACTTTTTACTGCATAAATTCCCTAATAGAGATCGTCACCATGTTCGGAGACGAGAGAAACAAGGACAACCGTCATATGTTTGGACTTATTTGTGAAATAGGTTCCGCCAAAAGGCACCTGAGTAAGACCTTGCAAGCAAGGTAACTCACGTGCACTTTATGGCCAACACGTGTGGCATTGTTTCCTAAATGGGTAGTAAAGTGATCGGACGTTGGACTAGCCAGGATTGCCACGGATTGGGGCGCTACCGTGGCGTTGGCGCTGGAGTTCGATGGCAATACTGGGTAATTACGCACAAGCGATTGCGACGTACTTATGTGGGCCATTCGAGGTTCATACCCAGGAAGAATCAAGCAGCCCAGGGCGGAGGAAGACTTCTTGGGCGCCAGAATCCTCAACTCGGAATGCACTTTGCCGCCCACGGGGCATGTCGCGTACAATTGTCGAAGTAAAAGTCAGAGTGAAGCAAAGCAGTAGTCCGCTGGTTTTGATAGCTGATTGAGCGTGACGATGCCACCTCGAGCATCACCAGTGGTGGTCCTCAAAGTTCGCAAGCAAGTTCTACTCTTCTGGAGCGTGACTCGGATCATAGTACGCAGGGGAAACAGAGAGACCTGCAACGTCCATTTCGGTCTACTTTGACATGAGTACCCATCTTGAGAGCAGGTGACGAAGCCCATTGAGTTCAAGACATCGTTGCTATGACAATCCGAGGTTGCGCCCGTTCTGTTCTAGCGCAAACTCCTCGGTCTTCCTGAACTGTCATCAGCACAGTTTCTGGACCTCTTGGGACTTCATCTATACGCGCCAGGTCGCGAATTCCGCATTGTAAATCAGGGACGGAGTCAAGTTGAAGTGAAGCAAGTTTTTCGATTTTCGATTCGCTCTTTTTGGCAATCATTATTCTTGTCCGGAGCCATCACCTTCGAGCAATATTCCCCGCCGTCAGGCCTCCCTTTTCGCTTTCCCTAACCTACACCAACTTTGATAGTGCGCAAATATACTTCTCCTACGTTTCGCGGCCTTTCTGACCCTCCGACGATCATTACAGCCTCGGCAACGACCGCCACGACATCGCCACCAGCGACGCCTAATTCATTCCTTACCGCCGACGCTCTTTTATTCAGAACCACTAGAACCACCACGACAATGACCGACCTCACCGTACTCGTCTCGCCGATGCCGCTCCCGACGCCCAGCGCGCCCGCTCCGAGCTCCCCCTTCATCACCGCGCTCAAGCGCCGCAGCCTTGGCCTTGGCCTTGGGCGCTTCGGCAAGAGCGCAGCGGAGCTTGGGAAGCACCACCAGGAGAGCAGTCAACATCACCACAGCGCGCGCGGCTCGAAGAGCGCGGTTGACCTCGGGCTGGATGACGCAGCGACGGAGAAGGCCGCGGGCACCCTTGACGGGCTTGAGGAACGCGGGCGCATCGACAGCCGCCGGTGCAGCGGGAAGGGCATCATGGTCACACTCGAGCGCGAGCTCGACTCGGAGGAGGATACCGATGCGGACGCGGACGAGAAGCCGGCGATGCGCGGGCGTACGTCCTCCGCATCGACCAAGCCGGACACCTCGCCGCGCACGCCGAGCGCCAGCCCGAAGAACAAGAAGGCGCTGCGCCTCTCCTCGCCGCTGCCCTCGCCGTCGTCCACGAAGCCTAAGGACCCGCTCATGTATCCGAAGGCGCGGCCTCATCCGAAGAAGATCCCTTCCTACGACCCCGGGTTGCTGTCGCCCCCGCCGCCGGGCTTCCGCCCTCGCCATCGTCCCACGCGCAGTCGCAGTGCGCCGCCAGTCGGCGAGGCGCCGCAAAGCCCGCGCCCTGGCGATGCGATCAATCCTGCTGCCATCGGCCACGGCGCACGTCAGGCGCGCACGCGCATGGCGACCGTACCTGCTCCTGCCCCTTGCGACTTTGATGCGTACATGCGCGGCGAGACGCAGAACTACACGCCTGCGCGGCGCAACGACGCAGACGACGACGATGATACGCCGAGCCGCTACGCCAAGATTAGCAATGAGCGCGGGCTCACGGAATACGAGAAGAAGCGCGCATTCGCAGAGTGGGAACGCAAGCAGGCAAAACGGCGTACGGGCGAAGTCAGGCAGATCGAGATACCCGACCTCCCGAGCATCGAGTCGACCATGTCGTCGCCCTTAGACGGTGCACGGAATCGTTGGCGCGCGGCGACCGAGTTCGAGATCCCCTATCCGCGCTCTCCAGATATGGATGACGACACGGAATGTAGGTTACTTGGCTATTGTTGACTGCTCGGGTACTGACGGTGGTCGCAGCCTGCCGCTCAATAGCGTTCTCTGACACGACCTTCAACCGCAGTCCGTTTGGGCCTGGGGGTGCGTATAGCATGTCAAGTGCGACGAGGCAGTACGGCTGACAGTGATGCAGGTGCATTAGGACCCCGTTTAATGCAGCGCAGGAGTCTGACAACGCCGTGCGCGGGCGAGCTTGTCCGTCCCGAACCGCCCCTTCGTATGTGCTTGTTCTATGGTCTATCGCTGCAATCGCTTACCGTTCGCTTTCAGTTCGTCCGTCACCCTTCTGGCGCCATACCCCGCGATCAGGCGTGACGCCCTTGTCATATTCGCCTGCTAGTGCACTGGTCAGGAGGTTAGTTGAATCGGACAGCTTGCTGAACGTGGCAGGATACTGACGCTTACGTAGATCTGCCTTCGTCGCCGCTGGTCTCGATCTCGCGCCAGGTACGAAGGGCGACCTTCGCGCCCTCTGCGTCGATGCGCGGGTTCGCGAGAAGAACCTCGTCGCGCCGCCCACGGGTATCGAGGGCGTCGGTGTATAGCAGCAGGTGTCATCGTGCAAAGTCTCTCGTCATGACGCGTCGCGAATTCCCCACGCGCCGAGAGCACGGCCCTCCCCTGCTACTTTATGTCCAGCAGGAGGTCATTCACATCATCGCGCCTAGGAGATCATAGTGCTCCCCTTGTAGCGGTCTCTCCTTCTCGCGCAGGATGTCTTATTCATCAGTTAGTACGCTGGAACACCGGAACACTGGGCGTGTCTGGTTAACGATGCAGACGGTCAAGTTGTCTTTACATACATTCGGTTTTGGGTTGGAGCAGGACACCCGCACATGGTCATGGGCGCATGACAAGCATAGATTTTCTTTCAGGTTACCCTACGCTGCTCTGCTTGTATAGTACGAGTACTTATACCACCGCATGACCTTCACTGAGGGAGAATAACACATGCTATAATTATTGGAAGCAGTTTGCGTGGTGGGCATAGCTGAGTAGGATGAAATTAGAGAGAACAATGAATTCGGGAGAACAAAGCGATGTCCAAGCGCAAGTTGAGATTCCTCTTTTGTACTTGCTTTTGTTCATCACCGACGCGGTCGTGCTCGACGCGTCTTGTCTTGGGAAAATAATGGCGTCCCTCTACGCGTCGTACGCGGATATTCTATCTGTATGCCAGGAGAATACGGATCCAGAGGAGGTGCTCGACCCTGAGACTGGGTTCGCGTCGCGTCTTCGAACATTATGCGACGACAAGTGCGTGCTCAACTACGCAAAGAGGATCCCTCTGACCTCTTGAAAGATTACAAGAGTACGAAGAGCATGGTGCTGACCCTCATACACTTGAGCTGCTCAGGCTGGAAAGGAATACATGGGCACTACTGCAACTACTGACGGCGTGCGTCCACCGATCAGCTCCCCCGCCTCCCCACTAATTCTTGCACCCCCAGAGAGCGTCGCATCATTGAAGATAACCCCCCGCGCACCTCGGCCGCTGCCCTGCTTGCAGAGAACCCCTACACGCCGACGGTGACCGTGGTCAATGCCATCCTCACTTCTTCCCCCATGCTCCGCGAGCTTGTTGTTATTCGCGAGTGGGTGCAGGACTTTGCGCCACCACCACCGAGGGTAGAGCCGACGACGGGATACTTGAAGGGGACGAAGAACGCGTTGGCGCAAGCGGCGAGGATGGGCGCGGCACCACCAGAGTGGCGCGTGCAGACGCTGGACCCGGACGCGACACATCATGGGGATGAGAAGACGTTGGATCCAGATGACATGGTACGTGGCTATGATCATGGCCTGAACTTGAATCCGACAGGCCGCAGAATTACGAAAAGGCACTTGCGCAAGCGCTCTACCGGTATATTCGCGCAGGGCGAACACGAGAAGGCGCGGACCTGTGTAGGGACACCTTCAACCCATGGCGCGCAGCTTGCATCAACGGCTCCATCTTGTTCGAATGGCCTGCTCTGTGTATGCTCAGACTCCCTCGTTCATATCTCGTACTAAAGTGCTCGTTGTAGCGATTGATCCTGAAGAAGCACAGGAAGACGTCGAGAAAGACATATTGCAAGGCAATAGGAACCGTCGACTGTGGAAGAGGACATGCACACGCGCCGCTCTCAGCGTGAGTTCTTTTCTGGTCTACCTTCATCCTTTTACAACCCTTGATTGCAGACTAGAATCGCAGACTACGATCGAATCGTCTTCGCCGCACTCGCCCCATCACCACAAACCTCCGGCGTCCTCAAAATGGCCTGCCGAACCTGGGAAGACCACCTCTGGACACAGGTTGCCATCGTCTTTGAGGAGAAAATAAGCACCGAGCTCAATCGGCTCGGTGGCGGCTTCTGGGAAGGTGGTTTGCTCGCGGCCGAAGAAGGCGTCCACATCCCCACACCGGAGGAAGAAGACCAGGAAGAGCTAGAATGGGAGCGCGAGATGGCCCTCGCGCTCAAAAGCCTGGAGACAGTGAAGGTCGAGGAGGGCCCGGATGCGCAGCACCCATTCTACTTCTCGCAGCTGAAGGTCATTCAGGGAAGAACAAAAGAGTTAGTTGAGTTGTTTGCAGCGGAGTTGCAGCAGCCAGGGATGCGGATGATGGCTGAGTACAAGGTGGTCTGCCGGTTCTTCACGCATCTATGCCTTTTCTTGTCGTTGTTGGACGAGCCTGTACCACCCCTAGCCGCGCAGGCGATATACGAGTCGTACTTGCAGCTGTTGGAGGTCAGTGATTTTTTTGGCTTCGACGGGTATCGTGTACTACCTACGCATTTGCAGGACGCTGGCGAGCGCGACTTGATTGCCCTGTACGCAAGCGTGCTCGGCGACAACGCCGTCGAGCGCTACGCCATGTTCTTGGTCTCGCTCGAGTTGTCGTCCGACCGCCAGGAGCGCCGCGCTGCCCTGCATCGCGCGCAGGAGCATGGCCTCGACATCGCACGTGTGGCGATTGCGACGGCGGAGCAGACTATAGGGCGCGCTCTCGAGCTGCTGCCTTCCCTGCGTGGCCCGTTGCCACCATTGAATGCGCCTCAACCTCCGCCATCCGACGAGGAGCTGCTCCTGGCGCGGTCAATCGAGTGGACGACGTTCATGGACGCGACGTTCCCAAGCGCGTTAGAGCATGCTAACCTCATTCTGCGCCGCTTCCTAGGTATGTGATTGCCTGAGCTTAGGCTATTTCTGTCAACAGCTTCTGATCAAAACCGTGTCCCAACAGCCAGCGGTCGCATTACCCTCGCGCGCTCACTGATGGAGCAACTGCCCGTGGAACTCGCCAACATCCGCACGCCAGAAGAGCGCGCAACGGAGTACATGCACTACATGCGCTTCCTGAAGCTTTGGGATCTGCTCGAACGATGCGCAGCCGCTGCCGCGCTGGAGACTCCGGACATGGGTCGGGATGCACGAAAGGCATGGTTGACTGACTACAAGGTACAACATCTCCAGATGATATGCTTACACGATGCTAATTGCTTCTCGCGTAGGCGCTTCTGGATCAGGCCTGGGACGAGCTCATTCATCTACTGGCTGTCATGGAGTGGTTGGTTGTGAGTATCGATGCACCTGGTGGTGAGTGAAGTTAGTATCTCTGCGACAATGTCATTGAAATGCCACATAGGCGACGCACGCCGCCGCGAGCTCATCCGCATCCGCCAAATTTACATCCCCGACCTTGTAACCCGGATCCACACCCTCATGCTTTCTTCGAGACAGCATATCCCTGGGTGCGCTTTATCCCATGCTTTTAGGTACTTAAGCTGAACAAGCCCCGCAGAAACCTCAAGCGCGCCTTGTCCCTCGCGAACATCGTCGCGGACTCACGCTACAGGGTGTACGACGACTTTGTGAACGAGGAAGGTCGGAGGCTGTCCGACTACCTGAAGATGGTGCGCGATGCGGCCATTGCGGGGCTGGAGAACGGCGGGTCAGACCCATTTAGGGTGGTTATGTGATGTTCACAGGCTGGTGTGGAAAATACATGATGTACTTTGAGTCAATATCTGCGCTCGGTCTGCGCAGGCTATGACACTGACAAGGATGGCCCGCACGGCGCGCCTAACATCGCAACAGCGGACAACAAACTGTGCTTAGCACAAGGTGCGCAGTTGCTTTGGTTTCACCCTTCTCATATCCTACAACCGACGTCGGCTTCTGGCAATGGGAATATTCTGCCTGCGCGACCTCGTGACTCTCGACGTCCGGAATGTCTACACCCGGAGGTGACGGCAACAGTATGCGCCTCTGCCCACCTTCTCCGCGCCTTGCGCCGGGCGATGACCAGAATTTAGAAGAGGTGAGTGCCGGGCAAGGCTCGCCGGACGCTATTCTGCCATCCTATTTCCTAATACACGGGTTCCGCTGCCTCGAGATGCCTGCTGCGTAAAATTTATCTTTGGCCCTTGGCGTAGCCGAGGCTGTACAACCTTCGCAGCACATTCGACAGCCCTGGCGGGTGACCTCCGCGGGACTCCAGTGGTTGACGAAGAGAATATATAGGCGGAGGCGCAGGGTATTCGTGATTAGCGCTCGACTTACCTTTCGCCGCTAAGAGACTATGGCGCCGACGGTGGGTTTGTTCGCTGCTGCCATCGTTGCTGGACAAGTGCTCGGTGCACTCGGAGCGTCCTCGAGCACAGTATGTGTTTCTGCTCTAGGACACGAGTGCTCCAGCTGACCAGTCATTTCAGCGCAACTCGACGATAGACTGGTTTTCTTGTGGCCAGTTCGACCCTCAGCTCAGCGCTGGCGACGCCCAGAACATTACATGTGGCTACTATGAAGTACCCCTTGACTACGCCGACGACTCCGTGGGCACTGCGAAGTTGGCCGTGGTCAAATACCCTGCAACGGGGGAACGTTTCGGTACCCTCTTCGTCAATCCTGGTTTGTCTTCATCGTTCGAGCTGAGGTTCATTTGCTTATGCCATTCAGGTGGCCCGGGAGGCTCCGGCGTCGCGTACGTATTTGCATATGGGGCGAACCTCAGTGCCATCACGGGTGGCAACTACGATATCGTCTCTTGGGATCCGCGAGGGTCCGACGGATTTACGGAGCCTGGCCCGCCTGCTTGCTTCGACAGCGCCGCCGACTACTACGCGTACTACAACGGCACCCTCCAGGTGACTGGGATCGAGATCAAGGGCAATCTCAGCGACGATGGCCAAGTCGCTGACTTTTACTCGCACGTCGACGAAATGGAGGCCAAGCTCATAGGCGAAGGGCAGCTTTGCGCCGCCAACAAGAACGGAGACAAACTTCAATACATTGGAACGGCGGCCACAGCTCGTGACATCGTATCTCTCGCGGACTACTTCGAGCCCGGCGTGCAAGAGATCAATTACTGGGGCATCTCGTACGGGACGATGCTGGGAATCACCTTCGTCAACAGTAAGGTTCTCAAGTCCCCGTTCGTGTGCGTCCAGCTTACCATACTCCAGTGTTTCCCGAACGCGTTGGACGTGTCGTCCTGGATGGCTGCATGGGTATGTCTCTTCGCCTACACTCTAGAAGACACCGTACTAACCTCTGCAGACCCTGTTCTGTACATGGGTAAGCCGAGCACCGATGTCAGTTACTCCCATTGTTGCGCGCAGCGTATCTGAACTTTTGTAGTATTACCCCAACGGCCTGGCATCGAGCGAGGCGACCTTCGCTGGTTTCGCCGCCGGCTGTGCCATGGCCGGAAAGGCAGGTTGCCCGCTTGTGCAGAGCGACAACGACACGGCGGCGGATGTCGAGAAGCACTTCCATGACCTGCTTGACGTAGGCCCTTCACTTATTGACTAGCACGCCTCAGCTCATTCTACCTCATAGCTCGCTCATAACCTGACCGTCTCTGGCGCCGACATGAGCGCGGTGCCTACGTCCGCCGAAGCTCGCGCCGACCTCTACAGCATCATGTGGTTCACCCAACTATGGCACTCGGCTGCCAGCCTCATTAACGACTGGGGTACCGCGCTCGAGGCGCTCGCTGCCAACCAGAGCGTCCCAGCCGAGATTGCCGCAGAGCTCTCGGTATTCAAGACAAACTTCAGCGCGGTACCCTCGTATGCGGAGCAGGCGATCTACTGCAGCGACGTCGTCGATGCGGGCAACATGACGATGCGCGGCGGCTTTGATACCATCGTGTCGACGTCGGAGAACGTGTCGCCTTTGTTCGGGCCGCGGTGGGGTGATGCTGGCAATGCGTGCTTTGCCTGGCCAGCGCGTGCGGTCGAGCGCTATACGGGTCCTTGGGATAAGAAACTCAAGAACAAGATTCTCATCATTGGGAACACGGTAAGTCGGTCAATTCTGACACACGATGGCGATTGACATATATCACGCTGCAGGCCGACCCGATCACTCCTTTCGAGAACGCGCAGCTCATGACCCAGTTGCTCGGCGACAGCGCTGTTCTTGTGAAGCAGGATGGGTTCGGACATACGTCGCTGGGGGAGATGTCGCTCTGCACGTACGGACTCATCAACACGTACCTCACGAATGGCTCCGTAAGTGGTCTTTATAGCTCATTATCAGGCATATCTGACGCGACATCCTTCAGCTACCAGAAAACAATGACACAGTATGCGAAATCGACGCCAGCGTCGTCCTTTTCCCCAACTCGACCGTGACGCAGGCCGACATAGCAACGTTACAGAGCATGATCGCTGCTGTGGATGTCTAGGTTGTCCTTCATGCGATATAAATTCGGAGCTCGCGCTTGTAATCGGATTATACATTGCTTCATACATGGCTATGAAAGTTCAGACGTGTATCTTCATAGGACCCACACCCCCTCTAGCTCAGTCCCGAAGCGTATACTGCCGCTCCATCCGCCCAGTCGCTGTGTGTTTGACCTCCACCTCGTCCGCCGTGCCATTCCGCTCGCATGGCGTCACCCGGTACCGGTGGCAAAGCTTCGTCTTCAAGATCCATAAGAACCCATGGTGCGCCCTACCCGGCCACTTCAACTGGTCCGGCTCACCCTCCCTGATGACTAGTTCCTTAAGCCGTGTCCCCTTCGCCGCGACCGCACCGCACGCCTGGGTATTGTTGATTCCGCATAGCGCTTCAGCCGTGTGTGTATTGAGACCATATCTTCTGGATACTGCTCCTCCGGAAGCGTGCGGGCGCTATGTTTCCCCCAGCGCGCTGTACAGGTGCAGTTTTGCGTTGCGGCCAAGTTGTTGCCTATCGTGGGAAGTTTCATCACATGCAACTTCAACCACTCACGTGCCCGAGGTGGCTTCCGAGGTTGAATGTTTCAGTCAGCGCTACCCTGGACATTGTACCCTGAAGATTCTAGGGCATTGGCAAAGGAGGACAAGCGGTATATCTTCCCAGTATATATTCTATGTCTATTTTCACGAAACCCTCTTCCGTTGTCACTCGCAGCCAGATGCAGACTTACGATCGACGACACAGTCGTCACTATTGTCCACTAATCATCGGCATCCCCAGCTGGGTCTTCAACGACCTTTACAGGATGGCGGCTGCGCCACTCCGCGAGACCCTTCTCAAATGTCTGCAGGTCCATGCCGTTTCGAACGAGGCAGAAGGTAACGCCTGTTGCGGGGGTCATCAGCCTTTGGTCTACTCGACAAGGCATCTTGGGTAGAGATATGCTTGAAAAATACATACCGAGGCTCTCCACTTCACTGTTTCGATGCTCGTCATCGAAGAATAGCTGCATGAGTTCAGACGATCGGCTAGAAGGCGCGGACGAAATATGAGGACATACCATCTCATCGTACGGGATGCCGGTACGCTCATGGATCTTCTTGAAGTGCTTGAGCTTAGATCCTGGCGGAATTGAAGCTCAGGCTTGCCACTTGTACTGAGGAACAGGATGGCATACCTGGGTATATCTCCATCTCGTCGAAAAAGCTCTCCGCCTTCAGAACTTTACCATCCGCATCGCCGCGCTTGGGTGGCACTAGCAGCAATGACAGGGCTTGCCGGGCACTAGAGAGGGAAGTGAGCGTTTTTCCGAGAGGAAAAGACCGAAGAGCACGCACAGATTCGGTGCACATGTCCGGGAGACGGCAGCGATGGTGACGCCGGCATCGCGTATGCGGTGAAGAATGTCGGGTACTTGCTTGTAGAAGCAGATCACGTCGTTATGTCTGAAGAGAGGGGTTCAGAGGCTGCCAGAAGGCAGGAAGCCTGAGGGAACGCCAGCCAGGTATGTCACATACCGATCGCGAACTTCGTTCAGCGTGTTCTTGTTGCGATGAAGAGGGCCTGGGGTAAGATGCTAAGCCTATGATCCCTGAGGAAAAGGAAGAGAACGCACCAGTAACATGCGTGTCTATCCAAAGGTCCCAGAGGGTATAGCTGGGCCAAGCGATCGTCAGGCGATGCGAAGTGCGGGGAGCGGCGGGTACGGACGGACTCGAGGTCAAAGGCGATGAGCTTGGGCATACGGGTAGTCATGGTGGAAGACTATATCGTGTCTATCTAAGCTGAGCAGGACTTCAAGGGAGATGGTGAAGGTTCGCTGGAAAGAGGCCGAGGGGGACGCTGATGTGCCCCACCTGCACATGACGTCAGTGACGGTCACCATGCGATGGAACGCTCACGCCGAGATTGCCGCGGGTCAGGCAGACGCGCAGCGCCAGCGCAGTCAGCCGAATATCACTCTTGCTCCCGACCGCCAACTTGCGCGAGCCCGCCCTCGCGAACGGCGCCAGCAATGCACACGTCCGCCCGCTATGTCATCCTTGCCCTCACCATCCTTGTGCGCGTCCCGCTCTCCCTCCCCCGCGGCCTGCTGACCCCGCCCCCTCGCAGATTTCCCTCCACTACATTCTTTCTTCGACGCACGAAGCATACGGAAATGCCACGTCAATCGACAGCCTCGCATCCCGCCTGCGCGGCCGGCCATCCGACAAGGTGATCGTACCCGAGGAGTACTACGACACCCCCGCAATTCCCGGCACGAACCACTCGTCCCCCCACCACGACCGCCCGAGCGCGACCTTCGTCATCCTCGCGCGCAACTCAGACCTGGACAGCACAATACAGAGCGTGCGCAACGTCGAGGACCGCTTCAACCGCAAGTACAAGTACCCTTACGTCTTCCTCAATGACGAGCCCTTCTCGGAGGAGTTCAAGAGGTGCGTCTGACCCTACCCTGGTCCACTTGCCGACGCTCACACGAGGAACAGCCGGCTCTCCAATATCATCAGCAGCACCGCTGAATTCGGCCTCGTCCCGCGCGAGCACTGGGTCCAGCCGGACTGGATCGACGAGGAGAAGGCTTCTGCGTCGCGCAAGAAGATGGAGGAGGACAACATCATTTACGGGGGAAGCCTGTCGTACCGCAACATGTGCCGCTTCAACTCGGGCTTCTTCTTCCGGCACCCGCTGCTCGACAAGTATCGCTGGTACTGGCGAATTGAGCCCGATGTACAATTCCACTGCGATCTGGACTTTGACCCGTTCGTGTATATGCAGGAGAACAACAAGGTGTACGGTGCGTGTGCTCGTGTTGCTACGAGGTTTCCAGCTCATGCGATACCTTAGCATTCACGATTGCAATGTACGAATTCGAAGCTACGATCCCCACGTTATGGAGCACCGTAAAAGGTCAGCTTGATTCCAGATCCTTCGGACGTCACGTTGAACCGCATCGCCAGACTTCATCAAGGAGCACCCCGAGTACGTCGCAGAAGACAACGCGATGGGTTTCTTGTCAGACAACAACGGCGACTCGTATAACCTCTGCCATTGTGAGTGCCACGCTCTCCCTTTGCATCCCTCCCCCTTCTGCCTCTCCCACCACCCACATGAAATCAATCACTAACACTCACCCCAGTCTGGTCCAACTTCGAAATCGCCGACCTCGAGTTCTGGCGCGGGCCCGCGTATACCGCCTTCTTCGACTACCTCGACAAGCGCGGCGGGTTCTACTACGAGCGGTGGGGCGACGCGCCCGTGCACTCGATCGCGGCGGCGCTGTTCGCGAAGAGGGAGCAGATTCAGTTCTTTGATGAAATCGGTAAGTGGTCATCCCAAGGCAATGAGGGAAGCTACGTAGTGTTTAGCCTTCCCTTCCCCTTGATCTTGACTCCCGCTGGCGCTTGCGCTATCACTTTCACTTCCCACCCTACCTAATATTATCTTCTGTCCTTCGAGCCCCTTCTTTTCACTCAAGCTAACACCCCTCCCCAGGTTACTCCCACAACCCGTACACGCACTGTCCGCAAAGCGAGGCGAAGTGGCGGCGCGGGAAGTGCGCATGCGACCAGAAGCGCAGCTTTGACTACGATGGGTACTCGTGTATGAGGCAGTGGGATCGGATACAGGGTTGAGTGGTTGGCGCGCGGGCTCGAGAAGGGGAGATGGTGCGAGGATGGAGGTTGAGGTGGTGACCGTGGTGTGCATGCTCGAGGTGGTGTGAACGGAGGTTGAGTGGTGTGGATGGAGGTCGAGGTGGTGTGGAAGGATGAGAAGGGACGAGGATAGTGGCAAGAGACAGTACGTTGAGCGACGGAGAGACAGTACAACGAGCGAAGGAGAGACAGCACGACGAGCGAAGGACAGTAGTAGTACGAGAGCATGCAGAGACCCGTCGAAAACGCACGATTACCCGCATATTTATTTGTACCTTACTATTCTCACTGTATCACATAGCAGATTTCAGTATAGACCTCCCAAGCTGACATTGGCAGGTGAAGGAGGAGCGACAATTTCACAGCCATCGACCTGAGAAGTTGAGTACTCAACGCGACCTTGGGTGAAGTCTTTGTCATGAGGGAATTCGTTGTCCTTGAGGGAATTCCTTGTCCCTTGAGTGAATTATCACCATATCAGGAAAAGGTTGTAACCTGCCTCGGCGATCGCCGAGCGCGCCAATTGTCGCTTACATCAGCGAAAGGCGGGTGCACCGTTCATTGACGTGCTCCGCGTTTCTCGTTTGCCACCACCATCTGCCTACCGGCGCTAGTTTCTGCCTGAACACTCTGTGTCCGCACGACTCCAGTGCTCAGTTCAACTTAGCCGAACTCAATTCTCTGTTCGCGCAAGCCCTTTTTGATCGAAACCCCCACGGCTAAGAAAGCCACCAGTCCCAACACACAAACTTGACCCAGGATGTCTGACGAGGAGAACCGCGCGGGCCAGCAGGAGGAGGAGCAGGTGAAGTCGGAGGATCCGAATGCGCCTATCAATATTAAGGTGTGTGGGGAGCTTTTGTTGTTGTGGGTGCAACTGTTGGGTGGGGCGCGCGAAAGGGGTAGTTGGTCAAAGGAGCGCGCGGGCGAATGTGTGCGTGGAGGAGGGCCACTTTATCGTCTTAAAGTGGCGGTGGATGCAGAGGGACTATGGACGCGGGATCGGGTCTGTGAGTGGCGAGTTCGAGAAGATGGCTGACGCGCCGGATCGTAGGTCGTGAGCTCGACGGGCGAGGAGGTGTTCTTCAAGATCAAGCGCAACACGAAGCTGAGCAAGCTGCAAGGCGCGTACGCGAACAAGGTCGGGAAGGATGTGTCGAGCATTCGGTGCGTACTAGCCTCCTCAATCTTGCCATCCTCAGTCCGTCCTTGGTCTGCGCCGCTGGATAACTTCCGAATCTACGTCCACCCCTGCCTCTTGTCCTCGCCCTGCTCCCTCTCTCCTTCTGCGCAGGCTGTGGAGGAGGGATCTCCTTGACGCGCCACAATATCCTCCCCCTCGCTCCCGCCTGAAGCACAAATCTAACCCACGTCCAGCTTCATCTACGAGGGGGCCAGAATACAAGACGACGACACGCCGGGATCGCTCGACATGGAGGATAACGGTGCGTGCCAGACGAGTCGTATCAGCTGTGGAAGTGGCTCATGGAGCTTGCCTTGCAGACACGATCGATGTTATGGTTGAGCGTACGTCCTTTCCTTTGCTCCCTTCTTCCCTGTTTATGGGACACAGCGCACCACATCGCCTCTTGTATACGCTTGACCGCGTCGCAACCCTTTCTTCTCCGACTTAGCCTTCCCCTACCTCCATCTGCCCTCATCGAACGCCGCTTACTGACCCATCCTTCAGAGGTCGGTGGCGCACGCAGGCACTAGCATAGAATCTGGCCGCCACAACGCCCCAACGCTTCGACCCCATCATCGCTTTCTTGTTGCATGTTTCTTGCCTCCCTGTGTATTGCAGCCACTGTAGGTAGTATTGACCGAAATGTATTATCGCTTGCTCTTTCTTGACCTCGCATTCTGTCCACTACGGCGTGCGGGGTGTCCCCGAGCCATTGCAGCCTTCTCGTCTACTTTCTGTCCTGCCGAGCTGTTGACCACCGGAGCCTTGAGTGGATGAGTACTGCGGTAGACGGCCGTAATGAAGATCGCCGAGAAGTACTGCGACAGTGTACCTTTCCATTGTTCTCGAGCTCGGCCCTGATGGACGTTTCCCCCATAATCCCATCGGTACATAGCAACCAACGACCAGCACACCTTGAACTCGACCACCATCACCTGCTATACCCAGTGCCCACTGTCCCTTCTCCACCTGAGCAAGCCTCACCCATCCGTTCATTTGCAAACATTTTGAGAAGATTCCGCCTCGAAAAGGTCCCGAAGGTGAGCCAAATAAGCGACAACAGAATGGATTTTCGGGCATTTTGCGCTTGTTCGAGGCTTGCTTCTTGCCAGCACGAGGCTGATCCCGGCGCGTCGCATTGACACGAGGCTCGCGCTCATCTCCTCGTCGTTCGCAGCAGCGCCCCGCACCGACGTTCGCCGTCCGACGCGTCCGCGGAACCAAAAGCTCGCGACTGACAGGTCGCGACGCGCGTTGATAGCGACCAGACGCGCCCAGCGCGCTCGCTCTCTTGCTGCATCATGGGTCTCTTCTCACGAAAGCCACGACAGACGTCCCCGAGCCCACCGCAGGCGACACCGGAGTCCAGCGTGCGCATCGTGCCCACGCCAGACAGCCAGGCTGAACCTCCCTCCGCGTCCCCCGCCCAGCGCACCTGGTCGAAGGACTCCGAGGGCTATCCTTCCTGGCTCCCCAAGCGCCCACCACCCCCTGCCCCCGCCTCGACCTTCCAGTCCTCGGCCGGCACGCCCACGCCCATGTGCGACCCCGTCTCCAGCGAACCGTCGACGCCCGGGCCCGCGTCCTGGGGTGGCCGCAAGCCCACCCCTCGGTCCATTCGCATCGTCAGCCTCACTGATGACCGCCGCGTGCCCACCGACCACACTCGCGTCCCCAGTACGCCCCTCCAGCCGCGCGTCTGGTCCCGCGCGACCGCGGGCGCCATCTCCCCCACCGTGTTTGATGGCACCGAGCCGAAGCCCCTCCAGCCTCGCTTCCGCGCCAACGGCCTCCATCTCGAGCTTCTTCGCAGCCCGTCGGTCGCCTCGCGCCTCTACTTCGCGCTCTTTCACGTCCTCGTCTTCCTGCACATCCCGCTCCAGACGTTCTTGGATTTCAACGCCGTATTCATTATCTATCAGTGAGCGCCGATCCCCCACCTTTCCCTGACCATCGCTCACGGTTGTCGCTAGGGTAGCCAAGTATCCGAATCCAGAAGCACCTGGTGTGCCTGGCTCAGGCAAGAACTGGGCCCTTGCGATGGCTGCGTACATTGCCTGCTGGGTCTTCTGGATCTTCGGCGTCTTCATCCTCTATGAAGTGGTCTATTCATTCGCGCGGCGTTGGAGGATCAGTAAGTCACTGCCGGATCTAATTTGGAAGCTCTGATTGACCATCCACGTCTTCCAGAACGGCCATTGATGCTTCCCATATACATGTCATCGCCTGCGTTCAACCTCGCGTCGATCACTTCATATAGCAACTTCTGCTTCCTGCATCATCTCCGATACGCGGCCTTCTTCGGGGAGAACGGCAGCTTTCGTGATGGGCTGGCTGAAACTTGCTGGTATTACGCCCAGAATCTGCCCACCGTCGCGCTGCTGCTTCCTCGGGCGGGATTGGCCATCGCCCTGTTGCTGAGTTATTCATCGCCACAGACCAGCGAGGTGCTAGCCCTTCGCGCTGGTGGTCCCCGGAGAGATGGCACGTTTTTCCACGGTGATGACGGCACGCTCACCGCGTATGCTCAGGGCGTGTTATATGCCAATGCGGCATGGACGGGCTGGCGCATTGTCGTCCTTTTCGGAAGCTGGTGAGCGATGCGAAGTGCTAACGAAGGCTTAATTCTGATACCCTCGCAGGCTTGGATTGTGGATCTCAAGCGGTCAGGCCTTTGGCGGACTTTGTGGCCCACGCTACAGATGGGACGAGGAGGAGACTGAGAAGCGGCTTTCGATGTTCTCCGACAACATGTCTGTTCCTGACACAGTGTTGTGGGACTGGCGCGAGCGCACGAAGGAGCGCCTGCAGGAAGCGTTCGAGTTCTGCCTAACAATCAAACATCGGCGGCACTGGAGTGGGCCGGATGGGAAGCAGGTCTCGGAGACTACGCAGTTGGTTAGTGGGGTTTCGCGCGCGTCGCCTGCGCCGTTCGATGGGATGGATCGTGTTATGGCTGCGGTCGGATTGCCTAGCAGTCCTGCACCTGCCAGACGCCCTGTGCTTTCGGAGGACCTCTTCTCGGAGCCAGGGCCTTCGGGCACGAAGCATGGACTTTCGGATGTTATCCCGCCGGTCAAGAAGCGTTCCTCGAAGGAGGAGCCTGCACCCGGGGAGTCAGAACCTCTGAAGGTGTTGCCTTACCCCTTTACGACGCCATCTGCGCGCGGGTCTTCGTCGGACAAGGTGCCCTTCCCGCCGTCGCCTGTGCTGTCGAGCCAGAAGCAGACGACGAGTGAAGGCACCGAGGAGCACGACACCGAGGAAGGAGAAGAGGAAGAGGAAGATGAGGAAGGAGGCGTTACGAGCGGGACAGGCGAGGTTGAGCAACCATCGGAGCCCAGGACGTCCGCATCCATGTCGAGTTTGGGACAGCCTATCAACTCCCGATATCCGTTCCAGTTCCGCCACCCCCGCCGCGGAAACTCGCTCTCGTCGGGGTCGCCGTCGCACATTACCCCGCACTCGCATGGCACGACGCCCTCGAGCAACTCGCACCAGACGCCCTCGACCGGCAACTCGCACCACCAGACGCCATCGAGCAACTCGCGCTCCGCGCAGTCGCGCCTCTCGCACGGCGCCCAGTCGGCCTCGACGCGCTACCACGAGAGCATCGACTCGCACTCGCCGCGCTCGCAGTACACGTCGACGAGTTCCAACATGCCGAGCCCGATGAGCTCAAACGGGATCCCGATGCCCCCGCGCCACCCGGGGCGCGAGGGTCGCCGCGCACGCGCGGGCACGGTGCCGTCCAGCATCATGGAGTCCCCGAGCCCGGTGAACTTCCCACGCGGCAGCCGCCCGAGGGCGCAGACGCGCGCAGGCGAGTTCGGCTCGGCGCTGTCCAGCTCAGAGGCGCTGCAGTCTGACTTTGACGATTCGTACCTGGACGACTCGATGGCGTTTGAGCATCCGGAGCCGGAGGGTTCGCACGAGGCGGCGGAGAATGAGGATAGCGTTGGCTTGTTGTCGCAGGCGTCGAGCAATAGCCCGCGGCCGTCGTTGTTGGGGTCTCCTCGGCATCGCTCGCGGTCAGGCTCTGCTTCGCGGACGAACTCGCACTCGGATTCTTCGCGCTCTAGGGCCGGCTCATTCTCGCTCAGCGTTCGAGAGCGCACGCAGAGCCTGATGCAAAGCGTCAGCGCGGCGAGCCAGTCCTCGATCGACCTTGTAGCGGGCCGTCGCTCTCGCGTGAACTCGTCGATGGCGCGTCTCGAGGAGGACACGCAGTACATGTCTGACCGCACTCACTCGCGCTCGGGCAGCAGCTCAGATGCTGTGGCGAGCAGTGGGGAGAACTACACGTTTGGTGTGCCGCTGCGGCATCAATGGCAGGCTCGCGATGAGCAGCGGGTGGATGAAGAGCCGGAGCCAACCTCGCCCTCGACGTCGACGTTCCCGACGCCTACGATCCACGCACCGCCCTCCCCGCGCGTCGTGAAGAATGACAGTGATGAAGACATTACGCAGCGCATTCCGGACGACACCCTTTCGCACGTCTCCGAAGAATCGTACCCAGGCCAGGGCGACACCGCGTCGATTGCCGCGCCCTCCGCGCATCTGTCGGAGATCACGGTGTCCGCGTCGCCTCCTGATACTTCTCGGTCTCGGGAGGGATTGGCGATTCCTGGCCGGGAGCGGCAGTCCCACGAGCAGTCGTCGGGAAGCAGCCACCGCGACCTCAGCACGGCGCCGGCGTCATTTGTCACTGGCGCGCCCACCATGCAGGACTCGACCTCGAGCCGGCGGGGCCCCTCGAGCTGGGGCGACTCGCACATGGTAGACCGCTCTGACGATGCGTGGAGGAATCCGTAGTCGCCCTTCGTTCACGCCATGCTGCCTCAACGTGCCCTTCATGTCTTCCGATGCTCACACGCCCGCGCCACGACACACCATGCCTCCATCCCCATCACTTGCACATTCTTGATTACGCCCTGCCCAGGATGCTCATCATCCCCCCCTGCTTCATCCACCGTTGCATCGTGCCCCCCTCGCATGCACCCGACGTACATCTAGACTCCCCTCATCTTACTTATTGCGTGTATTATATTGTTGTCTCCCTGCTTTCACACCTTGGTCTACGCCTTCCCACCACCCCACCCGCCTCGGTCTTCCCCCTGCAACACCACATCTTGCCTATTACCCAGTTTCTCGGATGGAAGACGCGCCGCGCACGGAATGCATAGTCGGAACTACTAATCACTTACTTATCCTCTACCTGCGATACTTTCACCCTTCCTCCCCCATCTTCTAACCCTTCCACTCCCATCCTCTAACCCTAGTTACCTGTGTCTAGTCTAGTCAGTTAGCTGCAGTTGTCTGCGAATGAAGAACAGAGGTCAGTTACCTCGAAAGTTAGAATGGGTACGCCGTCTACATCAGATGTAGACTTGCAGTGGATGCCCGTGACAACTTCAAAAACGACTCAATGGGATAAAGACTCGTAGATGGATCGGCGGTGCGTTTGTCTGTGTCCTGAAGTCGCCTGCTTCGCTCAGCTTTCAGATGATGCAAGTCGAAGGAAGGGAAGTTCAACCTGTCATGTGATCTCTCGGCAAGCCCCATGGTCATCTCACCTGCTTGACCCGAACCTTCATAGCTAACACGTACTGCTCGCGAACGCTCTCTTGACTTGAGAGAGATCACCCTCTAGCTTGAGCATGAAGCCACAACTAATCCTAGGCCCCGACGACACGATAGGAGAGGGCGACTCGCGTCTCGTATTGAACCTGCTTCCGGACGAGCTTCGGGAAGGCATCTTTGAGAGGCTGCGCGAGGAAGTGGCTTGGGAGACTATGTATCATCGAGGTAAGTCTGGAATTGGAGGAATGCTAGGGGCATACTCATGCTCGACAAAGGTGGCAAAGTACCACGCCTCGTCGCTGTACAAGGTAGGATCGAGGAGGATGGGAGGTAAGACTGCGCCATATTCCTCGCAATGCGTATTCAGCCACAACGCATGAGGACCCTGACTTCTCTTTAGTTTTCCCGTCTACCGCCACCCGTCCGACCAATCGCCCTCGCTCCGCCCATTCACGCCAACCGTGGACCTCGTCCGCCGTCATGCGGAGGCCATCATTGGCCACCCTCTGAACCATGTTCTGATCCAACTCTACCGCCAGGGCAAGGACTACATAAGCGAGCACTCCGACAAGACTATCGACATCACCCGCGGCACAAGCATCGCCAACGTGAGCTTTGGCGCGAGGAGGCTGATGATCCTGCGCCGGAAGAAGGCCTTGAAGGTCGCGGAGATCGACAGGACGTCGGAGGACTCTGACGCCAAAGACCCCAGCCGCACCTCGCCAGGACCCCCACGAGAGTCCCAGCGCATCGCCCTACCCGACAACAGCATGCTCGTGATGGGTCTGCGCACGAACTCAGCGTGGCTGCACGCCATACACCGCGACAACCGACCGGACAAGGCGAAGTTGCCAGAAGAGACGGGCGAGCGCATCAGCCTCACGTTTAGGTGCATAGGCACGTTCCTCACTACGGATAGCGCCTTTTCCACTCTGGACGGTCCGCGCATCTTCGGGCAAGGAGCAACAGGGAAGACGAGAGAACAGGCTCGGTCTGTCATCTTCGCAGGCGAGGAGGCGGAGGACCTGCTGGCGGCGTTCGGAAAGGAGAACCATGAGTCCGATTTCGACTGGGAGGCGATTTACGGGAAGGGATTCGACGTGCTGCATTTTGCGGCGAAAAGGGGATAGGATTTGATTCCTGATATGTTCATAGAGGGACCGAAGGCGTAGTCAGAGTTTTCATGGTGCCATGATATCCATGCTGCCAGAATCCGTGTACATATACGAACGATCGCATGACCAGAGCGGACGGGAGCACCAGTAGAAAGCACAAATGAAAGAATACGGCTGTGGTTCGATCGCGCGAAGGCTCCCACACGAGCCACCGTGTCGGGAGGCCTAGGGAAACCGCAGTCGTAGTGTAGTTGTAGTCACTCACCTCGCCTCTCACTGGTCAGCCACCCCATGATTGGCGCCGCATCCCTCATCGTCCTGAGGCTCTGCTGCCTCGCCGTACGCCGCTTCTGCTTCTCCATATAAACAGTGGGAACCATCTCGAACATCTCGGGGAATAGAGCAAGGCCAAAATTGGAGGCAGAGAGACGCGCTAGTCGAGGACTCGAACAGATACTTCACCATGTTGACTCTTGAGCGTGCGTAATCGAGATGTAGGGTCGTTCAGACGAGATCTCGGAGCAAGCTTCATTATAGACGCAGGTGAAATATACACGCCATCATGCCGCCGCCGCCACCAAGAACCCTGCGAGCGAAGGACGTCGCTATCGCAAGGATTTTGCCTAAGAACCAGGATATATCGGCCGCGGAGATGGCTGACCCTTACGCGCCGAATACGCCCTGACATACCTCCCCGGCGCTTCTGGCTTGGCGAGTTGTACAAACCAGCCGAGGTCAATGCTCACGCCTATCCCGAGAAATGGCAGCCATAAGAGCGGGAGGCAGTCGCAGTCGCAAAGGCGCGCGCAGCAGAACGAGCATACTATGCACGATCCTGCATGACTTGTTGTCTTCCATTACCACACTGGAGACGCAGAGAGCATATACGCACTATACGAATACGAGGCGCCAGCTGAGGGAGCCAGGGACGGCGTGTGAGCGAGGGGCCGCCAGCTACATGAATGCCCCAGACACACGATGTCTTCTGTCCCATATCTAGATCAGTGGAAATCGGCATCGCTCGAAAGAGAATTCATAATCCAGCCGGGTCTTGCGTTCGAGCTTGCTCGGGCGCAAAAGATATGGGGCACCTCCCTTTTTGACATGTGACGGCGCGCTTCTTCACGTCCTCCCGCCACTAGACCTGGAATTCAATATTCACAGGTGAAAGGTGCGCGATTATTGTGAGCCAATTCGTGAATTAGCAAAGGATAAAGACGGCGTGCGGATTGGGTGGCATATTGAACGGGACCGCCTCCGATTGGCTGGGCCACGGTTTGCCCTTTCAATCGACCCGTTGTCTTTATTCTTCGCTTATTTGCAGATCGGCTCACAATATTCGTGCACCTTGCGCTGGGGAATATTGAGACCTAGGTGTAGTGCGCGGATCCCTAACGGTCGCGTAGTATAAGCCGGAATCGGAGGCCCTTGAAGAGCTCCAGAGCACAGAAACTCGAAGGACAGCGTTAGTATCCAACGAAAGGTGGCCGAGCGCGGAGAGACAGCGATAAAGATGGTGCACGATCATCGACAGCTGAACGGATCGTTGGCGAGCTTGGGACTGATCATGGCCACACGAAAGTCCACAGCACCCAGCCAACATGTATATGAGCGCAGATTAGGTATTATGTACATCACAGATGACGAGGTTCGAGGGCCGGAGCGAGGCTGCAGAGGGATATATCGGTGCGGAACAGAGGCGGGACATACGATCAGACGAGGCACATATACGAGCGGAGGCTTGACCAGGAGACAGATCGTAGAGGCAGAAACGCGAGGCGACGAAGGTAATACACGAATGAGCTGACTGAGGCGTGCGATTATAGAGCCGTTGAGGACAGCGATGGGGAAATTCGAGAGAATACAAGCGTGATAGAGACGGCGAAGGGACGTAAACCGAATGTCCGAGAGCCAAGAAGTAGGAGACCGGAGACTTCAGAAGCGCGGGCGTGGTCGATAACGTGTACTGCGACGGTAGTCGACGTTGGAGAACCACAAGTCCTCGGGTTCGAAGAGAGGACAGAACTGGGCTGGAATGCCCGACCGCGTGTAAAGCGAATGCCTAGTGAAGCTATCTGTTAACGAAGAGGGACTTATGGAAAGATAACTGGACCGCACCACCGCATATAATGCCGCTTCAAACCGCGCGGAGTGTATAACGGTGGGTTTTGCATGCGCGTCGAGCAAAGAGCGCAACGCGTATAGCAGCGAAATGCGGGAACCACACTGGAGCCGCCTTTGTGCAAGATATCGGGATGGCTGACGGTTGAGAATAAAGGTCGAGGATTAGGCAGGAGGACCATACGTACTTCGTTTCGTAGTGTTCGTATAGTTTATGGACAAGGATGGTGTTTTCTTCGAACCACTTGTGTTTCTTCGAGGTAGTAGCAAGTTGTGTGACGCGCCAGCGCGTGCCCAGAGGACGAGGATGACACGCGGGGCAAAGGATACGGTCGTAGTCGTCGCACTGATAGTCAGGCGGTATCTTAGCCGGATCGCAAGAGGATATAAGTCCGAGCTCGCGATGGATTGCTGGCAAAGCGTCATTCCAAGCTGAAGAGATGTTTGTCAGAGCTGATATGTGTGCGATATATGAGAATCGTACCCGCGTCGGTGATGATCTCCAAACTATGATTAAATATTCGTAGAAGTGCGATGCAGGCCGGCGTCCGCATGTATGCCCTAACGATGCGAGCAGCGGCTCCTTCGCCAGATGCTTGATTGGGCCCGCGTCTTCCTACAAGTTCATGCACCCTAGGTTGCTGTATAAGCTATGAGGTGCTGGAGTGGACAATCAATGACACACCTCTTCATATTCTCGTCTTGTGTATCGGCCCATTGGTCGCGATACCTAGAGAGCCATATCTGGGACCTATCGCTCCTTGGAACTGTCCAGTCCATCTGCAATCAAGTAAGACAGATAGTTATGCGCGATGTCCCACGACGAACGCACCCATTCCGACGATATGCGCTTGGCGACGCGCACTGCCCACGTCCATTCCGTGCGCGGACGACCGTCATTGTCGAGAGGCGGAGACGGCCATGATATGTTTTCGCGAGCATTGGCCCAGATGATAGGATTGTCGTCCAGGATCTGCCTGAAGGCCTTGCATACTTGCCTCAACACCACAAGCGTGAGAGGGGGACAACACTCCAGGAACTAAGGACGCACGAGATAAGGAGTTAGCTCATAGCAGACAAAGTGTACACTTACCCGCCGGAATAGGTCCTCTGGTAAGTCGCCGAGGTAGTGAAAGCGTGTGTCGGTGTCTTTGGGCGGATCCCTGGCGTATGCGAAGTGGATGAGGTTGACAAAAGCGTGAGCGTTCATGCCAAAGAGCGAAGTTCTGAATCCTGTGACGAGCCGTGCCAAGGCGGCGTAGAGACTAAGGATGCTGAGGGGGAAGCGGTAGTGGTAAGAGGAAAGCCGGATGAATTCCAATCTGCCGTTGCGTCACAAACGAACGCGATCACGTGAAGTCACACAAACACTGGACACGTCGGATGCCACGCAGACCCTGTGAATCGCTTCTCATCCACATCTACGGCCAAGCAGCTACGCATATATAACCGAGCTCCCGAATCGCGAGTCTGGTTTTGTTCCTTGGAGAACATGTTTGAGACGGTCCCGCAGCCAAGCTCAAGCCGAGAGCGCACTGACTGGCATAGTTGCCACCGGCGAGAGAGGTTGGCTTGTTATACGAATCTTCCCAAGGTCACGGCAACGCACGAGCGGCACCTTCTGCAGAGCTTGGACGGGACTAAACCAGGAGTGAAATGCACCAGAACATGTACATTTGTGGCACCGGTCATCTCCGTCAGTTGCGACCGTTGACCAGGAGGACGAAGTACTTTCGATGGTTATGAGGAAAGCAAGCTATATTCAGACCGCATACATTGCACATCAGCATCGACAGGAAGCCAAGGACGATAGAAGAAGGCGTGACTGTGAATCGAACGCATCCCGGCTGAGCCGCCACGTCGAGAGTCGAGAATGAAAAGCGCCATCTTCGATTGAGAGCCGTGGCGTCGAGTGCAAACGGCCAAAAGTGCATACACCGAGGCGAAGTAGTGAGAAGAACAGGGTCGACGGAGTCAGCAAGTCGAAGTCGTCAGGTATGTCAGTCATCTTGAATAGAGCCGTCGCAGTGGAAAGAAGCCGCCAGAGGGAGCTAGTTTGAACGCAGTGAGAAACCGATCCGAAGAGGTAGAAGGGAGGGAACGCACCTAGAACTCTATCGAGCGCGTAAAGGCAGGAGCCTGCTGTCGCCCCCAGCCAGCCGCCCCCGCGTATTGCATCCTGCCTGTTGGGGATCTCGGCCTCGACGAATTGCAACGTACAGGCCCTGCAGCCGACGTCGCCGCCCCGGTCGCAGTCGTGCGTCATCCGTCATCCGTCGTCCGTCGGCGACGATGAGGGGGGATGGATAGGACCTGTGGTGTCGACGGTGAGCATACAAGGCGCGATGGAAGACATGGGAAGCACGCACCTCCGCGCTGAGGAGCGCACGCCGCCAGCCAATGTGTTCGACCTTTTCGGTATCGCGGCCTCGACGATTGCAACTCGCAGGCCCTGTGGGTCGTCAGTCGAAGTCGCAGCCGTGATCGAGGTCGTTCGCCGCCCGTCAAAGTTGTCCGCCGCCGCTGCCCAGTCAAGGTCGTTCGCTACCGCTGTCTAGTCCAAGTCGTTCGTCGTCCCCTTGTCCTCGTCGAAATCGTCCGTCGTTCATGTCGCTGCCGATGAAGGGGATGCGTTGAAGGAACTTTCGGTCGATAGCCTTCGGCTTATACCCACTTCTTGAACTGCTCTGCATAGAGATGGTACAATGGTAAGGGGATGTATTCGGGAGGGGAGACTGGGATTATATAGAGGGGAAGGCGAGCTGAGAAGATGATGGAAGCGGAACATAGAAGGCATTTGTTTGGAGGTGCTTGATGCGGCGACGTTCTGATCATCTCGTCCTGCTCCCTCTCTTCCTCGGACCGTCACGATATCCTAGGCACCCCTTCGCTTCAAATCGCTGCCTGTACGGACCTTTCTAAACACCGGTTTTGGTCAAGAAATGAAAATCCGACGCGGGCGGACGACTTGGGCCGCCTCGAACACCACCTCACAGGTATGTCGCCGATCCTGTGTCCTCTATCTCGCCACTGACATCAAAACCTGCAGTCGCTGCCGCCCAACGATGTCGACAACGAGCACTCATCTCCTTTCCCCTTTCACAAACTCACGCCTAGTCTTTGATCGCGATCGGCAACTTGAACTTCACCTGTGCTCCCAACTCTACTATGTATTGACTCACTCTGCATCTAACCCCAAGCTCGGGTGGAACCAGCGCCATCTGCGCCTGCCGGATCTTTGCGTATCCTGTGCTTTGTCAACATCGCGAAATCACTACTCTAGGCGCCGCAATTGAAGAAGAAGGTTACGGACATGTGTGCGCCACGCTTTGTGTGGGCGTCTTTGGATCCAGCGCTTACAAGCGCTTAAGCTCTCCATATAGACGCGCGTCTATCAGCTCACATCTTCGTACCGGCACTCATCCTTGAAAACCATCGGCCCTCGCGCACCTCTCGCGCACCTCTCAGCAGACGTCGCCGCCCTATCAAACCACACAGACTAGGTTCAAATGTCAAGTGACGCCACCCCCGCTCTCGAGCCCGCCGTCGCTGCAGCGGTCATCGACGCTGCCCACTCGGTCGACCTCTTCCTGCTCATCTCCCCGCCACGAAACTCGGCTGCCTTAATGAGCATCATGCAAGGGCCCGAAGGGTTCAACCAGACGTTCTGGAGATCTGGTCTCACAGCGTCCTTTCTGATCCTCGAGCGCGCCCTCCTGACGGCCTTCATCGAGCGCAAGATGGCACACGAGGCAAAGTTTCGATGTGTGCGTCGTCATAGTTTGTGTTGCGGTCGCCGCTTATTGACCAGATCATGTTCTCGCAGGATCTGAGGGAGTACATATCCGATGTTCACATGCCCGCCATCCTCTTCAACTTTCCAGGAGCGCCAGTGCTTGAGGACGGCGAAAAGGCCAAAGCTGCACTCTTTCACGCTTACCTGGGCCTAATGCTCAGCCTGCGTCCCGAAGCAACGGACAAGGCCCTCGAGAAGATATACCTACGCCTCGTCGAGGCGGCCATAGCTGCACATCAGCCATGCTCAGAAGGTATCGAGAAGGAAGAAGAGAGTGAGTGCGACGTCGTCGCTCCTCGTGGTTTATGGTGCTGACGCGGGTAAAATAGTGGCAAAGATGCTCAGATATACCTTGAGCTACGTCGACGTCCTCAACAAATCGGAAGAGGAGCGTGAGGCGGCGCTGAGCTCTTTAGCCGGACTTTCCGCGTCCATGCTGAAGCACTTTGTAAATACGACTGTGAAAGTCGTTGGAGAGGCAGTGGAGCAAGACCGCGCTGCGCAGGCCGCGGCTAGAAAGCCAGCGAGCTGTTTTATAATGTGACAATATTCTATCCCTCTGATATATCGAGAACGACCTGTCTCTAGGCGTATAGTATGAAACTCAATTGCTAGTCTGACCGTAATGTAATTTGGATGCCCCACAGAGACTACCATGAGCGAATCTTAACTCTCACACGCACTCGCTTGACCGGGCTTCCATTGCTCTTCGCCGTGGACAGCTGGCGTCGCATATCGGCCTCCGAGTTCTCGATGGTCTCTTCGCATCTCGCGGGTAATCCGTCGAGCGCTAGCGCGGGCTGCTGTCTCACGTAGATATAATTGAGGGGAGGACCAAGGAGGGTTGGTAAGTGGGAGAGGGGGTCGGGCGGGTTCTCCTGGCGCCAAATCCTAACCGTGGGTGAACGGAATTGTGGTCCGCTCATATTATATTCTACGTTATCACCTTTTCAAGAAGACTACCTATCACAGCAAGGAACCAAAAGTCGAACAGTAGGTCCATACGCATGCGAAAAGAGAATGAGTGCCACAGTACAGTTGGGAATCCTTGCAATCCATCCGAGCCCACCCTTCTTCTAGTTCACCGACACCTGTATCTTCTACGGGCCGGACCTACATGACCGCCCGCTTCCTCGCGACCTTCGACAACGCTTCTGGCGGACGAACGAAGCGGATCCGGCGGCGTGCGCGTCCATCCGGGCCTACAGAGACCACGCCGACTGCGGTCTTGCGAGTCAGTAGCTGGCCCTTCGCTGACTGAGCCTGGCCCACTACAGGCGCCGCAGCTTTTCCTCCTGCAGGTCGTTGAGCATGCCACGTCGTGGGAGCTGGAGCTGGCCCCGATGCAGCTGGCTGACCTTGCGCCACTGGCCCCGCAGCTGTTATTGTCTGCGTAGGCTGAGGCCGAGGTTGTGATATCGAATGCAGGGCATAATGGGTGGCGAAAAAGGCGACTAGGAATATCGTGAGGTTGATGCATATGGGGAGCCAGCGAATGGGGTCGGCGGCACGAGTCATTGAAGAATTAGAGGAGCGAGTAGATGCAGAAGACACGTGTGAGAGAGCCGAGGTCGAAGGCGGGGAGGGCCGTAGAGATTCCGATGCGGCGGGCGCGTGTGACGACGAAGAGGAGGAAGGCGGCAGCCTGGACAGAGACTGTATAGCGGGCGCTGAAGCCTTCGCATCCTCGGAGACCAGAGGTGTTACCGCAGATGTCTTTGCAGCCTGATGTTCTGACGCGACGCGTGCGATGGCGATCTTGTGTGGGCGCTCCTTGGTCGAAGGTTCGATGGATTCGGGTCGATCGATAGAGGCGGCGTTGCTACTCAAGCTGTCCTCGAACGCCTTGGCAGCGCTGGATCGGGCGGGACCGTGGATATGAGCGGACTGAGCAGAGGTGACGATACTGCCCGAGATCGGAGACGCGGAGGACGACAGAACATGAGGGCATTCGACAACTGAGGTCATTCCTGGTATCGGCTTGGGAAGCTGCTTGAGGGCATCGCAGTTCTGCTTTGAAGTAGTCGACATAATGGATACGATCGACGGAAAGAGGCTTTTGGTTCCAAAGGCAGCCGACGAACCGCGATGAAGGCAGGACGCAAAACAAGGACTTCCCAATTTGGTCATCGGCGGCTAGCTCAAGCATTTGCGGAGCGTATCGACAGCTTTTGTGGCATATTGCCAAAAATTGGGCGATAGGTAGAGCTGTAGAACGATGAAAGATTGACTGGGAATGATGGGCAGACTTTCGAGACCCTCGGAAAATGAACAATGTCCAGGTCAGGTCTAAGTTCGGATGAATCTATAACTATAGGTGGACTTGGCATATGAAGAATTATCTGCCTAACCCTTTACATTGAGCGGCACCGTGCCAGGTGCATGACTGACCCTAAGGCAGAGTATCATCAGCGTACGATAATAAGATACATAAGGCGCGCATCGCCCGTCATCAGTCCGTGGTATCCAGAACTACCCGCCATCCGGCATCGTTAAACTAGGGCCAGTCATCGCTGGCGGTCAGACGTTCACTAGAATCTTCAGCTTCAGTAGTGCATCAGAGTGTGAAGTAGAGAAGAGTGAGAGAGGGTGAGAGAAGAGGTGAGAAAACGCAAGAGAGGGTCAACGTAGCGTAGGGCGAAACGAAGGCGGACGCTGGGCAGCGTATATGTACACGTCGGACGCGACGACGAGGGAGGTCGTCGGAAAGCAGCAAGTCGCTGTATATAGGTATGCTATGTGCGAACAGCCCGAATCGTGCTTGGGGTTGATATATATGTAGGAAGTATCGCAATACGCGAGCCCGCCCGCTCGCGCGGTCACAACTTGAGCTCCGTCAGCACACGCCGCGCGAGCATCTGGTACTGCCAGCCATCGCCGCCGATCCGACGGAACTGGATCCCGTGCAGAGGCAACCACGGCACCTGCAGGAGGCACTCGTTAGTCGTTGTTGTCGGCGAGAGAAGCGACATGGACTTACCTTAACGATGGTGATCTCGAAGCGAACGCTCAACGTGTTGCTGCCCATGCTGTCGAACATATCCTTGTCCAGCCCGCCCGTAGGGAAGGGGCTTTGGGGCGGCATGGGCGACGTCGTGCGCGTGCTCTCCGCCCGCGTCGCGAAGTCGCGCGGTATTGGCGGAAGGACCTTGCCGCGCGGCGAATGTGACCGCTGAGACGCAGCCGTGTCGACAGTCAGACCATCAGACGGGTGCGTGGGTTGAGCAGTCTCGGTAGCTGGAAGTATGATCAGCGACATGGTCAACATGCCAAACCATGTATACGTACCCGTTCCAGTCGTCGATACGCCCGTGTTGCTGCCGCTGAACGCCGTGCTGGCGCCGAAGAAACTGGACGAGCCACTGCTTGGCGTAGGCCCGAGGTTCGTAGCATTCGACGCCCGACCCTCTTGCTTCTGCTCGCCAGACGGACGCTCTTTGATCGAGTCGTGGTCGCGTAGTGATTCCCGCTCGCGCTCCTTGCCCTTCTCCCCACGACGGACGAAGGACAACTTGCTGGCCTTCTTGACGATCGACTGCCTCGGTGTGGCGTGCGCGTCGGGGGTGTCCGATCGGCGGGTGCTGTCAGACGTCTCCCGCGCGTGAGCAGCGGGGTCGACGCTCGCGAGATCGATACTGGGCATGTGCAAGCATTCGAAGCCGGTCTTAGTCTCGCGGTACTGCACTTGCATGCGCTCGAGCACCCGACGGATGTCCGCCTTAATGACCGCGGGCGGCTTCGTGGATGTCGTAGCCACACTGTTATACTCAGTCAGTATTGCCTATCTCTCCTTAGAAGACCCATTACGCACCTGAAGAGGCCCTTCAAGAACACCGGCTTTGCCTCGCGCTCGGACCGCTCATCCTCCTCACCAGCGCTGGTTACGTCGGTATGTGCACCATCATCATCCTTCGGCTCACCCGTCTCTTCTTCGTGCTCAAAGAGCTGGTCGACAGGGCGCTTGACCGAGGATGTCGACGGACGGCCAGCCTGCTGTCCTGTGGACGGCCGCCTGGGTCTCCGGCCGAAAGTACCACCCGTGGACACGCTCGCAAGGAGGGCACCGCCGGTCGAACTCCTGCGCTCATGTCTCCTTGAGTCGAGCAAGGTCGCAGCCCGCCGATGACCTACAGTCGGCGACTTCGGCGCAGGTGACGGTGACGATGGTGGCGCAGCGCTCGCCGGGCGCGGTGGCGGCTCGAAAGCAGGGGTATGCGAGCGCGTGTCAGCGGTGGGCGTCTGATCGCCCTCACTGCCCTCGCCATTCTTCTCATCGACGCGCTCCTCCCGCGTGCTCTTGGGCGAGAGATGCAGACCGCCAAGGATTGTGCCGCGTTTCGTGGGCTTGTCGCCAGGTTTCCTGTCATCGCCGCGGTACAGGATGCTACCAAACCTGCGCACCAACGTCGCACCCGTGCCGAGTGCGCCATGCTCGGGCTGGTCGCGGCGTTCCTGCTCCCGCTGGCGCACACCCATCTCGCTGACGTTCTCCTTCTCGCCATCCTGCTTCTCAGCAGCTTCGGAGAACGTCGAGATGGCTGGTCCTGCGGTGCGCGGCGGCTCAGGGATGGCGGGCATGCCGTGCTCGTCGCCGCGATCGCCACCGAAGACGCTGCCCCATCCGCGAAGAACGGTTGGCCTTTGGCTGAGACTGTGACTCCGCCTGTGCGTAGACGCAGGGGGTGCACGCACGGACTTGACACGTTGTTCGGCGACCGTCTTGGCTTTGTCACCGCCAATGGTCTTAGCCCGGTCTGGAGTCGCGGGCACTGATGAAAGTGGTCAGTTTCCATGCCTTGCGAGGAGGACAGAATTGACTCACGCTTCTCCAAAGGCCGAGGTGATGCTGGCGAATCCTTCGCAACCGGGTTCAGAGGTGGCAAACCCGGATCGCGGGCACGCGGCACAGGGTGGAACGTTGCACTCGTCGGGCTCGGCTGAGCACCGTTGTCGTAGCTCATGCCCGAATAGTGGCCCGGCGCTGGTGCAGGTAAACGCGGCAGAGGCATACTGTAGTCGGCCTTTGCAGGTGGCGCAGGTGCAGCCTCGCGCTCCTTGTGCTCCTTAACCTCGGCCGCAGGAGGCGCCGAGAGCCGTCCTGCGCTGACCTCGCCCACCTCCGCGGCACCATTGACAGGCGCGGGGGTGTTTCCGTTGGTAGCGGCTGCAGAAGCGCCGTTGAGAGCAGCCTCTGGCGCCAGACTGAGCGCGCTGCTGGCGAAGTAGCCCGGCCCGTAGACGCGCTCGCGCTCTAGCTTCTCCCGAGCGAGGAAGTACATAGAGATAAGCGGGTGATAGCCGTATGTCGGGTCCGGGGGTTCGCGTCCACCGAGCAGAGACGAGGATGAAATGCCTACTGACAGTCGCTTAGTTCACGGTCGTCTTTCTGCGCGAATAATACTGACCGCCGTTCGCATCCGCCTCCACACCGTTCCCTGGTGTCGCACCAAAGAACTTCTTGCGATAAAAGTCAAAGCCGGAGAACCGCCTGCTGGCCTTGCGTGGCGTGTCCTTGGAGTCGAGGGACGTACTTGATGGTGACGCAGGCGCTAATGTCACTTAGTACGGCTAAAAGTGCATTGAAAGAGGTATGCTCACTGATCAAACTGGAGCTGCTGACTGCGAGCGCATCCCGTTTACCTGTAGTCATCCATTAGCACGAGCTGCCTCGCGACAACGTGAAAGTATGATCTGACGGTTGGAGGCGCCGCGATATTCCAGCTTGTCCGACAGCTCACCTGACCGCTTATTTTGCCAGTGTCGCACTGCGCGGGCGTAGCTCTCGCTCTCGAGAATTTCGCGCAGACGTCGTTCGAGCTCATCCTCAGCGCGCCGTCTCTTCTCCTCGTCGTTGGTAGGCTTCGCAGGTGTTGCCGGAGGGTCATCGGGACCAGTATGACGCTCGTCGGACGTAGGTACTGGATGATCCATATCAGAATGGAGAAAAAGAGGCACTACTCTCAGACTGCCTACGCACCAGACTTGCCGTCGCCCTCAAGACCCATGCCGCTGACAACCTGGCACTCGACCATACTGTGAATGACAGCGCGCTCGAGATCGGCAGCGCGCAATGGTTCGCGGTGTACAAGGTGCGGCTCGGGTGGGCCAGAAAAGCCGCGTATCTAATTGCCCGTTAGTCATGAGAAAGATAGCTGTTGTTCACGCACCATCCAGGGGTGATTGATGACTTCAGAGAGCGGCGCACGGGCTTGGGGATTGGTGACCAACATGCGCGATAGCAAGTGTTTGCATTCTGTAGGGCGTCAGTGAATGGGGGAGAAGTATGGCGAGCGCCCCACCAGCTGACAGCCACATTGGGTACTCTACGAGACCACGCTTGATCTTCGCATGTAAAGCGGGCATCGACTGGTCGTCAAAGGGCACCTTTCCACAGACAAGCACGTAGAGTACAACGCCGAATGACCAGACGTCAACCTCCGGGCCAGTGTAAACGCGGGCATTGAGCAGTTCGGGTGCGGCGAAATAGAGGGAGCCGCAGAAGGTGTCGAGGTGAGCAGTGGGGTCGTAAAGGTTGGAGAGACCAAAGTCAATGATCTTGATGTTTCCCGAGGTAGAGATGAGGATATTTTCGATCTTGAGGTCGCGGTGGACGACGTTGTTCTTGTGACAGTAGTCCAGGGCGGAGGCGATCTGGCGGGCGAACTTGCGGGCGACGCGCTCACGCAGACGGCCATGGGAGATGATGTAGTCGAGCATCTGGCCACCATTGACGTACTCGAAGACCATGTAGTAATGATGTGCATGGACAATGAGTTCGCGCATGCCGCAGACATACGGATGGTGAAGAAGTAGCGAGAGCCCGGCTTCGCGGAGAGTGCGAATTTCCTTGGAACGTCAGCTGAGGACACCGCGCTCATCGTGTCGCTCACCTTGCTCGCGTCCTTGTCCTTTTTCGAACCTTCCGCGGATGCTGATACCTGCGCGCGGGGCAGAATTTTGATCGCGAGCTGCGGAGGGTGTCAGCGTCCCCAGAGCCGACGTCAGCATCGGTGGCCGCACCCTCTCTCCCGTCTGATTGTGCGTCGCGAGCTTGACCTTGCCCATCGAGCCTGCGCCGAGGGTCTTTCCGAGGGTATAGTCGCCGACGATCTTGGTGCGCTGTCGTTCGCGGTCGCGGTCCCTGTCGCGTTCTCGTTCGTGTCGTTCGTGACGCTCCTCCCTGCGCTCCCTGCGGGATTCGTGTCGTGCCGGTGAGGCCTCCGCCGCCGCCGCGGCCGACTGCGGGGGCATGCTGAGAGGGCGCTGGCGGGCAGCGGGCTGGTTCTGGCGCGGTCGCGGTTGGTCCTGAGGCGTCGGGGGAGTCCTTTCTCTTGTAAGGACTGGCATGTCGTACTCGTTGCCTGCCTGGACTGTGCCTCCGTGCGACGGCGTCGGCAACCCGCTCGACTCTTCCCGGTCAACACTGGGGCGTGGATACATAGAGCCTTGTTTGGTTGTGCATCATCGAAACACTCTACACGTGGGCATTCGGCCGTTGCCGGTCCGCACCCCGAATCGCGCGCCTGCCACTCGCCATCAACTCGCCACTCGTGTTCATCTCGTTATCCTTGTATTTGTCTCTTCGATGTTGCTCACTCTGCCCTGATGAAGGAAAACGTATACGACGTAGACGCAAAGGCTTCATCGCGCATGACATGGTCAAGGAGAGAACCTCTGCAAACGTTCGACCTGATTCTGGCCATATTGTCATCGCGACGTCAACTGTGGCCACTTCATCAGGTTTACTGGGCGCCCTCTTTATTATGAGCTTCTTTCAGACTCGGGTACATTACTTACGGCAGCCGAACAGGTGCTCGTCCCACCCTAGTGTCCACTCTCAACGTCTACAATTCACCGATCTTCTGGCGCGCTCCCAAGCCTCGGAACTGCAGAGCAGTATCGACACCCTTACTCGTCGTACCGAACACGACCTCATCACAAAGCTCCCTTCAAATGCTAGCATTTGGAGTTGGCAGGGGAAGATTGTCCATAGATTGGAGATGTCAGCCATTCCGGCTGCCTCCGACATCGATGGGCATAGCGTCCCTTTCTCGGTGCTGACACGACCATGTCCGCAGCTCGGCTGACATACTGTCTTCTCACCGGACGCTGCTACCTCTGCCACATATTCCTTCGCTTACGAACTCCGCCTTGTTGTCTGCATGTCGCTTACCATCCGACGGCTCTCGGTTTGCTTGTTAACGTCTACACACCTATGCCCACCTTCTCAGTAGTCTTCTCTCTTTGTGGACTCTGGAGCAAGGATACAGACTGCTTGGCGCTGGAAACTCTGGAGCCTACAGCAGTTCAGGTTGACCGACCGAAATTACGGCTTGCCGCGGGCATGATTGCGTGTAGATATCCCACTTTGAAGCTACGTTTGAGGCGTAGCAGCGGCCGATAGGCTGCGTTTCTGCTGCCTGCCTGCCCGAGCGGCGTCATTGGCGAGGTCGGTCTGTGGAAGACCTTTGTGGGTTCACAACTGAACGCACACGTGATGTCTCCGATTCTCACGCTCCCTCCCTTGTTCCTCGCGTGCACTCCACGCCATGTCCCTTCTCCCGTCTATCAGTACGTTCATCACCCGGTCACGCAACCCAGCCCATGTCTTAGACTACCTTACACGAACCGTACCCCAGCATCTAGGCTCTAGCAACCATGAACAGAGTCGAAATCGGCCTGCAATCCTCCTCGTACTCGGAATCTCCCCCGACAACACCGATCTCGCACGGGAGCATGGGGCGGTGCTAAACGATCTGGTCAGCGAAGTGCAGGGCTGGACGGCTCGGGCGAATGTGGTCGGGTGCATCACAGCGCCACCTCCTATCGCAAGGCCAAGAAGTGTGCATCTAGGGAACGAAGGAGACTCCTTGCTGTCCTGCGCACTTGCGGTGTTCCCTTCGGCATCTGCACGCGCATTCCGCGTTGAATACGATGATGATGGGCGCGTACGCGTCGGTAGATGGCATGCTTTTGGCGACAAGCAGAAGGAAGATCCTGGCGAGGTGATCGAGGGTCTTCGGTACGTCCCGAATCATACTCTGCCGACTGTCACCACCTAAATGCACATTCCCCTTCAGACTAGAAGACCTCGCAAACAAGCACCTCATCACTCTCTCAGCATCTCTCACTGTCCCGCACGCCATCACGCGCTCCCGATCGCTCCTCAACCTTCACACATCCGCCACACCCTTTCTTACAGGCCTCCCGCACACCCTCTTCTACAACAAGCGCATCCTGGAACGCGGCTGCGTGGGAGTAGCGCTGGATACATGGCCCCAAGCAGAAGTGAAGCCGACGTTCTCGGGCATGCGTCGCGTCGACGAGAAGACGTACAGCGTCACTGAGTGCGTATGCTATGCTGTTCGTGTTTGGCTTGACTATTGACTAGCCGTGTAGAGCGCAAGGCAACCTCATTACCGGCCTTTCTGGCGAGAAACCGACCCATCATTTCCTCCGCACAGCTCGGAAGGCTGGTGCTGAACCTGCGATGTCGCTAGTCGAGGACCAGGGCTTCGCACTTGGTGTTGTACGAGATGGAACGGTACGCAGTCCTGGCTTGCGCTCTAAATAGTCGCTGATTGCATGCATTCAGGTAACGCAAATGCACACCATCATGTCGAGTGACCCATCTCGAGGGACGCTTGCGCTTGAAGAGGGTGCCTATATCCCCTCGGGAAAGGATGTTGCTGTGCGTATCCCTCTTCATCTCGGCGCTCCCCTATATGCTGACTATCCCTTCTCAGTTCTTCGTCCGCGACCCATCCGTCTCAAACGCTGACCGCGACTTGCTGAGACGACCTTCCCAGCCAAATATCGCGTTCGTCAACCCGCCCTACATGACTTCTGTCGAAGTCGAGCCCTCGCACGCTGAAGATCGCGCTGGTTTGAATGCGGTCTTCCCCGACTCCGCTGAGGAGATTGTCCTCCCCGACACCTTCCTTGCTTCTAGCGAAGAGGGGTTCAGCATGATGGAGGGTGGGCGGTGTCGGATTGGCAGCGCGGTCGGGTTGATGTCGCTTGGCGATGGGCGATGATGGATTTGACTTAGGCTTGGGCATGGTGTGCGGGTTGTGGTGGCCTGACTTGAACCTGAAGAGGCTAGGGGTCGTCTACTTCACCTTCGCCTTCTCTGTACACAGGGTGTTCTTCCATGAATACGTCGCCTGAATGCTATACGCTGAGGCGATGCTTTTGGAAGACCTTGTTTCGTGTTCAGAAGTCAACATTGTGTATGGAGGTTTGTTTTGGTGAGTGGAGGTCTTTTTCGTCGGACCTGCAGTTTAACTGAGTCCTGCCGACTCGGTGCACACCGCTGATAGCGATAGATTCTGGAGGTGAGTTTACGCGTCTTCTCAGTTCTATCGCTGATAGGTGTTTCTAAGTCGCATTTATAGTCTTCCCTCGTGGCCTCGCTGCAGCTGCACACGCAGATCGATCTCGAGCTTATCGAACCCGGTCTCTCGAAGTGAGTAGGACCGCGCCTCTGCAGGACATGCAAGCGCTTCGACATCTGCGAAGTCGTCTTAGGAAGCGTTGGTCATGCTCAGCTTACGGTTTCAAGACGCGGTACACTGTTGCAGATCGACATCACGCGTACGGGCTTTCTCCCCTCCTCGGTTCGTTGCATCATTGCGCCCTGTGAAGAGGAAGTCTTATCATCGCGAGCAGTTGCAGTCATCCTGACGCCGGGTTGATGTGAGCCTTGCGTCCATATAAAGCGGAGGGGATCGTTGTGATCTTCACTGGATCAGACACCTTACCTCACGTTGCGCCATGACCACCACCATATCAACTGCGTCGGGGCTCCATGGTAAGGTCGTTATCGTCACTGGGTCATCAAGAGGCATTGGGGAGGAGATCGCATACGAATTCGGCAAGCATGGCGCCAAGGTAGGATATCATTCGCTTGCGGTGTAGCCAGCGACGCAGACTCACACAATACCTACAGATCATGATCACATACGTCTCTGAGACCAGCACGACCCGCGCCCATAGCCTCGCTACTCGCATAAACGAACTTAACAATGGCGCCCAAGCAGTCGCCGTCCGCGCCGACCTCCGCGATCCTGAGGCCCCCGCCGAACTCGTCAAAGCTACGCTCGCGGCCTTCAACACCGACGCTATCGACGTGCTCGTTAACAATGCTGGGACCGAGCTTGTACGGCCGATTTCGGAGACAACTATCGCAGACTACGAGAATGTCTTCGACATCAACGTCCGCGCGGTAATCCTTCTGACGAAGGCCGTCGTCCCCGTCCTGCGCGCTCCGGGGCGCATCATCAACATCTCGTCCATGGCCGCGAGGCGCGGGGCCGCGTACTACGGCCTCTACGCTGCGAGCAAGGCCGCGCTGGAGGGCTTCTCTCGCGCCTGCGCGGCTGAGCTAGGCGCGTTGGGGCACTCGGTGAACGTCGTCTCGCCGGGACCGATCGTGGGCACCGAGATGTTCGAGATGATACCGGATGCTTATGTGGAGGAGCAGAAGCGGCGTACGGCGATGCAGCAAAGGCTCGGGACGATGGGGGATGTTGCGCCAATCGTGGTGTGGCTGGCCGGCGAAAGTGCGAGGTGGGTTACAGCGCAGACGATTTCTGCAACCGGTGGTGCAGAGATGTATTAAACTCAGATACATGCGCAATATCTATGTGGAGCTTTATACGGCGTTGGTCGAAAGCATGCCTATGCCTGTGGAGATCAACTAGGAGGATGTGACTGAAATCACGGTCACGCCCCGCGCCACCTCTCCCACAGCGTTCATCATTCCTTGCCGTGCGCGCCATTCAAATTCTTATACCTCCTCGCCATGAACTATGCTACCTTCACCGACCACTCGCGCATACAGTGGGCCCTTATGCCATCGGATCCCCAACAGCAGCAACGTCGATCGGGCCTCAAACCCACCAACCTACCTCTCGAACTGCAGGTTCAGGTGAGTGCTTGCAAGCTGCTCGCCTTTCTGTGCTCTTCAATATCTTCTCTATAGGTTCTTCGACAGTGTAGCCCCAAGGATCTCCTCGCCTTGAGCCAAACTTGCTCGACGTTCCAGACCATCTTGGACGACAGAGCTGACATTTGGGCCGACGCGAGGATGTATCTGGGTGCGCCCGCGCCGCCTGGAACCTTGAAAGATCATGGGCCGGTCGACTCTGAGCGAGCATGGGCAGCCTATCTTTTCACCGGCGCGGTACGCTATATGCAGCATACTACGAATACGCTTGCTTACGCTCTTCGCAACCCTTGCAGCTAGACCTCTTGATCGATGCTCCACCCGACTGGGCCCTCCTATACACCCAGAATTGGATTAAAGCAGATGAGCAAAACGCTTCAAAGTACGCGCAGAACCGGCATCATCGCATTTTACTCACGCGCCTTCAGGATTCGAACGTTTCTCTCTGAGGAGCCTTTTAAAGAGCTCGAGGTCAAGGTCACATTCGCACAGATCATGCGCACCCCTACTGGCCGAGCGCTCTTCGATGCATTCCGGAGAGACGTCGAGGTCATCGACTATGCCTGTGAGTACAGTGCGGATAGCTTGATACATCCAGACTGACGTGTCGCGCCGCCGGTCAGCCTGGACGTTGGTCTTGCCATCAATGCTGCGAGAACTGGGACTCATAGCCTCCTGCATTCTGTCTGCCTCTCCGCGTGGATTCAGGCCCGACGAGCTCGACAGGGTCATCTGCCCAGACTGCTGCCCCGACCCGACTAACTTTCGCCATGCCCTGAATGCCCTTCCAGCTCGCATATCGAAGAGAAAGTGGTTCGCTCTGAATACGGTTACAGTAGGGTCGCTCACTCACCACTATCAAGAGAAGTGGGCTGCTTGTCCCTGTCCTTGTAATCACACCAGCTGACGTCGCAAGCTAGACATCCTGGCCTTCTCTTGGTGTCACCGATCTTGCGGATACCCAGGCTCGCATACTGTACGATATGCCTGAGTGCCCCAGGGGTGCAACATTGCTACCATGTCCCCTACAACTCGCGTGGCCTGACATGTCACGAGCGGATGTGGTGAGCTGGCATGATTATCTTACATCCGCACGACCGTATAACCCTAGCTGCAGTCATGGGCCAATCAATCCGGGGCACGTCCACAAGTGGTTGGCACCCCTTCCGTTTGGAAACCCCCTGGTAGATGTCAATCAGCCAAGCAAACTCCGCTCGATCATCAAGCGTGTACGTCGCCTGCTCAGCGTCTAGACTGCCTGCAGCACTCATGTCTTCCTCCTGAGCAGTGGTTTGCTAGGGTCGCATCAGAGACTGCGCGCGCTTAGGTTTCTTTCGCCATTATTAGCTTCTGTCGCGACTCAAGTCTACGTCTCCTGGAACTCTTCAACCAGGCACTCTTCTCTCCGCGACATCTCCTCAATATCGAGCTGGCCAACTATGCGCTGTCGCGGTATTCTATTCGTCTTTTTCGTCCCTGCGCTCCGATCTTTACTGTCCTACGTTCCGACTCTACTGTCTCTGCGCTTTCCTTCAACCCTCGCGACAATCCTACCTACGCGTTACCTCTTCACAATCCACACATGTATCATATCGAGATACCCTGATACATGACATAGCTGTATCTGCCATCGGAAAATATAATCAACGACGACACCTAATTTACGTGCGCTACTTTCGTCGCACGACCGACAATTCTGCTCATAGCAGTGTCACTTGATGGACCGCTGTACTTCCTCGGCTCAATGCGACATCTTCTGCTCGTCTGCTACGTACTCGCAGTCGCTGGAAAGCTCCGGTGTTTGATCTGAGGTGGGCTCTTTCGCGTTGTAGAGAACGGGTGGCTAGCGCGCGGCGTAACTCAGCAATGCGCACGCACGACGAGCCAGTTGACGATGGATTATGAAATGAATCCTTCAACTGGTGCCCACCTTCACGTAGATGCGCAGGGATTCCCAGGCGAGCTCAGCCGCTCCGGTGAAAGTAGTTGGATATATATGAGGCGGGCGAACCCCAGAGTAAGGATGAAAGATGGATTGAGACGAGAGGGCAGGGCCGCGATTCGAACGCGCAAGGGCTCCCGACTGAGCCACCGTGCCGGTAGGGGAAAGGGAGAGGGCCGAGGGGTGCGTCGAAGTCGGCCGCGTCGAGGTCGAGGGCGGGTCCGCAAGGTGTCCGCGCGAGCAGGGTGACTCCACAGCGCAGTGCTCATCCCGGCTGACCAACACACCCTAGGATATGCGGACCGGGGAGGACATTATCGCTGTGGTCCTGAACCCGGACGACGCTTGCGGACGGCGCCGAAGTCGAAGTCGAGGTCGAAGTCGCCGTCGCGGTCGTTGTTGCCGTCGAGTTCACGAGGTGTCCGCGCGAGCAGGTTGACTCCACAGCGCAGTGCTCATCCCGGCTGACCAACACACCCTAGGATATGCGGACCGGGGAGGACAGATCGCTGTGGTCCTGAACCCGGACGACGCTCGCGGACTATGTCGGAGTCGGAGTCGAAGTCGCAGGCCGCCGGGGCCGTCGTCCAGCAAGCGAGACCGAGCGGAGCAGGTGATTCACCAACGCCAGCGCTTTCCCCAGCTGATCAGTCACCGTTAGGTGCGGACCAGGGCGCCTCTAGCAACAGTGGGCCTGAACCCCGGATGTCGCTCGCTGGAATGCTGAAGTCGAAGGCCGTCGTCCACTGAGAAAGTATGTCAGTACAAATCAAGTCAAGCGCCGGATGCAAGCACTCACCTGGGAGGGAAGGGAAGGGAAGGAGGGGAAGAAGATGGGGATTGGGAGACTGGGGCGCCCGTATATATACTACTGTGCGGTGGCTGTATCGACTTTCCGCAAGAGCTGTGCAAAATTACACTAAACAAACGCGCTAAACAGAAGCAAACAGTGGCGCACCTTCGTCAACGACCAGCTCGCCCGCCATGTTCCCCCGCCAGCTGCGGCGCTCTCAACCGTTCCCTCTGCTTGTAGAGGTCGCGTAGCATAGTAGAGCGCGTCGGTAATGCCAGTGGTGGGTGCGAGATCGTAATTAAGTTGTTGAGAAGGATGGGCCAGCACCGACGCCGACGACCAAGAGCGTTCGGGACAAGCGCTCTGCCCCGCGTCCTTCCCCGCCTAACGATCGACCCCGCCGCGTGGAGTGCCACGTTGCGCGCGTGCGCCGAGGACGAGGGCGGCATGGGCCGCGACGGCGGGCGCGTCGGCGAATGCCGAGCGCTGCGGCCATATTGCACAAACACGCGCAACTTCCGCCTTTGCTTCCGCGGCGACGCTCCCTCGCTCGCTCACTGGAATGGTTCGTCATCTCCTCGCTACGGTCAAGGTGCTATCACCGGTTCTTAAGAAGACCCTCCTCTAGACGGTCTACATATACATCTCGGGCCGCTGATACGAACGGACCGCGCCCTTAAGAATGCCTTCATCAAAAACCAATTTTACCGTGCTTGCTACCAATATTGCTATTCCTCTGAGCCTGTCAGAGAACTCGGCTCTCACTCTCCTCACCCATTTTGAACAACGGACCCTGAACGACGTGGCGACTTTCGAGGGAAATCGATGACACGAAGACCGACACGCGGGTGCATTGATTGGGACTTACGATAGGGAGATGGATGGGGAAGAGGGCGCTCAGGGCGGCGAGGGAGAGGTCGTCATTGGCAGCGAGTACCTTGCGCGAGGGCCAAATTTGACTCGTCAACAGGTTAGACGCCCTCCGACTGCACGTTCGACGTTCTGACGCCCCTGCCCGTGTCCTCCCCCCCGCATAATCATACCAATACCTTACCTACTTTCCAATCTATCTTCTCCTCGTTTTCCGTCATTATCTTTGCGCTACTCCGTCGAATTTTGCCTTAGGCAGCCACTGCTCGCCTCCTATCCTCTTTCAACTTCGGCACTCCGAGGTATCACAGCTGCCGCCTTGGGAACTCGATGCACGACTCGCATAGTCAATTCGACGCTGATGGATCCGTCCTCGACACCCTCTGACGCGCCGCCCTTGCCCATCGCAAGGGCTCAACTTTGGCTGCGACCGAGTCCAAATAACCATGTTGCGGAGCGGCGCACGACTCAACTGGACTTGAGACACCCTTCTTGCAATTGCCTCCTTCCTTATCCTCCCTTTCTCACTAGCTCAGCATCGACACTCACTCGATCCGATATGCCCGCCCCCACTCCTCCCTCTTTTCCCAACTACGCGCCTGTTTGTCAACATCTTTTCCCGGAGACGCTCACGTCGTTAGTCGATTGCGACGACCAACTCCCTCACACTCCTCGTACCCTTCGACAGTTCGATGCGACCCGGCTCGACGCTCGATACATTCGACCAAGTTCGTTAAGCTAGGCATAACGCTACTGCACCTGAGCCTATGGAAGTCCCTGATTACACGTTCGAGGTATCTCATCCTCTCCGTACAGTCCTTGCAACCCTGTCCGACGCTCGAGAAATCTGCTCGTGTGCTGTGTACCGGCCCAATCGTCTCACTATCCTTTGAGAGGGCTATACTCATGCTGGGAGGCTGAAGGTACTCGAAAGCACGCCATACGCGGAGCTCGAGGGCAGTCGCATCAAGCGAGCGAGGGAGCGTCGCCGCGGTCCTGGTTCGCGGAAGCAAAGGCGGAAGTTGCGCGTGTTTGTGCAATATGGCCGCAGCGCTCGGCATTCGCCGACGCGCCCGCCGTCGCGGCCCATGCGCGCCACGCGGCCCGCCGCCCTCGTCCTCGGCGCACGCGCGCAACGTGGCACTCCACGCGGCGGGGTCGATCGTTAAGCGGGGAAGGACGCGGGGCAGAGCGCTTGTCCCGAACGCTCTTGGTCGTCGGCGTTGGTCCTGCCCCCTCCTTCTCAACAACTCGATCTCGATCTCGCACCCATCAATGACTCTACCGACGCGCTCTACCATGCTACGCGACGTCCACAAGCAGGGGCAACGGTTGAGAGCGCCACTGCAGGCGGGGGCGAAGATGGCGGGCGAGCTGGCCGTCGCGCAGGTGCGCCACTGTTTGTGTTTGTTTATCGTGTTTGTTTAGTGTACTTCTGCACAGCTCTTGCGGAAAGTCGATACAGCCACCGCACAGTAGTATATATACGGGCGCCCCAGTCTCCCAATCCCCATCTTCTTCCCCTCCTTCCCTTCCCTTCCCTCCCAGGTGAGTGCTTGCATCCGGCGCTTGACTTGATTTGTACTGACATACTTTCTCAGTGGACGACGGCCTTCGACTTCAGCATTCCAGCGAGCGACATCCGGGGTTCAGGCCCACTGTTGCCAGAGGCGCCCTGGTCCGCACCTAACGGTGACTGATCAGCTGGGGAAAGCGCTGGCGTCGGTGAATCACCTGCTCCGCTCGGTCTCGCTCGCTGGACGATGGCCCCGGCGGCCTGCGACTTCGACTTCGACCCCGACACCGACATAGTCCGCGAGCGTCGTCCGGGTTCAGGACCACAGCGATTTGTCCTCCCCGGTCCGCATATCCTAGGGTGTGTTGGTCAGCCGGGATGAGCACTGCGCTGTGGAGTCAACCTGCTCGCGCGGACACCTCGTGGACTCGACGGCAACAACGACCGCGACGGCGACCGCGACGGCGACTTCGACTTCGACTTCGACTTCGGCGCCGTCCGCAAGCGTCGTCCGGGTTCAGGACCACAGCGATAATGTCCTCCCCGGTCCGCATACCCTCGGGTGTGTTGGTCAGCCGGGATGAGCACTGCGCTGTGGAGTCACCCTGCTCGCGCGGACACCTTGCGGACGCGACCTCGACCTCGACGCGCCCGACTTCAACCCTCTTTCTTTCCCCTACCGGCACGGTGGCTCAGTCGGGAGCCCTTGCGCGTTCGAACCGCGGCCCTGTCCTTTACAAAGCCCCAACCGGCGTCACTTGGCTCAGCTTCTTCTTCAAGATGTTTTTAATAGTGATATTGATATCGTTTATGTGTTCACCTCTGTTTACTCGAATTGAATGAGCCCCCTACGCACTTGTGTCTCTGTGACTGCTCCTAATTTATGGCTGCCATGTTGAATCCAAGGGCTCTGAACGCTCACCATCCTATCGCTTGAGTACGGGTACATAGAATTTGTGCCACGTGCGCTTCAAGCACGTGGTCTGTTCAACTTCGGAGACTGCCTGTTGATCCCGCGGACTTAGTGCGACCACCGCTTGTCCCGACGTCGTCCTGCCACCGCGCCCAGTGCGAACAACGCGTCGCTTTCTGATGTTCCCACTTTCTTCTCGATGTTCATCGACCGGATGCGTCCTAATTTGCGCTCTCCGTCGTATCTGACGCAGCTCAAGGCATCCAGACTAGGTCCTCGATGACATTGGCCTCCGCGCGGGAGCCAACTTGACATGTCCCGCAACGCTTTTCTTCTACGTATCCCCGGTCCGTGACTTGCCCTATGTCCCGGCTATCATGTCAGAGTTCCTGCGTTTTGCGGTCGCTCAGGTCTACTTCGCCTCAAGAAACGGCTTGGAGACGCTCGTCTTGGAGAGCACCACCATCAGGGTCATCGCTGCGTCTTGTGGCGCTGCTGCTAGCACGATCATATACCGTGGCTTTAAGCCAGCACAGGACGACGCTCAGCCTGAAACTTCCGAATCGGCGACACCCAGCCTCGAAGGAGAGCCGCTTGAAGATGTTGAAGGCGCACCGCTGGGTACGGCGGCCCTTGAGAGCCCCGATATCATGCGACCCGTTTATCTTCGTGGTGAGGAACCATTTGGCTTCTTCCGATGGTGCGCTCTTGACGGCGAGTACAGAGATGTGTGCGGCAGACGTGTTGGACGTGATTCCGCGTACATTGCGCTTGCCTACGTGCGATGAGTACCCGTCGCAGATATCCCTCCATGCAACACCTGCAGAAGAAAGTTGCGCCATCGAAAGCATCATCACGACCCCCATCGACGACACACTCTTTCCCGACTCACTGGACAAGCCCTCGACGCATCATGTGTCTGCCGACTTCCAACGTGTCGGCGTCTTCATCTCTTTCGCCTTCCTCGCCATCTGCATGACTTGCTATGCTCTTTGGAAGCGTTCCCATCGCCCTACATACTCGGTTCATGGACCAGCTATCGCTACAAGCAGCACGCGCAACGAGGACCCTCAGGGCGCGGAAGATCATGTCGATGATCGGGATGCTACTGGAGCATCGCATCGCGGGGAGGGCGAGAGCGACGTGCAGGAGGACGAGAGCGACGCGCAGGAGGAATGGGCGAACGAAACTCGGGAATCGCCAGACGTCAACCTCCCCGCTACCAATCTTTCTCCCGCACCTGGAGTGCACGCAGCGGAACAGACGATAAGAGAGGCTACCGGCGTACGTGTCGGAAGCCTCGCCAACGTCCCTGTCGAGAACGAGGAGAACGCGCGCATACAAGTTGCAGAGGACAAACGCGTCGAGCGAATTGACGTCGCTCAGGCCGAGCAAGTCGACGTCGCGCTGAACGCGAAAGCCGACGTCGCGCTGAACGCGAAAGCCGACGACGCGCTCGATAGGACAGGCGACGCCGCGCCCACGCAGCAAGTCGTCGTCGATCCCAGCCAGCCAGCCGGTCATACACCCTCGGCGCTCGTGCAAGACGAGCATGCGAGGTACGCACACCATGAGCGGCTCGATGCCGCACTCGACGAGAAAGCTGGCCATACGAGGGGCGGGCAAGCATCCCCTGCGCTCGGACAACCAGCTCTGGATGTCCCCTCCGAGCAGGCCATCAATGCGCTCGTGCTGAACGTCCTGAACGCGCTTGGCGGACAGACTTTCAGCGTGCTTGCCGATCAGGGCACGAAAGTACCTGTCGACGACGACGACGACGCACTTGGCGTACAATCCGTGAACGGGCTCGGCACGGGGAAACCGATGGACGCGCTTGACAATCAACCCGCGGACGAACACGGGCAACGATATCTCGGCGTGCCCGGTAGGAAAGTAGAGGTTGAGGCCGACGAAGATAACGCGGACGTACCCACCTTGAAAAAAGAAGTAAACGTTGTTCGACCTATCAACGGCGATGGTACGTGCTATCATTCTCTGCTTTCGGCGACATATGCTGAAGGTAGCGCGGCAGTGAGCGCGGCCCCCGAAGCCCTTGCAGCTCCCGAAGCCAACGCAACTCCAGAAGCTCTCGGCACCCTCGACGGTCGGCACGTCGATACGACTGCCCAAGGATCGCAAGATAGCAGCGATTCACAAGTTGGCGAGCCGCCTGCTGCAGGGATCGATAGCGCGCCTGCCGCGAGGGCCGAGGGTCCACATGTCGAGCACACGACCGACGTAGGCGAAGGACAAGCCACTAGCGCACCCGACGAGCAGGACGAGGATGCGCACGTTCCCGCGAAGACGGACAGCATGGATATGGCGGTTGAACGAGCTCTTGATAATCGCGCTCCAGATATCGACGGTACGTCGCTAGCTGTCGTCCGATCCTGATCTACATACTGAAGGAGCTGTAGCCTCCGCGAATGGCAGCATCCCCGCGACTGGTCAGCAGCGTGTCCAGACGGCGAAGGAGCAGACTATTGGGGAACTCAAAGAGCAGGCTATGGGCTTGAGGGACCGGGAACGCGAAGACGATGTTGACGAAGCTCCTGAGGTGCCTACTGAGCAGCTTAAGAAGGCGGATGCGCCAGTCGGATCAGCAGACGATGGTGTTGGCGATGTCCGTCGGATGACCGACGCCGTTGCTTGCGCCGTCCACCAGACGCGCGACGCCGCTGTCGGTGTCGTCCACCAAACGCGCGACGCCGCTGTTGGCGCCGCTCGCACCACCGCTGACGCCTCAACCTCCACCGCCGACGCGCGCGTGCACGCCGCTCCTACGACCTCCTCCGTCTCGATCTTCGCCGCTCCCTCGACCACCTCTGTCTCCACCCACGCCTTCCCCAATACCACCGACGCATCCATAACCGCCTCGCCCACCACCGCCGACGCAGCGACGAGCACGATCCGCGAGGGGTACCGCGATGTGGGCGTACAGGCGCGACCATCAACGAGCAGCGGTGGCGTGCAGGTGCGACCGAGAATGGCGAGCGGCGGTGTGCAGGTGCACCCCGCGACGATGAGTAGTGGTGTGCAGGTGCGACCGGCGGTGGGTGAGGGGGGCGTACAGGTGCGACCATCGACGGCGAGCGGTGGCGTGCAGGCGCAGCCATCGGCAGGCGTGCAGCTGCAGCCAGTCATGCCGCCCACGACGATGAGCAATGCGCAACTCGCCCCCTCTGCCGCGCGCCCCCGCTCCTCCTCCGCCCCCACCACCCTTACCTCAACCCCCTCCTTCAACTCCATCCTCGCCGAAGCGCGAGACCATCTGAGTACTTGCGCAGAGCTGTCGTCGCTCGCGGCACGGTCGGGCTCTGCGCCGGCTGTCGTAGGACTGTCGAGTGGCCTTGCTTGGGGATTGTCTTCGACCTCTTCCTCATTCGTCGCAGGAACCTCGTCCGCAGGAGTGGGCCCGTCGAACAGCATTGTGTCCACCTCGTCCGCGCCCCCTCCCCGCCCCGCCGCCTCCTACTTGGGCCCGAGCACTTCCTTCCTCGACGATCGCCTTGGCGGGAGTGGTAGTATTGCCGGTACGTTGCCGTGTCACCTTTTACTTCTGGACTGTGTAATAACTTCGATACAGGACGTGAGATCATGTCTTCTTCTACGATGTTGATACTGAGTATTGCAGCTGTTGCAACTCACAAACCCACCGTCGATGACGAGCCAGCTATCGACTTCCCCGAGCAACGAACGGAGGATGCGCCTACGCTTGATGAGCATGTGCCGGACAAGGAGGCCGACAGCGTTCTTGTCAAGCATGTCGAGCGTGTACTCGTCGGAGTGGACGTAGATGACGGTGATGCGGGCACTAAGCAAGTCATCAATGGACTTGAAGATCAAGCTGGAGACGCGTCCGTCGAAGGTACACGTGCTGTCGAAAGCGCTGACGAAGGAGCTCCTGATGAGCAGGCTCCTCCAAATGCTCCCGCTGCGCCTGTCGCGCGCATGATTGGGGAGCAAGTCGAGCCAGTCATGAATGTACCCATCAGACAGGCTGATGAAGGTCGCGTATGGAGTGACTTAGGTGCGTCTCTCCTCGTGTACTAGCCTTCTTTCCTCGTGTATACTCAAGGCGATACAGTGTCTACAACTCCTCAGCTTTCAAGCCCAACGCATGATGTGCAAGTAGACAACGCGCCCGATGGTCCGGTTATCACCGCGATTGTGAAGGAATCCAACGACTTCCTCGGCGAAGGACCTGTCGACGAACCAGTGGAACGGTCTGAAGATGTGCTCGCGTCGAAGAATGAGATTCTTCAGGCCGGAATATTTACCGACGCGCTCGACGAACAAGCTATAAGCGCCCCAGACCAGCAAGATTTCGACGCCCCCACTGCTCGGGATACGATGTCACCGGCTAAGCAGGTGCTCAGTGATCACGCTGTGGACATTGCTGGTATGTCGCTATCCTATCGTTGATGTCGCTACTGAGCTCAACGCTACTCCGCAGCTCGCGAGACTCCTGCGCACGCCGTGCATATCGCTGACTCGCCTGGCCGTCGAACTGCTGATGCGACCGCTGTGGAAGAACGAGTCAGGAAGAAGTCAGCCGCTGCGCTCATAGATCGAGCCATTGACGTGCTTGAGGAACGATCCGCCGACGCACCAGTTCCGCGAGCTGAAGGCCGCCGCCTTCTAGACATTGACAGTACGTCGTTATCTTTACGCAGCCCTTGACAAGTTGTCCGACGCACTACAGCACCACCCGCAACTCAAGATGCTCCTAGGGAACGCATTCACTACAAGCAGAAGGTCGATGCATTCGAGATCAGAGCAACCGAAGTGGTACATGAAGAACAAGTCCCCGGCGTTTCTGATAGGCAAAACATCGACGCGACCGCTACCAAAGTCGAAGGCTTGCCTGCGGATCACGCCGTCGACGATACCTTCGATGTCGCTGGTATCTTGTTACTGCTTCCGCCTCCTGATCTTGTATACTGAAAGCGTCGTAGGTACCACGAGCGCACACTTCCCTGCCTCTGACCATCAAGCATCCTGCGGGCTTCAAGAGCATGACATCAGTCCGCTGCACAAGGGAACCGCCCAAGTGCCTGTCTCGGGGGATGCAGACCCGACCAAGCATACCACTCATGCACCCGAGTCCGCCATTTTGGGTATGTCGCTCCAGCTTTCGCCGGCTCGCACGCTATTGAACTTGATGCAGCGTCTGTAATCGTAGTTCCCGCCGCTCACAAAGAACCAGCTACGGGTGCTATCGAAGGGAAGAATAACAACGTTAACAACCAGCCTGCGGTCGGCGCGTCCATCGAAGAAGCTGGCGATGCAACTGACAAGCAAGACATCGATGCGCTCAACGGTCCATCCGCCGAGAAGTCGATGCCTCAGGGAGATGACATACCCGCCGAGCAAACCCGACAGGGCCACGTTGCGGATTCTGCTAGTACGTTGTTGCCTCAAACTCCTACGACGTTTACTTGATGCGCAACACAGAACCTCCGAGTCACGAATCCCCTCCCTATCATGGAGAAGCTGTAGCTGTAGTCAAGGATGTCGACGTCCTTGACGAGCATGTCAATGAAGCCCGCGACGAGAACGTCGAGCAAGAAGCGAAGTCTGAGCAGGAGCGCGTCGAATCGGACAGGAAGGATCTACGCGCCGCGCATATCGGTCATGCGCTCGACGAGCCCGAGGATGCGCTCTTCGAGGAGGCTCTCAACGTGCTCGAGAGTCAAGCTCTGAATGTGATCCTCGAGAACTTCGTCGATGTACTCGGCGTAATGGGTTTCGGAGCGCCTGATCAACATCATAACCACGACAATGCGCCTAAGGAACCAACTGGCCACCGCGATGGTCAAACTCTGCGTGATTCTGCCGAGGGTGATGGTATGTCTCTGTTCTGCTCTACTGTTATGTGTACTGAAGGTGAAGCAATCTGGTTCAGCGCAAACCCCTCGCGAGCTCAACAGCGCGCATGACCTCCTCGAGCCTAACAATGCACCTGAAGCCGCCGAAAATGCGGATTCGGCGCCGCCTGAGGAAGCGCTGGCGCGCAACCATGACAATGCGATCCCAAACCGCAGGACAGGGGCAGCGGAGCGCCACGAAGATGACGCAGACAACGCAAATGTAGATAAGGGAGAAGCAGCAGCGCCGGAGGATGAAGCAGACCCGGACGGGAATGCTCACGGGGATGGTCTGACCCGGGGAGTGGCCGGAGCAATAGGCGAAGAGGATGTGACGCTGCAGGACGATACCGGCGACAAGGAGATGCAGACTCAGGGTGAAGCGCCGCACGAGGATGACCCAGCGCCGCGCGAGAAGGACCTGGACGCAGCGGACAGCGAGGCTCACGTCGGTAACCAGGCAGCGGAGGGCGCATCGACGAGCGCTACAGGGGAGGCGCAGGCGGATTCAGATGAACAACTTACAGTTGCACGTTACGAGGCTCCCCAGGTCGCGCCACGTCAGGCAGCTGCTCTGGCGCCGACGCAAGACCCTATCCGTGTACTCGAAGAAGCGCCGCCTCCTGCGCCTCCCGAGGTCCCAGCTATCGCACCCGCTCGTACTCGCACGGCACCTGTAGCAGCCCCTCATCCCCCACCGGCCGAAGCCCACCCTCCCTTACCTGTTCAAGTTCGTGTTCCGGCACCAGCCCCAGTCCAGCATCAACCTCTTGGACCGCATCCCCTCCCGGAGGTACGCCCTCCCCATCCCCATCCTACGCCGAGCATACGGCAACATTCAGCACCTTTCGAGCGCTCTACGAAGACCAAGCGCACACCACCGGCGCCTGCGTTTGATCCAGCACAGGGTTTCGCTCATAGCCCTTCGTTGGACCTCGCGATCGTCCATGAGCCAGTGAAGGTGGGGGTCACTGGTGCTCTGCCAGAGCCGTTGTTTGTATTTGGACTGAAGCTCAACTACAATGATGAGGGCGTCGACAAGGCTGTCGCTGGCGAGGTCAACGACGAATATGCCATCATCAAGGCTTCAGGGCCGGCGAACATAGTCGTCGAGGGGCAAGGCGTTGTGGACAAAGCCCTTGAAGTCAGCAGTGCAGTCGCTGGCCAGAACGATGGAGCTCGGGTACTCGATGGTTCTCAGGTACAATCGGCACTGCTTCCGCGGCAAGGAGCTCCTCCTCTCGACGCCGACGATACAGTTGCTGACCAGGACGAGCGAGCTTCTGGCGTTGAGCATTCTCAGGGTCACGTCGACGGTCCCGTCGCAACTGGCTCAGGATCATCGCATAACATGTCTCGCGAGCTGGACACGACTTCAATTGCGCTGCCCTCGGGTCCATCCACACATCCCACCTCCTCGTCCACCTCCTCGACTTCCTCAGCCGAGCCGGATGAGTCGGAAAGCAATCTTGACGAACCCGTGTCTGTTCCCGCAAAGATCGATCGCAAGGGCAAGGGCAGAGCAACCGCTCCTCCTGAGGATGAAGATATCTCGTGGCCGTCATTCGAGACCGTATTCGCCCCATCCTCAGAAGTCAACTTTCAAACAATACCTTCATCGGTTGCAGAGCACGATCGGCGGCTGAAAATGCAGATGCAAGGCGATGGCGCACGCCGTGCTTCCTCCTCTCGGCGGACGACGAGCACGGACGATTGGGAGAACCGGAGGCCGGCTTTCTCCGGTGTACATGCGCACGCGGAGGACCGTTCGAGGGAGGGGAAGGTTGCAAAGGCGGCCAGGGCCGCAACAAACACGGCCAGGCGACCGCGGGGAAGGTGAAGCTTACGAGGAACACCGAGTGTCGGGCGGATAACATGCAAGTTCCCAGTCTTGGACGACGGGTAGTATCGTGAAGCGGGTTGCGAAAGAGTGAGGACGAGGAGGTTCGGGTACATTATTGTCGGCTCAGCTCGCGCATTCGGACTGCAGCCTTGTAAACTCATGTCGAATATCGTGCCATTGCCATCTGAGCTACGTATACACGCTCGAAGATACGGACTCATAAGGATAGGAATAAATAAGTCGTACTGTACAAATCGATGAAAATTACAGGGCGCGAGATTGAGTACGAAGCCATTAGCGATGAAGACTCGAGCGGAAACGAAGAGGCTTCGCGGTCAGACTGAACACGCGTACTTGTCATACCAGCTATAGGGATGGATAAGCAGACGAGTTTGCCATGGATTGGCAAGAACACCTACCTGATGGTGTGCAGATTGCGGGCTGATTTCTGTGTCCCCCACATCTGAGGCATGAACCATTCGTAGATGACGCCCGGATTGACAGGGCCGTGACTGGTTGTGTTAGGAAAGTGCCAACACCAAGATACTTCCACTCACTAGTCTCGTTCGTGCCATATCAGTCCGCGCGAGGTAAACGGTTTGCGCGATGCCTGGTACCGGATGCTGGGATCCGAGGCGTGCAAACATGTTGTGCAGTACGTGTATAACGGAATTTGGGGGATGATGTCGAGACCCTGTCCACAATCGTGGCCAAACAAGAGTTCAGAGTGTCTGAAAGCGGCGTCAATGGGGATACGGACAGTGAAGGCAGGAGCACGGACTTTTCGAAGAAATGGGAGTTGAGCGACTCCACATTAACAGTGTTTGCGGCAAACCAACGCTTCTTTGACTCGCGGCAGGGTAGATGGTCCATGCTAAGGCGAAAGGCGTCGGAGAAGGGGTAGCAAACGGGGCAGATGATTCTGTCGAGGTCGTGAAATCTGAATGCGCGCGGCACGGAAGACGGAGTGCAGGAGGCTATCAGCCCAAGCTCTCGCAGCATGAATGGTAGAGCAAGGGTCCAAGCTATTGAAAACAACGCGAGATTGAGCTATGCGAAAACAAGATATGCAGTCTAAGCTTACATGCGAGGTCAACCACCCGGAGGTCTCTTCGGAAAGCATGAACGAGCTTCTGACAGGTTGGCGTGCGCATGATCTCCTGAAAAGTCACCGGGGTCTTCTGCAAGGCCGCGAAAGGCGGCTCCCGAAGGAACTGCTTGACACTACAAGTGCATGCATCGATATGCGAGCAAACGGAAAGGGAATCAGCTAGCGCACCGTAGCCTATTCTCTCTTTCCTTGATGTTCCAAATCTCCGAGTACTGCTGCAGCCATTGGGGCGGGACCACAGCGCAGGCGTCCAGCTGTGCGTGAATGTGAGCACCAGCATGAGCGCATTAAATAACGAAGAGACAAACGCACCGCCCCGACGAACAGCTCTGTGGCCCAAGCTTTCTCCATTGCAGCCAAAGAATGTCCGATTAGAGTCGCAGGTGCAGGAGCGCCAATGCACGCCCGTGCCCTGGCCCAGATGCCTGGCCTGGTAGCGAGATGATGTCGGAAGGTGCGACAGGTCTGTCCCATGACGATAAGGCAAGCTGGGCTGCTTGCTTCAAGGATCTATGGCGAGTTCGAATAACGCACGAAGGAAAGCAGCAGACACTCACCATGAGTAACGTTTCCAAAGGCAAGTCGAGGAGGGATATGAGAGCACGCAAGGCCCGATGTTCATGCGCTTTGGGTTCCGCTAATATGCTCGCCCACTGTTTGCGCGAGCCATCTGAGAATGTAGCGAAGTCCATCGCAGCCGCTCAGACGGCAAGGGGTGGCGCGCGGAAAAGGGTGGTGAACGTAGTGGAAGAGGTGACCCGATCGCATGAATTCAAGCGCGCGCCGCCTTGCCTTTGCCCGTCATCCCTGCATCTCGCTCAATCGACTTCTTGTCCAACTCGCCCTCTTGGATATCATGGGCATAAGCCAGAGCACCTCAAATGATGACTTCGGATCTTCCTCGTCAACATCCATCTCGTCGACCCAGGCTACAGACTATCCTATCGCTTCGCCCCTCGGATTTCTAGGCTCATTACGGAGGGCCTGGGACAGGATCAACAGAGGCGGACCGGACAGCCATCTTCAGATCATCTGCCTACGGACCTCCCATACTCCTTCGACCATCTATCTCGCCAAGTACGCCTTCCCCAGCGTGTACGACTTTCATGCACGTCAGGGCCAAGACCAACGATCGCCCGTAGGCAGGCCCCTCTGCGTGCTCAACTGCACACTTCAGGAGGTAGAAGCGTACCAAGCAGCGGGTCAGTATAGGTACAACGCTCTCCAGTGAGTCACTTGTACGGTTTTCTCGCTTCCGTCGCTCACCATGCTTCAGTTACGATAAAATCTCGCCTACTTTACTTCCCCTCGAAATTCTACTCCGCATCGTCAACGTTGCGGAGCACGTCCAGGACCGGAACATGCTTACCCTGGCGATGCTGCAAGCCGATCAGCAACTCCTCCACGTTGTCATTGGGAACACCCCCTTCGACCCACGCCGTCCTGCACACATCGACGAGCTCGCCTTGATCTCTCGCTTCCTTCGAATGGTCGAACGGCTCGCTGCCTACCACCTAGAGCCTGTGCTGGTCGAACTACTCGCTCGCATTCTGTTGCTTCACCCCGCCTCTGATGACACTCTCGCTGCTCGGCAATGTCGCGCCTACGCTCAGGTCAGAGGATTCTGCGAACACATCGAGCTTGCCGTGTCGAAGCGCACATACGAACTCACTAGCCACGCTGTGCTCCTCCACAACCCGACGTGCGCTCGTCCTGCTGACTGTGCGGCTCGTTGGGCTGCTGTCATGCAGCAGTTGTCCTCCGGCTCGATGGGACTGGAGCCGCTCTCGGGCGACATCCTGGGGATGATTCGGTGCTCTGTCTGTCGCCATAACCTGCTGGAGAAGGATCGGCTGTGGAAGAGATGGTACGTTCATCACCTGCCTATGTGGGTCGGACTACCGTCGTGGGAGGTTCTGCTGGAAGGTCGGGACAAGTTTTACGAAAGTCACAAGCAGGAGTTCGAGGTCAGGGTTCCGAGATATCGTTACGTGGATTTTCGCGCAGGGGTATCGGCGCCTAGCACCTAGGCACAATGTTTCACTCTCCCGCATACGGTATCATTCGTGAATCCCTCCCATTACTATAGTATACCTGGATCGTAAGCATGTATTTGAGTAGTATATCGAACAGATTGTGTACCGAGAGTACACTAGCCGCATTCTGCATCGCACTATCGAAGGAGCAAAGCCTTCTGAATGTTCTCCATCACTATTGGAGGTTGGACAAGCCATAGTATGGCACTCTGTTCATCGCATGAGTGCCAGCTCGCAGTGGTGGAAGGCTGCATTCAAGGCGGAAGCTTGGAGCTCCGGAACGCAGATGCGGTCCCGATGAAAGGACGCGATGAACGAGAAAGCTGACGTTCAATGGGCGTGTTTGTGCCCGGTTGGACGAGGAGACCTTCGGAGGAGTATGGCATTACAGGTCACTAACGAGGATACAACGATTACAAAGAACGGTAGGTATAAAGTCGGGCAGAATATTGACGAATAACATAGGAAACCCAATAAAACCAATCCAAGGGAAACAGTGACAGAGAGCGAGTCCCAAACGAGTGAAAGGATATAACAAAGGCGCGAGCCGGCAATTACCACTACATGCAGTCCTACTCGTGCATGCTCGTATCCTTGTTCGCCCGCTTGCGACGCCCCTCGCCCTCATCCTCCTCATCCTCATCAAACTCAAGGTCTCGCTTCATCGACTTCGAGGTGCTGGCGTAGATCGGGATCTCTGGCTCGTCCGCAGTGAGCAGCTTGACCACAGATTCCGTGGAGGGCGTGGGCGAGTTGACGATGTCGGAGAACACGTAGACGTCTTCACTGGCACCGGAGGAGGAGGCGACGAGTGCACCACCATCCTGCGACGGGCTTTGGGCAGCAGCGAGACCATAAGAGGCGAGCACAGCTGAGGAACCCACAGCAGGGACGAGAGGTTCGGAAGCGGAGGGGTCCGGGTTCAGGAGTTCGTCGACCGCAGCAATAGAAACAGAGCCAGCAACTCCCTCGGATGCGATATCGATGGTACCGGAGGCAGAGGGCGTAACAGAAGTCGCATCAGGAATGCCCAAGCCAGAACCGGGTGTTGAAGCCAGGTCTTCATTCACCTCGCGATGTACGTATGGATTGTCGAAGTCGTACGTCGTATCGATATCGGCGGGCTGATAATTGCTTTTGGCCTTCTTCGAGAATACCGTAGGGATCGGAAGTGCGGAAGCGATCTGGGCCAAGTATGACGGTTGACGAGGAGCCAGCGCGCGAACCCGCGGTGGCTGCGGGACCGCAGACAGGTACTTGATGAATGCATTGACTAAGAGCGAGATCAGAAAGTGAGGCTAACATGTCCCATTACCACGCACCACACTTCGTGTTGACCTTGACAGGAGGTGGCAAGTCGCTGTTGGCTACCGTGTGGTGGTGGTACACTTTAACGACGACTTCGGCCAGCGGCGTGTAGAGGTGTTCCGCAAGCAGTTCGGGGCTGATCGTGTCGCGGTTTTGGGCGGCGTAGTGAGCGATGTACGCGGGGAAGAGGTCGGCGAGAGTCTTGATCGTATCTACATCAAGCGGGTGACCTTGAGGCGAGACGGTCCAGTTGCGGACAAACGCAGCGGTCGTTTCGCACTTCAGAAGAATATTGTGGAGTATCTAAAGGGAATGAGCCAGAGGCATGGTGCATTTGCATACAACACACCTGATCCAGTTCCAGATTCGAATTCATTCCCACCTCGCCCACGCTGATTGCGACCGCTTGCCGCATGAGATTTTCGCCTTGCCGCTTGAGGAGCCGAGAGCGGTCATTTGTCACCTTGTCTTCAAGTTCCTTCACCTGCCCTGTGGTTAAAGGTCCGAGAAGCGCAGACATCGATTGTGCTTTGGCAAGAACGGCAGCGTTCATTGCGGCCTCGCGGACATCGGATAACGAAGGTGGACATGTTGAAGACATGTTGACAGTAGATTGCCTGTCAAGGCGGATACGGGTGCTCTGGCGGAGGTGACTGGCGATCCGATGTGGGCGAAGGCAAAGGAGGACGCCGCAGTGACTGTCCAAATCAAGACTCGCGCTTGAGTCTCACGCGGGTGACAAGAAATTGCCGTGACACTGCCGTGACAGCCATGCACGGCCGTGCATGGCCTACAATATACGACCATTGCCATGACCGTGTCATGTCAATCGTGCGTTGTACGTGACACTAGCCATGACCATGGACTCAGGAAGGTCTCTACGTCAGTAACGACAGGGATATGCAATTCATCTTGCTCTGAATGTCTACCCTTCTAATCACGCACACGACGTCCCTTGGCGCCATCGGTGCGCCAACTGAACGAGTGCTGGTTCCATAGAAGAGAGCCATGAAAGTCAAGACAGCGTATATGATGAAGTAGGTGCGTATGTGTTACCCGTATGTCCACGTATGGCCTCAGGAAGGACTTGTCAACCGCGCCTACTGCCATGAAGACCATGCCGCAGCACATGGTTCGCCATGGACGGGCCATGACTGCCGTGCAGATGACCATGCACGACCATGATGTGGCTGTGTTGGATTCCGTGACATCCTTCTTTCCTGGATTGTGACCCGTTTAGATGGCGGCAAGAATGGCGTCTAATTGTCTCTTTAGGGCTACATATTGGCAGTCCAGGATGGCGAGGACCCGTTCAGATGCAAACTGCGCCGGATTGCCCATTTTTGGGCCCCGACGAGGAGGGAACGAAGCAACAATGACCAGTCACAAAATTTGAGTTTTCCCATTTTTGGTCCATATGGAAGAGATGGTTCTCATGAGCTTGTGGTACCGATGAGCGAGCGTCAAAATGAGAAGAACATGGTTAGGAAGACTTTGAAGTATCGGAACCGTGACATGGTCCTTGCACGGCTCTGCATGGCTGTCACGGCACGGTCACGGCAATTTCCTGATGCCCGTCTCACGCTCACGCACGGTCACGCGATCATCACGTTCTTCGCCGTCTGTTGCATCGCCTTCCCTTCATCCCATCTTTTTCCTCTGTTGCCTACCTCTTCTTCCATTTTAAAGGCGTCTCCTCCATCACTCTTCTATTTCTTATACTTGTGTACTCACTAGCGCTTGCATCTTCCATTCGTCCTTCCTTCCTTCCTCTTTCTTTCGAGTTTCTTATTCCTCCCCATCATTCTCTCAATCCCTCCTTCCCGCCTCTGCTGTCTAGCCTGGAAAGAACATGCTTCCGACAGTGAATTGAGACTGGGTGCTTCTAACAGTGAAGGATAATTGCGCTCAGTTGGGAAGCAATGAGCGCGCTTTGAGCCTTTGACAGGGAGCATCTTTGTGCTTGATAGTCAGTGAAGTTGGTGAAGGAAACTAAGAGGCGCACGATGCTGAAACACGCGAAAGGAAGGCGAAACTCCTGAACTAGGTGCAGCTAGAAGGGGGAGATGAAGGCACTAAGGAGGAATGGTCCACGATTCTGGGGTTAAGCGACTGTGGGGCGCACTGATTATACTGACGCAGAGCCAGATATTGTCCACGTCTCGCCTCTCCCGGGCGAGCTTTGAATCAGACAGCTGCATTCCCGGACTCGCAGAGGATAGATCAAATTTCGTAGCTGTGAAGTCGAAGACTCGATACGTCTGACGAGCAGAAATGCCATTGCAGATGTAGTAGATAGTATGTGTACGTAGCATGGTAGGGTTCGAACGACAGGAAATGTAGTATGTGCTCGGTGCGCATGAGTAGGCTGTCAACTAACGAAGCTCAACTAGGTATCTCCAAACAGTAATCAAAGCCTCCAAGGCGGACGAATCAATGGCTTGGAATTTGTGATGGTTCTTGACCGCGTCAGACCGGGTCGGTTTGTAACATCCCCCAGAGGCAGACGGGCAGCGCCAACGCCAAGAGGTGTAACTGCAGCTGGCTGAGGAGCAACGTGCATCACTGGCTCAGGGACCTCCAGTTTGTCGGGCACGATGCGCTCAGTCTGGAGGTCGTCCTGCGCTTCCGTCGCAGCCATCTGATCGACCGGAGCTGTGGTCTCCTGAGCGCCATTCTGGCCAACTGCGACTGCCTGCTGAGGGTCCCCATTCATCGGTCCGACGGCCTCATCACCAGCGGGTACGACAGGTTGAGGCTGCGCGCTGGCTGCGTCGTCCATTGCGAAAACAGCATCAGTCGGATTGCCGGCATCGTCGGCAACAGCACCTCCAAGATCGCCGTCGAGGTGGACTTGCGGGTCCTGAGCTGCAGCTCCTTCGACACCGGCTTCACGGCCTCGTTCAGCGCGTTGACGACCTGCAGCAGGTGAAGTTAGAAAGCGCAGCTTCAATGGTAAGCGATATCCATACCTTTCCTACTCCTGAACCGTGCAATCGCCCCGAACACTCCTTGTATGTACCTCAGATGCGCGGGCGTCCGGATTACGATATTTTGGATCGCTCTTACAAGCTGTAGTTCCTCCTCGGAGTTGGCAGGTGTGATGACCGGCTCCTCTGGATGACGAGGTCCACCTACACGGTGCTGCGCCCGAGGAACTTCATCCGCAGGGTGTCTCCTTGGATGGTCATTGCCCTGCGCGTGGTCGCCTACTGGCGCGGCAGTCGCATGCCTCTGCAACAGCCTCAGCGGCCTCGGCGCCCACCTCATCAGCCCGGCTCCCTCCCCGCCTGTGTGGTTCCCCATCGGCGCGTCCTCGTCCTGCTGCATAGGCACATGCTCTATCGGCGCCTGCAACGGCGCAGCCTCTGCCTGGTCGCCGACGTTCTCCTTGTCGTTGGCGTCTTCCTCGCCGTTCGCATCTTCCTCGTCATCAGTGTCTGCTCTGGCTTCGGCGCCTTCCTCGTCATCGGCGTCTGCCTCAGCATAGGCATCTTCCTCGTCATCGGTGTCCTCCGCCGGCCCAGCCTCCAACGAGATCACGCGCAGCTTAACCAGCGCGAGCCTCCGCGAAGCGAACAAGACAAAGACATCCGACGCTGACATATATGCAGAGCTCAGCGACGGCACAACATGCTCATGTAGCGCAGATTCGACCAGGAGCGCACGTCGCACTAGCGGTTGAACTCCAAGGCGCGGTCTGTCCATCGCCAGCGGGACGCTGTGCTCTCGCATGGAGAGCCCGCGCTGCCCAGACTGAAGTCCGCGGAGGTCGACGAGTAGCCAGCACTGAGCGGGGCGCGAGTCGCGTAGCTCAATGAAGAGCATGCGGAAGACGACGGCAACATCGCGGGACCCTCGCTGCGCAGCGACAAAGACACGGCAGATCATGACAAGCAGTTCGAACAGGAAACGACGCCGGTCGAACGCCTGGTGATCCCACGCCCCAATAAGTGCGCGCCACCGACGGGCGATCCCCTTCTCGTCCGAGGACGCGTACTCGAAGTAGACCATACCGGGTTTGTCGTTGTGCTCCGAAGGCGGACTACCGACCAGGAGAGGCCTCGCGACGTTAAGTGCATCCTGCCCGTCAGGCAGAACACCCTCCTCGTTCGCCGGCACGTTCTCCTCGTCCGCTAGTAGGTTCTCCTCGTCCGCTAGTAGGTTCTCCTCGTCCGCTAGTAGGTTCTCGCAGGTGACGATGCGCGGTAAGGTCGCGAGCCGCCGTGGGCGTGCAATCATTTGCATCATCGTAGGCGCCACAAGCTGTTCTTCGTTGTGCACGAACACGGACGCGTCAGGGGGGAGGCTGAGTGTCACCTCCCAAGTCCTCTGGAGCGCAGGAGCTTCAACCGAAAGCATGGGCGCATCATCTACAGTCGATGACACGCGCATGTCAACCTGGCCCGGCAGCGCCACGTCCTTCGGCACGTCTGGAATCGCGACATGATCCTGTGCGGGTGCATACTCGTCGACCTGGCGAACGCCAATGAGACTCTCTACATCGAGCGCTTGTACGAATCAGCCCACCTTGTTGCCCGATTGCACCGTGTCATTGAGTGCGCGCTGCTCGTCGGGCCCATGCGCAGGCGGACCGTCCTCCGAGGGGGCGACATGAGCAAGCTCTACTGCGCCAGCGGGAGGGGCGGATGAGACAGACAGGTCCTCGCCGCCCGAGCGGTCAATCTCCTCGTCATGGTAGACCAGCTGCTCGGCTCTCCCATTCTTCCCCAGAAGGGTCTTCACGTCCGGCGGCACGGCGGAGAACATGGCCACCTTCTCGTGGCGAGGTGATGCGCCGTAAGTGGGTGGGAAAGACGCTTTCGTGTCCTTAAGCTCCTCTGGGGTGTTCGCGAGCGGTACAATGCAATCCTTGTCGGCAACAGCGGTGGTGCTAAGAGAACGCGACACCGCGGAGGTAGGAGCGTCCGGGCTGGCGCTGGAGATTGGAGGATCCGATGCCTCCTTCATGACCGCCTGTGCGATGCGCTGGAAGTAGGAGTGTAGGATTCTGCGTGCGAGGACGATTGAAGTGCATACGAACACGAAGCCGAGAATGAAGAGGGCAAGAACGAAGGGATTGATATAGTCGGAAGTGTGAAAGTCGGGGACGGTTTTGTTGGTGGGTAGAGTGTACGATTGAGTCTTGAGATCAGGGAAAGGAGCGGGGAGTAGGATCGACACGTCTGGGATGAAGTCGCTGTTCCCCGCCGCGTCGCAAGTAGGCAGGCGTAATGTGCGCGGGGGAGTGTCCTGCGCGTTGGCTGTGCACATTTCTGGAGATGCTATCAGATATGAGGCCTCTCCGAAGCCGAGTCAGCGCTTACCATCGAGGTTGATAGGTTGCATAGACACAATTGTCCTAATCCCCGCCTTGTCTGATCTCTCGCCAGCGTCCTCGTCGAGGTTGATGTCGGTTGCCAGCTCCTCAAGGAGAGGGACGACGAGTTCTGTAGGTGCACGCTGAGCGTTGTCGCCGGCTGGTTCGATGCCGTTGTACAGGAGCGCTCCAATGGCTGCACAAGTTCCAACGAGGGCGTTGCGGATGGTGCTCTCTGAGGCGAATAAGCTCGCGCCGTTCTGAAGCGCGAACTGGCCATTGCTGAGCACGAGCCAGACGAGGTCGTGCATGATCGTTGGGGACGAGGGCTCAACTTCAAGCCAGCGATGCGCCGCGAGAGAGCGTCGGGGTCATGTCATTTTTGCTCCCGCGCGGATGTCAGTGTCACGAAGGGCAGAGGAGGCGTAGGCAAGTCGTGAGCAGCGTCCACGGTTGAAGCATGCCTTGGCGAGATTTTTGGAGTCGAATGCAAAGGGCAGGGTTAGGGATTCAACGACCAGCGCAATCTAGTCATCGTGCACGCCTTGCTGCATTGCAAGCAAATCGCAGGATAAGGTTGGGATGAGGGCATGTGATCGCCACTTTACTTCCACGGCGCCGTTCGGCAGTTCCCGGTTCAGAAGTTCAATTGCCCTCCTTGCGATTCCGAGCAGCGCATTGCGTCTGGATATGCGTGAAGTACATATCTCGTATGCAGAATTTCGCAGCGCGCTGGAATACCTACTCAGGCGGGGCAAGTACGCGTCAAGGATTGAAACCCTCACAGCTTAGCCGTGTTTTGAATAAGGGCCTGTAATGTCGCTGAGCTATGCCTAGCATCTTGCCCGACTGATCTGCGCGCCCGCTCCAGATACTGACATTAACATTTTGCCTGAGATTAACTCACTGCCATCTTCTTCCAGTCAGCAACGCATGTACAGAGGGCGAAGCCGGAGTTCCTTACGCGCGCTTTCCCAGTCACATCCAGCGACAATCGGGGGTACATAAAAAGTAGGGCTACACGAACGGAGAGGGTATGCGCATAATGACAGGGCCGCGATTCGAACGCGCAAGGGCTCCCGACTGAGCCACCGTGCCGGTAGGGGAAAGGGAGAGGGCCGAGGGGTGCGTCGAAGTCGGGCGCGTCGAGGTCGAGGGCGGGTCCGCAAGGTGTCCGCGCGAGCAGGGTGACTCCACAGCGCAGTGCTCATCCCGGCTGACCAACACACCCTAGGATATGCGGACCGGGGAGGACAGATCGCTGTGGTCCTGAACCCGGACGACGCTTGCGGACGGGGCCAAAGTCGAGGTCGAAGTCGCCGTCGAGGTCGTTGTTGCCGTCGAGTCCACGAGGCGTCCGCGCGAGCAGGATGACTCCACAGCGCAGTGCTCATCCCGGCTGACCAACACACCCTAGGATATGCGGACCGAGGAGGACAGATCGCTGTGGTCCTGAACCCGGACGACGCTCGCGGACTATGTCGGTGTCGAAGTCGATGTCGCAGTCGCAGGCCGCCGGGGCCGTCGTCCAGCAAGCGAGACCGAGCGGAGCAGGTGATTCACCAACGCCAGCGCTTTCCCCGGCTGATCAGTCACCGTTAGGTGCGGACCAGGGCGCCTCTGGCAACAGTGGGCCTGAACCCCGGATGTCGCTCGCTGGAATGCCGAGGTCAAAGGCCGTCGTCCGCTGAAGAGGTATGTCAGTGCAAATCAAGTCAAGCGCCGGATGCAAGCACTCACCTGGGAGGGAAGGGAAGGGAAGGAGGAGAAGAGGATGGGGAATGGGAGACTGGGGCGCCCGTATATATACTACTGTGCGGTGGCTGTATCGACTTTCCGCAAGAGCTGTGCAGAAGTATACTAAACAAACGCGCTAAACAAACACAAACAGTTGCGCACCTCCGTCGACGGCCAGCTCGCCAGCCATCTTCGCCTGCAGTGGCCTCTCAACCGATCTCTATGCTTGTGGACGTCGCGTAGCATAGTAGAGCGCGTAGGTAGAGTGATCGATGGGTGCGAGATCGTGATCGAGTTGTTGAGAAGGAGGGGGCAGGACCGACGCCGACGACCAAGAGCGTTCGGGACAAGCGCTCAGCCCGGCGTCCTTCCCCACCTGACGATCGACCCCGCCGCGTGGAGTGCCACGTTGCGCGCGTGCGCCGAGGACGAGGGCGGCGGGCCGCGCATGGGCCGCGACGGCGGGCGCGTCGGCAAATGCCGAGCGCTGCGGCCATATTGCACAAACACGCGCAACTTCTGCCTTTGCTCCCGCGGCGACACTCCCTCGCTCGCTCTATAACGACTGCACTCGAGCGGCGCATTTGGCAAACTTCCGTGTCCGTCCAGCCTCCCAGCATGAGTGGAGCCCACTCAAAGGATAGTAAGGTAGATGGGCCCGTACATCGCACACGAGTAGATTTCTAGAGCGTTGGACAGGGTTGCAAGGACTGTTAGCAGTATGCAGGAGCATGAGGTATCTCGCGCGCGTAGTCGGGGACCGCTACAGACTCAGAGGCAGTAACGTCGAGCCTCGCTTGACGAATCTGGTCGGGTGTGCCAAGCGTCGAACTGTCGAAGGGGCAGGAAGACTGTGAAGGAGTTGGTCATCACAATCGACTATCGACGTGAGCGTCTCGGAGCTAAGATGTGGACGCAAAGGCGCAGAGTTAGGAAAAGGAGGAGGAGTGGGACGAGTTGAGCGAGGGTCAGCGTTGTTTGCAAGTAAAAGGGAGGATAAGGAAGGAGGCAAAGAGGGTCTCTAGTCATGTAGAACTGTGGACTACTCGACAATATAGTTATTCCCGCTCAGCCGCAGCCAATGCTGAGCCCTTCGGATGGGTGAAATCGAAGCGTCAGAAAGCGTTGCAGACGGATCGATAGGCGTCGAATTGACCATGCGAGACGAGCATCGAGTGGCGAGGGTCAAGTTCCTAGGGCGGCACCATTGATACCCCGGAGCGGCAAAGTTGAGGGAGGGTAGCGGCTACCTGAGGCAAATTTGGCGGAGAAGCGCGAAGATTATGACGAAAAACGAGAAGCATTGGACAAGAGGCAATGTATCGTTATGATTGTGCGGGAGAGAGGACACGGGCAGTGGGCGTCAAGACGTCGAGCGTGCGGTCGAGTCAGAGGGCGTCGAAACTGTTCTTGACACGAGTCGAAGCTGGCCCTCGCGTGAGGTACTCGCTGACAATGACGACTTCTCCCTCGCCGCCCTGAGCGCCCTCCTCCTCCTCACCATCTCTCCATCGTTAGTCCCAATCAATGCACCCGCGTGTCGGTCTTCGTGTCGATGATCTCCTTCGAAGTCGTCTGGTCGTTCAGGTCGGTAGTAGAGAAAGGAATGAGAGCGGTCCTGACAGAGTCGAGTTTTCTCACAGGCTCATAGGCGTAGCAATATTGGTAGCAAGCACGGTAAAATTGGTTTTGATGAAGGCATTCTTGAGGGCACGGTCCGTTCGCATCAGCGGCCTGACTCAGATATGTATATGAAGGCCTTTTTAGAGGTAGGGTCTTCGCAAGGACCGGTATCGACACCTTGCCCGTGGCGGAGTGACGACGAGCCATTCTAACGAGCGATGCTGCGGTGAGCGAGCGAGGCAGCGTCGCCGCGGGAGCAAAGGCAGAAGTTGCGCGTGTTTGTGCAATATGGCCGCAGCGCTCGGCATTTGCCGACGCGTCCGCCGTCGCGGCCCATGCGCGGCCCGCCCCCCTCATCCTCGGCGCCGGGCGCACACGCGCAACGTGGCATCCCACGCGGCGGGGTCGATCGTCAGGCGGGGAAGAACGCGGGGCAGAGCGCTTGTCCCGAACGCTGCTGGTCGTCGGCGTCGGTGCTGCCCCCTTCGTCTCAACAACTTGATTCCGATCTCGCACTCATCAATCACTCTACCGACGCGCTCTACCATGCTACGCGACGTCCACAAGCAGAGGGAACGGTTGAGAGCGCCGCAGCTGGCGGGGGAACATGACGGGCGAGCTGGACGTCGCGAAGGTGCGCCACTGTTTGTTTCTGTTTAGCGCGTTTGTTTAGTGTACTTCTGCACAGCTCTTGCGGAAAGTCGATACAGCCACCGCACAGTAGTATATATACGGGCGCCCCAGTCTCCCATTCCCCATCCTCTTCTCCTCCTTCCCTTCCCTTCCCTCCCAGGTGAGTGCTTGCATCCGGCGCTTGACTTGATTTGCACTGACATACCTCTTCAGCGGACGACGGCCTTTGACCTCGGCATTCCAGCGAGCGACATCCGGGGTTCAGGCCCACTGTTGCCAGAGGCGCCCTGGTCCGCACCTAACGGTGACTGATCAGCTGGGGAAAGCGCTGGCGTTGGTGAATCACCTGCTCCGCTCGGTCTCGCTTGCTGGACGACGGCCCCGGCGGCCTGCGACGTCGACATCGACTCCGACACCGACATAGTCCGCGAGCGTCGTCCGGGTTCAGGACCACAGCGATCTGTCCTCCCCGGTCCGCATATCCTAGGGTGTGTTGGTCAGCCGGGATGAGCACTGCGCTGTGGAGTCAACCTGCTCGCGCGGACGCCTCGTGGACTCGACGGCAACAACGACCGCGCGACTTCGACTTCGACTTCGACTTCGACTTCGACTTCGACTTCGGCGCCGTCCGCAAGCGTCGTCCGGGTTCAGGACCACAGCGATAATGTCCTCCCCGGTCCGCATATCCTCGGGTGTGTTGGTCAGCCGGGATGAGCACTGCGCTGTGGAGTCAACCTGCTCGCGCGGACACCTTGCGGACGCGACCTCGACCTCGACGCGCCCGACTTCAACCCTCTTCCTTTTCCCTACCGGCACGGTGGCTCAGCCGGGAGCCCTTGCGCGTTCGAATCGCGGCCTTGTCTTTTGACCTCAGTGTTCATGATCCATATATCTACTTCTCTCGTCTGTCTATGTAGAGGAAGTGGTACTTTGTGCAGATGTAACTACTCGCGTAATCTGAGTACTAGACCGTGAGTGTACAGGAATCATGTTGAGCGCAAGAAAGTGCGGTTCGTGGGGTTGATACAGTGATTTGATCAGAGTGTCGACTGCTTGCATCCTTCCTTCATCTCTTTGGCTGACGTATGTCTTAGGCCATGTCTGTTTGCTCGTGGTCACTTGGGAACTCGAGTACTGCCAGCGTCCGTTCTGGAGGTCGCTCATCCGTCCGGCCATTCCTTCAGAACGCGTCAAGCACATCGAACTAAGAAATGACAATCGACGCGACTCTGATAACTCTCTTACATGCATGCTCAAGCACCTCTTGGACGAGGAGGACACGGAGCACGCGTTTGTGCCGTTCGACAAACGCACTACTCATCAAGAACACGGGCGGCCTCAGCACGCTTCAGATGTACGCGATCGTCGACGAGACGCTCCTGCAATTCAAGGCCGATGGCCGCATCATCCCGAAATTATCCCCGCTCGCGCCTTCTGCGGCGCATTATTCAACACGCTGAACGCCTACGGTCTCTCCCTCTCCCTCCTCAACCTCTGGCACATCGCGATGACCACCCGTCTCTCCGCGGCTGCTTGCATAGCCAACGTCGCCATGTGTCTTGCCCGACCCGTCCAAGTTGCCGGTCTCAAGTGGTACGGGCTGGCACTTCTGGAGTATTACTTCACTCGCCTCACCCACGTCGCTCACCTCTCTCGGTTTGTCATCTCTCCGCCCTGCCGTCTCAGAAACTCGCTCGCGCTGTCCCTGTAAGCGCACCTCGTTCACGATCCTGCTGGCGCCACCGCCTTCCCCCAGCACCAGATTCTCGTGCGCGTCGAGATGCACCTCTTCACCTGAAGCCCCCGCTCTCAGACTGACACAACCCCGCGGTCTGCTTGCCCGGATGGAGCCCACCCAGGGACCGTCTGGTAGCTGTACCTGCGCTTCTAGGTGGGCTAGAGCCTCTGCCTTTCGAAAACGCCGTATGTGTCTGGCTACTCGTCAGACTTTGAGAAGCTCAGCGCCTCACGCGCGGAATACAACCTACCTTTAGACGATGGGTGGGGTTCATGGGCTTCACACTCGCCCTGGGCTTGTGACACGATCCATCCTGCAGTATATCTGTTGCCTCGTACATAGTCTGCCTCTGCGATGCCGTTTCCCTCGTTTCCTTTCCTTGCGATGCCTTCTCTCTCGTTACCCTTCCCTGCGATATTATGATACCTTTATCGGCTTTACATGTACATTCGGCCCATACCTAATTTTCTGTCCTCTATACCATGTACGTAGCATTGTTTAAGTAGCAGGCGATAAGGCTTGTAGAAAAGAGGCGAATGTCGCAAAAAGAACCTCCTCGGCGGGGAGTCGAACCCCGCTCTCCCGCGAACGCACTCGCATGACAGGCGGGTGTACTAGCCGATATACTACCGAGGACTGAAAGGTTGCTCACTGAGAGGGTTTGCGACGGCCCCCTCAGGAGCATCGATGAGCGCATGTTGAGGGATACGCGAGAAATACACAATCACCTCAAAAAAAGCTCCGGCGCTCAGAAGAATCGCCACAGGTGCAGCATCGTAGGATGCATCCACGACGGACGGGCTCTCAGGCATGAGAGTTTGGGAAGCGCCATCGGAAGTCTGAGCGGGACGAGTAGTGCATCGTGATGGTGTTCTTCCAATACATCCAGAGTTCGAGAGTGGGCGCAAGTGATGAAAAACAAGGTTGTAACGGGGAGAACAGTGGCTATAACAAGATCGAAATGGGGAGAACAGTAGAAAGAACAGTGGAAGGCGGTGGGGAAATAGGACACGATGAGATAGATGAAGGTAACCAATAGGATTAGCAGCGAGGTGGGCCGGTGAGAATTGTGAGGGGCGGCTAGAAGCGTGGCCAGCCCATGCGAAGAGGGGAGGCCAGTTCATGTGGAAGATAGACGTAAGTGATTTATGAGGGCATACGTGATACAAAAGCACGCCCGTTGACCTTCGTGCGCCATAGAGCATACGTATCTCGATAGCATCGGGTCTATAGATACATCGGATTTGACTGAATGGGGCGGAGGTCCCAGTACCGCGGGATTGATAGGGAGAGCGCCGAGAAGTACCAGAAAGTAACAGGGAAGTACGAGCACCCCCGGTGGAAGCAAACTTGCTTACTTATTTGGATTCAAACAGCGCTCAGCCTGCTCCCGAGGGACAGAGAGACCTAGGGGAGACGCGAGCGTGAATAGAGAGGGCATAAGTGTGGCATACCATTACTCATAGCAGGCCGGGGACGTTGACAGAACCAAGTGCCTCCGCGGAGGTTCAGCGCACATAGTTGACCCCGCGAAGACCACGGGGCACGAGGGATTACATAGATCGATCGACACGAGAGGCCCTTCCTGCTGCAAGGGGACGCTGAGGGAGGCCAGTAGCTGATGGGCTGGTGCACCGCGTGGGAGCGCAAATCGGTGCTAGACGCGTATTGGCGTCCTCTGGCCGTGTAGGTGTGTGGCGAGCAAGTACGTCCGTGCGGCTTGCCGTTCTCATGTTGACTGATGCCGGTAAGTGGGGTATGGTGGCTGTTCGGGAGGCGGAGGACCCAAGTCGAAACCACGAAGACTTCGGAGTCGCTGCGGCTATGTCATTGACGAGAGGCGCGCCCGCTAGGTGATGTCGCCGGCGAAGTGAGGCGCTAGACAGTGGGTCGTCGACGGCCAGAGACGCATGGAGGAGTTGGGGAGAAGGGGTTAGTATGAAGAGCTTCGCGGTGACCCGGCTCCTGAGTCCTGATCAGCCTCGCGCTCGATAGAGCCCAGTGATGGCAATGGAATCAGGCTCAAGCTTCGAGGTTAACGAGGAAGTCGACTGTCGGTATGCAGACCTCCGGACTGGGGATACGACCGCACCACCGCGCCCGCCGTCGGCGCCGTAAAGGGTGATAAAAGTCAGAGAAAGAAAAACCCGAATTAGGTGTGCGCAAAAGTCCGAATTGGGCAAGCGCGGGTTCCTTTTGATCAGCGCGTTATAATACCAGGGGCAGGTCTTCCTCCGCGTCCACTGCTCTCATCGACGTCCAGGATCCCCTGCTGCTCCTCCTCCGCCCCCGCCCTTGGCAGATATCAGGAAATCCTACGGCGACAGATCTACACAGGATCTACCCGCAAGGTCCACCTCCGGCGCCTCGAAACAGCCGGCTGCACATGCGACTTTGGCTTTGATTGCTGTACTAGGTGTTACGCGCGAGCCTTGACGATTGCGACAGCCCCTTCTCCTGCTCTTGCCCGAGGACTTTCGCGATGCAGCGAAGCGGGGGACCAGACAGCCACAGCGGCGCAGGCCACGGAGGTGCGCACCCGTACCTTTTGCTTCCGAACTAGCCAACTCATCCCCGCTGATGGCGCGACAGGCAGCGCTGACCGGAATTTGCCTTCTCCGCATGCCAACGCATGGCTCTTCTCGGCCCAGGATCCTGCCCCCTTATCTTCTGCCTCTTCGTCAAAGACTGCCACGGACTCTGCTTCCTCCCATCTCTTGTCAGCATCTCCCATGATCGGTCCCGGACCCTCCTACTACGACCCGGAGAGCGCGAGCGCCCAGCAGCATGCCCAAGCGCAAAATTACCAGCAGTGGATCGACAACTATGGCCGTCAGCGCGAGGACATCCACCATCTTCAGCAGCAACAACATAGACACCATCACCAGCAGCGACAGCAGCAGCAGCAACCGTCGCCGCGCGAACTCGCTTACCAACAGCACACATACGGCGTCCCAGGCTACGGCGTTGACGCACCTCCGGGTGGCACGGGGTCGCTCGCTCATTACCCATCCGCGGCCTACGGCCAGCAGCCCCTTCCCTCCCACCAACAACACCCTCGTCAACAGCAAGCCCAGCCCACCGACATGTTCTCATACTTCCCCTCCGATGTGGCGCAGACGTATCCCGGCCAGTTCTCTCCTCAAGACTACCCTCCGATGAGCGCCAGCGCCAGCGTCAGCGCGTCTGTCGTCCCCAGCCCTACTCAATGGGCCGACGCCGACGCGTTCCGCGGACCGCCCGTGGGCCGCTCTGTCTCCGCTAGCCACGCTACGGGCGCAAGCAGTGCTCCCCCGGCCCCCACGCATGCGAACAAGCGCAAGCGTGCGCGCAAGACGCCTGAGCGCGCTGGGAACTCCGCAGACAGCGACAGCGACAGCGACGACGATGGCGGAGGGCGCCCCGCGTTCACGGGCGGGATCAGCGTCGGGATGGGCGGGCTCGGGGTAAAGGGGCAGAAGCAGAATTCAAGCCGCCTGTGAGTGCCAGGCCTCCTCCTTTTATGTCGCCGCCGCTCACAACGTGTCTCCTCGTTTGTTTCTCCGTCTTCTCCTTTTCTATACGGCCCCTTCGCTCGCGGTGGCTTCTGGATCATCGATATCGTGTTATCGACCGCCGGCGCGCGCCATTCCGGTGATGCGACTCCCCTGCACGGGTACCGGTCATGAACCCTCCGGCTCCCTTTGTCACCTTGCAACCCACGCCTGCTGCGCCTGCATGGTGGCGTGCCTTCAGCCCTGGCGCGTGTACCCACTGCAAGAAGCTCAAGGTGAGTGGGCAAATCCTCAGGCGCTTTGCATTCGCGGGGAACATCTCGAGACCGACTTTGACTTGCAGATGAAGTGCGAGTTCAAGAAGAATGAGAACACGTGCAAGCGTTGCCAGTCAGGCGGACACGTCTGCATCGTCGAAGGCCGCAAGCCACGGACTGCCCCGAAGTGAGTGAAATCCAACGTTGTCGCGTTTCTTCCTTACCTCTCCTTTCCCCGCACGCCACCCCCGCTTCGTGACGGTTGAAAGCGGGTCACGCACTCTCCACGTGCAAGTTCAACTTCTCACGCTTTGTTCGTTCTCCCACGCCCCTAATCCGCGCCTTCTCCCGCTGTGCCTGCTCCCTGCTCTTATATCTTCCCTCCCGGGCGACATCTCGGTAACGCCGAGAACCTGTGCGCTCTCTTGACTCCGGAATGCGATGCTTGGGGCGCACCGGCGGTTCTCTGAAGCCGTAAGGCTGTGTCGTTGTCCTACCCACACATGCCTGCTGTGTCGCACGTAGCCCCGTTTCGTACGCTCTAGCGTCGGGGTTATCCAATTTGGGCATCGGCCTCTTGCTGACGTCGAAGCGGAACACGGTTTCCCCTGGCAGGATGCAGTCGGGTGATCGTCGCAGCAGTCGGGCATCGCGGATACGCAGTATTGCTGTAGGGGGACCGTGGGCGTGGTGATGTGTACAGTGCGCTCGGACTTGCAGAGTGCCGGGCGAAGGTGGCGGACATTCGCCTCGGCGCGCGAGGAATCGTTGGGGAGCATAGCTATTGCCTCGCGCAGGGCCACCCGCAAGGCTGACAGCTGCGGTTTTGCTCATCCCAACCCCGTTCATCGGTGTCGCAAGGCAACCGAGGTGTGGGGGTTCGCGGCGCTTATAGGCTGGGATGGCTTGGATCGCTGTGTACGGCTTGTTTCCTCCCGGATTCAGGTCGTTATCGAGCGACCTCGTCACATCTATCACCCGCTCTCCGTTTCTCTACCCCTTCCAGACTCTGTGATGTGCTCGGAGGACGAATGCTCACCTTCCTGTTCCAGCAAACGCGAGTACCTGCTTGCGCAAATTCGACAGAAGGATGCGATTATCGAGTCGCTGCTGAAGCAGGTGAGTCCCTCATTCGCGATCGTTCATTGCGTTCCATCCCATCCTTCGCCCTCCCCGTTTCCTAGTACACCTGTCAAAGCATCATGCATTGCTGGTCCATCCCATGACCCCCCACTTCACACCACATACCCATGGACATGACGTTGACCGTATCCACAGCTTCACAACCCTTACATCGCCACGCCGCTATCGATTGCTTCCTACCGCATGGCAACATCGCCTTCAGACAGCAACAACAAGAACATACTCGCTTGGCTCGACCGCCTCCAGGCGAGTGTGCAATCGAGTGGGACGACCATCAAGGAGGTCAGCGAGGCTAACAAGGGTCGGGAGATGAGTGTGCAGAGTGCAGGCGAGAAAGCTCCTGGGGCCTTCACTCTCGACGTCCGCGCCATTGTGCGCGATGAAGGAGACGAGTCGGATGAGGACTACAGTGGAGAGAAGTACGCGTCGTTTCGCTTGATTTGTGCACCCAAGCCTGATCACTCGCTCAGGGGCACGGAGAGTGACGATGACGACGAGGATGGCTCGTCGGACAAGTTGCGGAACCTACCGGATATGCATGTACCGCTCGGCCTCATTGCGAACCTGAGCTTGAGCAACAAGCCAAAGAGTGGCAAGGCCGGGAAGAAGAATGCGACGGAGGAGACGACTACTTTGGATGAAGACGACCTCGACGATGACAATGTGGTACGTACGCCGTATGCTTGTGCCACAAATGTGTCTGACGATTTCTATCAATCAGGGCGTGGCGAATGAGACGTACTTCATGCCAGGTGTGTTAGTTTTGTGTGTTTACCGTGCGCTCATCTGACATCCATTACAGGGCCTGCGACTGATTTGGGCAAGCGCGCGATGCTCATTGAGCAGCATAGCCCTCCGGAGATTCTTGTTCACGGTCTCGTTGCCCCAGAGGATGTGGACAAGCTGTTTGACATGTACGTTCTTAACCCCGCTGCTGCGATGAAGCAATGGCTTACGCGATGTTATAGCTTCTACAACAAACTTAACGTGCGGATTTACGAGTCTTCCATTTTGTGGCAACGGTGCTGATAATTCACCGTCTAGCCGTTCATATCCCTGCTGGACCCCGTTCTCCACACGCCCGCCTTGACGTTCGCGCGCTGCCCTTTCTTGTTCACCGTCAGTGAGTGCCCCGTCATCTTCGACTCCACGATCGCAGTGCTAACCTGTGGCCCAGTCTGCGCCATCTCTTCCCGCTACTACACCGAGAAGTCCGAGATCTACCCCATCGCCATGCATTTCGCCAAGCACTCCGCCGCGACCGCGCTCATCGACGGCTGGAAGTCCGTCGAGCTCTGCCAGGCGTACATCTTGATGAGCATCTACGCTGTTCCTGCACGTCGGTGGGAGGAGGACCGCTCGTGGCTGTATACCGGCCTGGCCATTCGCATCGCGACGGACTTGAACTTGCACCAGGTGTCGACGGCGAAGCCGTCGAGCGAGCGGCATGAACGGGAGATTCTGAACCGGACGCGGGTGTGGTTGATCTGCTTCAACTTGGATCGGTCGACGGCGACACAGTTTGGTAAGCCGTCGACGATCAAGGAGGACTAGTGAGTATCTTGAATATTTTCTTGTGTGATTTCCTTCGGTCGCTGATGATGTGTAGCATCGTGCAGCACGCGAAGGACTGGTACAAGAAGTCGAAGTACAACTTGAACGCAAGTCTTACTATGCGCGGGAGGGACATGCGACTTACGCGTTCTTCTAGCACGATGTTCATCTTTGCGCCTACAATGCCTTGCTTCGCATCATCGCCAAGTTTCACGAGGAGGTCTTCTCGGACACGTCGTCGCCCACGGGTCTGAACAAGGTGGGGAGACTTACCCGAAAGTCCGCCATAGCATGCTGACAACAGCATAGCGTCTCGACTTCTGCACGGTTACCCTCAAGCACGACGAGCATCTCACCAAGTATCACGAGGAGTGGGCGAAGATCTTCCGCGAGGAGTCTGACCATTCAGGTACGCGCGGAATTGCTTTCCTTCTGGCGACGCTGACGCCTTCCTTGTAGACCCGAGTTCTGAATTCCGATGCTTGCTGTTGCCTTTGTGAGTAACGCTGTCCTGCAGTCCCACCTCGACGCTGATCGTCGCCTCAGCCTCGTCAACTACTCTCGCTTGGTCATGTTTTCATTTGGATTTCAGCAAGCGTACCACCGGGGCATCAAGCCTGGTGATCATAGCGATCAAGTTTTTTTTACCAAGGTTCGTCTTGCGCATGACCGAAGCTTTTCATCGAACTGACTATCGGTACTCCAGTGTCTCGACTCAGCCAAGGCGGTCATTCAGAACATGGTGGACAAACTGGCTCCCAGCGGTTACATGCGATATGCTCCAGATGGCCACTTCATCTTCGCCTCGTTTGCGTCTGCCTTCTTGCTCAAGGTAATGTATCGACTTTACCGAACATGAGCATATAGCCAATCGTTCATCCAGCTCTTGCGACCCGAGTTCTCCTCCCTGCTCGCCAAGGAGCAGGAGAACGACATCTTCGACTTGATCGGCCGCCTCATCCAGACCCTCAGCTCGCCCGAGATCGCCATCGACGATCGCCATACGCCCAAGCTTTACGCACGTTTCCTCGCCGGCCTTCTCTCCCGCCACCGCCGCGACGGCGCGACCATCGGGCGCCTCCACACGCAGCCCCCGCCTCAGCAGCGCGGCTCCTCCGGTCCTGGAGGCTCCTCTGGTCCAGGCGACATGCCCGGCTCCGGCTCGTCCAGCGGCTTCACGCCGACAGACTCGACCGGCGGCCAGGGCTCGACCGCAGCAAGCTTGTTCTCGCAGTTTACGACGCTCGCCGGCGCAGACAAGACGGTCGGCACCCCCGTCTATCGCCCCGAGGCTGCGTACGGTTTAGGCAACGCGCCGATCCAGTTCAGCAGCGACTTCGAGATGCTTGGGTTGAGCGCAGGCGTGCCGGATGAAGATATGCTGGCGACGATGCAGGCACTGAAGAACCCTGCATGGTGGGAAGGAATGTTAATGCCTGGGTATGTGCTCCTTTCAAAGTATTGCGGCGCAGCGGCTTAGTCGATTTGTAGGTTCTCGTGGCCGGAATCGAGCTCACCTGCTCCGTCGTCGTCCAATGGGCACCCGTCGCCGGGCCACTATATGCAGCAGCCCGCGTCGCCGACGTCGAGCTACCTGAACAATGTTCCCGGGCTTCACGGAGGGTTTAACATGTTCCATGCCGCACAGGTCCCTCTGCATTAATGATCATTGGGATGTCTTCGCGCGGGGTTGAGAGTATCGGTACACCAGATCGTCCTCTGGCTTCGTAACCGCTGTGATCGCATTACTTTACTCTACTGTACATGTGTACTATTTCCCTCGCATTATCGATCTTGTCATGCCCGTTGTATTTGTTTGTATGTAAACGAGTAATGTTCATAGGCAGTTGATTTGTTCACTCTCAGAGGAGCGTGTGATTCCTTCAGCGGTTTGATATCTCCGGGTTGGCATGCTTCTCCTTTCGGTATGATGAATTGCTTTTCCCACAGAGGCAATACGGACCAGTGCCTTTTGGGAGGGGTTCAGCCATGTAGCTGAGTAGCGATGGAGACCACCGAAGGATAGTTGTGAAACGGACTCAGTAATGCAGCTGATTCTTGGCGCTCGTACAAGACTAATACGGCCGGAACACGAAAACTTATATCGATGCGACGCCTCTGCCTCTATCCCTCCTTGTTCCAACCATCTCTGGACGCCTCCGATCTCGTTTGAAAAAATCATTTTTAGTGTGATCACATAAAAACTCGCGTATACACGTCGGTAAGAAGTTGAAACCGTAGTTCGTCGCCCGCTCAAGGTCGAACGCTGACCGCGAGCGGCGGCCATAAAGGGTGCATCGTGGCCTCGACGAGAATAAGGGGATGCGACGAAGATGAATCCTCGAGAGGGAAGATCCGCATATCGGGGTCCGCGGCAGGCCTGAGGGCATCGACAACGCCACGCGCGCGACCGGCTGGGTACTGAGCCAGGACTGCAGGTGACGGACGACGAAATCCCAGACGATGAGTGACAGCATGTGTATGTCGCGCGCGGTCAAAGCGTCAGTGATCAGCGTGAGCGGCAGGCGGCAATCGATAGGAAGAGATCGTCTACCCTCGCGCTCATCGCGGCCCTTGCATGTCTGGCGGTGTGATCCCCCCTTCCAGTGAAGTCGCTGACAAGCTTTTGAACAGTACACCGCACGCGCGCAAGCGCAGGCGTAGACGCGTTGATAGTGTCCACTGTCATACTAGTGATGCCATCGACTCGAAATTCTCGACAAGCTCGCGGACGATGATGGAGAGCAGGTGCATGTCGCGTGCGGTCATGGTGTCCGGGCGGGGCGTCAGAGACCGCAATGGACAGAGGATAGCACGCAAAGAGTACGTACCCTCGCGCTTGCCGCGACCATGACGGTGTGCGCACTCCTGCCAGTGGCGTCGCTGGCACGCCTTCGAGCAGTACAACACCCGTGCGCACGCGCAGGCTCGGACGCGGCGAGGGTGCGCGCCCGTGCACTATGGCCGTCATCAGCGTTCGGCGAGGCAAATGTAATCAGGATGGCACGCACTCTGCGGTTCGAGCACCGTGCGTCCGTGGGCCATACCTGCGAGGCCCGGTTGAGCACATCGACACTGTGCACAAGAGTGCACGAATCTGTTCCCGGGTGCAAGGGCGGCAGACGCGGTCCAGAATCGCATCCCGCAGCGCGGTAGAAGCTAGCTGACTCGGCTGACGAGACAGATGCGAGGGATCCAATCGATTCAACAAGGCCGCTCCTGATAGCAACGACCGTTGCTACTTGACTGCTCTGTCGTATCGCGGCAAAGCTCGTTCCAGAGCATGTCCAAGGTTGGGGGGTCAAGGATTGTGAGAGGGGCGACAGAGAGATGCATGACCATCGGCAGAGTCGTGACGATGAAACGCGCCGAGATGTTGTCACCGAAAACCAGGAGAAGACGTTCAGGTGGCATGCTAATATTCGATCACCGCTGTCCCCCTCGATGCCGAGCATGCGAACATGTCGTGCAACGACCCTGAGAGCGAGCTACTGATCGCCATCCAGGACCGTCCCTAGCGCATACGCCCCTAGATATTGACCAATCTGTCCGAGCGTGCCACAGGCGTCGATACAGCGTAGGATTCGCCAGCCACACCCCTCGGACTGCAGTTGCAGGCGTTCTAGTGCCTCAGTGCGTGTGCTGTCGTGAGTACTGATGTTGGATATGACAAGGGCCAGCTAAGAATTGCGCAGGTACAACGTTAGCAAAGCGGAGAGCGGGCCGTGGTCGATAGCCAGAAACGAATTGTAATCGTCGGAAGACCATTGATCCCCAGCAATGCAGACGAGCCCATCTTGAGCCTGTAGTGTCGCGAAGATAGCCAGGTACTTGTCGCGGAGAGAGAGCTGCCTGAACTCGTGAACAGGCACACTCATGTAGAATATCCAGCTATAGAGCGCCGACCAGAGAGACAGTGACAATCACCGTGTCGACCAAGACGCACGGTGAGGCGAGTACGGTGACGCGGAGAGCGGGCCGGGCTCGGCTCACGGAGATGATGAAGAAGATTCCCACGAGGTTACTCTGTAACGAAGTCTCGATTGAAAACCTTGCCCTCCTCCCTTGGAGGAGGGCCCTTTTATACCTACAGCTGTAAGTAGTCATAACTAGTCACGGAGTATATATACGAGTCATAAGAAACCAGGAGAACCTCAAGGAACTCCAAAGGAAATACCCCCGCGAGGGGTGAAGGCAGAGCACGTGGCGTCGGCTAAGGCCGAGGCGTCACATACCCCCCTCCAGCGCCTTCTAAGGCGCTCTGTAAGTACAGTAGCAACCAGTAAGTAGCACGTATGTATAGAATAGAAACGAGTCTTTGTTTTTGTATATATTTCGAACCTTTTCTGTAAGTAACTTTCGAGCCGTTGTTCTGATGATCTCTAGTAAGTAGTAAGTAACTACTGGTTCCCCTTGCCCTCGCGCCGCTTGGCACGGTTCGCCTCGAAGGCCTGCTGGCGGCGGGCGTTCGACAAGCGCCCCTGCATCGCCTCGATGGCCGTCACCTCACGAAGGAGGAGCTCCTCGTTGGTGGGCTCGGGCACCTTGCCCTCCACCTCGTCCATGTAGCGATGCGCGGCCGCTCCGCTGCTGATGTCGAGGATCTGACGCACCCAGAAGGTCCGATCAATGCGCTGCTCGTCGGGGATGGGTCGGACTTTGCCGGTCGCGAGGTCGATCGGGCACATGTGCTTGCCGAAGTCGGCGCGCTGGAGGATTTCCACGAACTCGGCATAGCCGGACGGGACCTCAACAACGTCGTGGCGGATTCCAGTAGCAGTGATGCCGTCGCTGAAGCGCATGTACTCGACGAGGATGGTGAGTGGGATGCGGTAACTGAAGAGGTATTCTTCAGGGTCGTTGCGCGCGTAGATAGGGATGACGAGGCGGCGTCCGCGGATCTCCCACGTCATGGGAACGATGCGGCGGTGGGCGAATTGGGCCGGGCCACGTGGCTTGGCGCGGCCGAGGAGGAAGCCGTCGTCCTCGGAGGCGCGCTTGGCGGGCGTCGTCTCAGCGGCGGCGGACGGAGGCGCGGTCTTATCCGCACCAGCGTCGGCGGCGGCGTTGACGCGCGGGATGGGTTGCTTCATGACGTCGGAGCGCGCGGCTTCCTGCTGGCGGATGCGGTCGGCGATGATACCGGCATTGTACTTGGCGCGGGCGGCCTCCTTTGCGCGGAGCGCGGCGGCGGTGTCGACAGGCGGCTCGCTGTCGATGAGAGTGGAGGCGGCAGAGCCGGCGGCGTCGAGGACGGACGACATCGTCTTGGGCGCGGGTGCCGGCGGGGCGGCCTCGGAACTGGGTGGGTCGACATCCATCGGTTGGACCGAGTCCGCCTTGTTGCCATTTTTGATCGCCGGCGCCGTTTTGGCCTTGGTGTGGGAACGGGTACCGACACGGTTGACGTTGGGCGAAGGGGAAGGAGAGTTGGGAAGCGGAGGTAAGGTAGAAGTATCCATAGTATGTATGTAGAGAGAGGAAGAGGAAATGGAGTTGGTTTGGCATACTGACTGTCCATCCCTTTTAAGGGGATCCCAGCTAAGCCCATTACCCGATTCGTCGTGAATCTCGCCATCGGGAACACGAGGCTCGATCGTGAGTTCGAGATTCCCTACATACAATTGGATATCCCCGGGGTCTGGTTCAGATCCAGCCGGGAGATCACCCGCTTTGTCAACGCCAAGCGCCTCAAGGTACTGCTTGACCTTCTCGAGGGTGGCAACATTCTTGATCGGGATCCAGGACATGTCGCCTGGCTTCCACTTCACCTTGAGTACTGCATCAGCACCCTTGCCGTGATGTCCCACAATCTCCTCAATTGCCCATTCTTTCTCCCAGGCACCGAAGTCGGCCACCTGAGTCTCAAGGCGGCCCGGAAATAGCCGATCATCATTGGGAATATGAATTCTCAATAGAGACGCGTGGAAGCGCGGGTGTATTCCCCGCTGCTTCAACTCCTTCGGGAGATCAAGAAGGAAGGCCTCATTGCCTAGATCCTTCAGGATGCGGTATGGTCCAATGAACTTGGGAAGTAGCTTACGAACGCGGCCCTTCGGGAAGTTCATGTTGGCAGTTGAGACATATACTAGATCGTTCTCGGCAAAAGGCGCGCGGATGCGGCGTCGATTGGCATCACGTGTCTGCTTGACACGCGCGGCGAGCACTGCGTCATGAGCCTGCATGATGGCCTGCTTGACGCGGCGCGCATAAGTCCGCACCCCGGGATATTCCGTCGTGGGTGCGTCCTCCCAGATCATGGCGCGGGGCATGCGACCAGTATTCAGGAAGAACGGTGCATACCCCGTGCTCTCCGAGCGCACGGAGTTGATCGCAAACTCAACCGCCGGCAATTTCAGGACCCAGTCCGATTGAGCGGGCTCGACGCATTCGCGTATCATCTGGACAACTGTCCGATTGGCCCGTTCAGTTGATCCGTCGGTCTGCGGATGGTATGCAGTTGACATGCGCAGCTCCGTTCCGATCAACTTGTGCAGGTGAGTCCAGAATATGCTCGTGAAGAGCGAATCCCGGTCACTGACTATGTACTTGGGGAGCCCATGTAGCTTATAGACTTCCGCAAAGATAATGTATGCCAGAGTCTTGGCAGTCACATTAGTACGCGTCGGAATAAGATGTACCATGCCGGTCAGCAGGCAGATCACGACGAGAAGGTAATTGAAGGTCCCATTGTGATTCTCGCTCTCGGGAAAGGGACCCGTGAAGTCTATCCCGATAGCTTCCCAAGGCGTGCCAGGCACCGGCAGGGGATTCAATAGCCCGTACGGCTTGTGATTGCTGGGCTTATTCCAAGCGCACGTGGTGCATGATGCGATGAACTTCTGCACATCAGGCACCAGCG